CCGCTAGTGATGTGGCGCTACAATATTTGGCTATGTCTTGGCTACTTTAATATTATTTTTACGTGTTTTAGCTGGCAACACTCATTTGACCATGAAAGGGAGCCAGTATTTAAACGAGGCTTAATTTTCTAATTTTTAACGATACAATAGCGACGATTATTTTAAAAAATTTTTGTTACGCATAACATCGATGAAAATTCAATGCGAAGTAGATTAATAGCGATATACTAATATACTAATTACATGGGCTATAATAATATACTACATTAATAATGGATTTTTTCATACTTTTCGGTTATCCGACTTTTCAATTATCCGACCAACCCCAGTCCCCAATTGAGTCGGATAATCGAGGCTCTACTGTAATTTACAAAATAAAGTTTTATACTGATCTAATATTTTTATTTTTTAATAAATATTCTTGATAACAATTTGGCAAAACATTTAATGCTTAATGTACAAAAAGTTGTATTTAAACAACAATTACCATGTTACTAAAAATAGTTAAATTTATTTACCTGAACAAGCTGCATTATTACAAGATCCAAATTACTAAAGGTAGCACGTGCTTCTACATAAAATGTCAATTGCTGTTCAAAATCACGACCAAAACTTATCTTATGTATAAAGCTACATATCAAAGAAGAAATCTGTCGTTTTTCATCATCCAAAGTAAGAGCTCTAAAGACAAGTAAAACCAATAACTTTACTTAAAGATTTTTTAATGTAAAAAATATCAATGTGTGTATTACTGTTTAGAGTTTGTAATATTTTCTTTAGCATTTCCATATGCAATACATTTAAACCAAATCCTTTGACAGTATTTAACCCTTCTTAGAAAAAGATAACATATACCACTGTCTGTTGGCATTATGTAAAAATAATTTATTTTGCAAATACTTTCAACAGTATATAACTGTCCTCCTTCAAGCAGAATTGTTCATAGAAAGCAAAACACTCAAAATTCGAAAAAAGAACCAACCAACAATCAACCAATGTTTGTTGATGTCAAGATCTTTTACTTGAATTTCAAATGTCAGTTATATACTATTGAAAGTACTCACAAAATAATTATTTTTATGTAATGCTAACAGTGGTATATGTTATCTTTTTCTATTAATATTTGGCATGTATAGCTACTTAAAACTTTATTACTAACCCTTCTTAACTCAAAATTTAGAATGTATTATTTTTATTGATTATTTAAGTTGATATTTTTAGACAAATTTATCTTGTTTGTTAAAACTATTTTCAATGAATATTTTTATATATAATGTTTTCACATTTCTTAATTGACATGGTATATTACCTGATAATATTACCTGACTTTCATTCACACTGTTTATATTTCATTTTAATAAATAAATCTGCCTATTTTACTGAGATAATAGATACAGTAGAGCATCAATTATCCGACCCCCGATTAACCATCACATAGTTTAACCGACCATTCTAGTCGGCAAATTTCAAATGTCCACTAGTGATGTAACACTGCAATATTTGGCTATGTCTTGGCTACTTAAATATAATTTTTGTTAGATTTTTGTGTGTTTTAGCTGGCAACATTGGCTCAACCATTGAAGGGAGGCCAGTATTTAAACAAGACTTAATTTTCTAATTATGAGTGGTTGTTTGTTTTGTGAGCAATAAAATAATTTAAAAATCATTTTTAACGATACAATAGCAACGATTATTATTTTAAAAAAAATTTGTTAGACTTAACATCAATGAAAATTCAACGCGAAGTTGGTTAATAGCAATATACTAATATATTAATTACATGGGATATACTAATATACTATACTAATAATGTATTTTTTTCATTCTTTTCATTTATCCGACCAACTTGAGTCCCCAATTAAGTTGGATAATCGATACTCTACTGTAGTTATATTACAATATATATATATATAATTTATCCTTATGATTACATTATTATGTATACTATCTTTGTCTAATCATCTTTTATCTTCAACTTTTATTGCAGAGAGAGAGTGATTTTTTATACTAACCAGAAACAAATCTCATTGTACAAAAAGTCTAAATATTTTTTAATCTAAATCAGTGTTTTTCAACAGGGGCGATATTGCCCCATGTGGGCGTTTTTCCATGTTCAGGGGCGATTAGCAACAATTTATATTTTGGGGGCGAAAAACAATTTTCTGGGTAATAGTAAAACATTATATTAAGAATAATTAGATATTTTATTCATTATATTGTACAATAATTAAAGAAATAACATTATACTAGTCACTAGTCTATTCAATGCAGTACGAATTTGGCGTTAGCCTTGTCCCTTGGCATCAGAATTTTGTAGTGAAGGGGCGATACTATGTAACGGTTTTATTGAAGGGGGCGATATTACATTGAAGGGGGCGATGATTCATTAGAGGTTGAGAAACACTGATCAAAATACAAGGTGCATTCCATAAGTAATGCGACCAATTTTTTCATCACTTGATGATACGCCATATCTAGTTCTAACCTGCTGCACTAGGTGGCATGGGGTGTTAGCTTAAAAACTCACTCGATCTCATTTGCTTCCAAGCTGCCGGTGAGTGAGGACGTTCATCCCCGTGAACCCCATTTTGAGTTAATGTAACACGGAGCAATGGATCATTTTGTGAAGCAACGTTACGCTATCAAATTTTGCGTTAAACTTGGGAAGTCTGCCACCGAAACCTTTACATTAATTCAGCTGGCCTTTGGGAGAGATTACTTGTCAAAATCACAAGTTTTCCAATGGCACAAGTCACCCCACCCAAGAAGGCACACATGAGCAAGTCCAGGATCAAAACCATGCTCATTGTCTTCTTTGACGTCAGAGGCATTATCCACCATGAATTCGTACCTGCCGGGACCACTGTAAATGCAGCTTTCTACTTGGAAGTTTTCAAAAGACTGAAAAGGAGGGTCACGCATTGCCAAAGTGACATCAAGGACATGTGGAAACTTCATCACGACAATGCACTAAGCCACAGCGCCTTCATTGTCAATGATTTCCTGACCAGGACCCACACTCCATTGGTTCCACATTCACCTAACAGTCCCTGGTTCCCGCTGACTCTTTTTTTTTGTTTTCTTGCTTAAAAGGGGCCATGAAAGAGACATGAATCACGTTGGGACATGATTGAAAACATCAAGGTTTATGTTACATCAGCTCTAAAGGACATTCCAGAGAAGGCCTTCCAGAATGCGTTCCAGGCCTGGAAACACCGCCTTCACAAGTGTATCAATGCAGGAGGATGCTATTTCAAAGATTTTTGACTAATTGTAAGAATATGTTCAATAAATGATTTTTTATAAATTTGGTCACATTACTTATGGAACATACCTTGGTATAAATATATATGCATGCATACTTATATATTATAGTCAATGTTTTTTTATAATAAAAATAATACTAACGTTACAGAATCATGCATTGTCTTGCAAATAAACATGATGGCATTAATTATAACCGGATCGCTTGTTGGTTCTATCTGATACCTAAAAATTAATCAGTATAATTTTCTAAAAAAACAATTTATAAAAAAAATAAAATTGTTTATTGCTTAATCTTACTTGATAAATGCTTCCATGATCATTTTACAAACATCTACTTTAACATTTTCTTTCTGAAACATATCTAAGAAAGGCAGAAAATGATCCATTGTGAAGAGTACAGAAAAATCATGGATATGAGCAAGAATTCGATCTACTACTCTCATTAATTGTGGATAATGATTTTCAAAAGCACGATCAGGAGTCATGTGTTTAATGATATCACTAAGTAGCGTGTTAACATTTCTTTTCTGAAAAATGATCAGATTAATGTTCCAAAATAATTAAATGATATGGAAAAATATTTAAACTTACTGTAAAATGTTTTGCAGGATATTCTATCCATATTTCAGCACAAGTAATGTACTCCTTAATGATAAAAAAAAAATTATTTATATCAAATACAATTAAAAAAATATTGAATATATATTTTAAATAATAAATAATCAGCAACTTATCAAAAAACTTACTAAAGGATTTTTAAATTTCATAACTATTTTCCACACTTCATTAAGTATCTGAAGACGCTGATTCTCAGGAGGATCTGCAACTACTAAACATAATCCAAGAGTGCGAAATAATGTATGCTGAAAGATAAAATAATTACTTTCTAACCACAAATAACATTATACATAAAAAATTATGAAATAATTTAATTAATATTAAATAAAATCTATTTGTCTTATTTGTTTTTATCTTATATTTTCTAACATTTCAAAATATTGCATTTTGAAATATTAGAATCTGAGAATTACACCAAATATTTGTTTTATTAGTTATGATTTATATAATTATTATGATTGCATCAAATTCTAATTTATGGGTTGTAAATTACTTAGAGCATACAGAAAAATCTACGATTATAAAAGTATTATATATACAGAATTTATCTTTATAATCTTCGTAAAATAAATCTGAAGTATAGTTGTTGTCTTCTCTTGTAAAATGCATTAAATTAATCATTAATACATTGTTATATTTATTGTGATTTATGACATAGACAGAAGGCATTCAAAAAAAGTGGCCAGATGGCAAATAGGTTAAGGCGTGAGCCTACTGCTCTGGGGATCTTGGAATGGATCAGGTATGGTCAAAAAATACCAGAAATTTTTCAGGAGTGGTGGTTTTTGTCTCAAGTATGTTGGGTTCTGTTCCTCACCATCTGGATACCTCCTTGTGGGCTTGATAAAAAAAAGCCCTCTAGAGTCCACAAGACAGAGCAAAACAAAATTGATTTTAATAATTATCTATTTCTCTGCTACATTCTATTGATATTTATTAAATTAATATCATTATGTAGTGATGTATTTATAAATAATAAAAACTGAAATAAAATGATTTTACTAATATCCTACTACTGCAACAAAGGTAACTCATAAAAAAATATTTACATTATTTACCACATATTGAGATTTTCATATTTTTTGACATGTCTCTCTCAAAAATGATGTATGAATTTGTGTAAAATACCTCAAATGAAATAATATGACATTATTAATATTCTATTTGTCTTTCTTTTTTCTTATTTGAAGTACTTGTGTTTTTCAATTATTAGATTGTTTTGCTTTAATAAAGATTACATTATTTTAAAATAAATTACTTTATTGCTTTTATTAATATACAGAAAGGCCAGTGATGTAAAATTATTTAAATTAGAAGTGTTTCTGAACTTGATCTTTGCAATTTAAAATTCAAATTAAATAATTAAATAAATGACAATAATAATTCAAATAGAGAGAATAGGTCTGTAAATTAGCATAAAAAGTGCTTTTATTTAAGTATTTATGCCTCTTCAGTTTCAACAAACAAAAAAAGAGCATTTGATTTTAATTTTAAATTAAATACATGATTTATCATTAGCAAACATTTTCATTAATAATTTTGAAATAATTCACATTTGTTACTTTCAGATATTGATATATAGAAACAATGCCAGCTTTAATCACAAAAAAATTACAATATATACTCGAGGCTAAAATATTTCATAAAATTTATAAGCTATTTGTATATATTGTCTTTGTAATGTATTTGTGTTCTTATTATGTTAATAAAAGACATATATATATATATATATAATCAAAATAACTTAACTGTGAAACCTCCATTAATGGACACTCTCAAATAGTAGATGTGAGATCCTGGGGACCCCCCTCTTACTGGTGGGATAGTGACTAATAAATGTGTCACTATCACAAGGACATGCCACTAGACATAGGCAGTGACACACAAACCTTCACCAAGTCGTCACCATCTCATGATAGAATCTTGTGACGATCCACCAGACAGATTGTGTATAGAGAAGCCTGATGAGTGATCAGTGAAGATAAAAAGAGCATGCACCTGATCTTCAGCATAGACTCCACCATAAACCAAAGACTCCTCCCATTCTTTGGACTGATTTGTCTCACTCTCTCCCTGAACAACTCCAAGAGGTATTATACTTAGGGCATTGTAAACTCTCTCTCGGTCAATTAGTGTATAAGTACTTAGATATTTGTTATAGTTCAGATCTTAGATGTATTGTTGCCAAAGATGCTGATTGGGCTTGTATATAGACTTAGTGCAGTAGTTCTTGTGTAATCATTACTTTCATTTTGTTCATTAAACTTTTGATGTTTAACCTGCCTGTTAACCTGTTTTAGTCGAGAATTGGACTTACCCACCAACCCCTCCACTTGATCCTGCCTCTACTCCGACAGTAGATAACAAGTATAATCACAAGTTCAGATGCATAAATTTATCTTAACTGGTGTCAGACCTGACAGGAGAGGAAAATTCCACAATTTTCCCACCTCTGCCCATAAACAGAGGAAACAAACCATCCAGTGACAACATGAGCAGACATCACAAGTCTGATGCCAAAAAAGGGGCTTAGAGAAATCACCTCTAACCTCTGGATTCTCACACAGATATCCCTACTTAACAAACATTTTTACAATTCCCAGACCCTCCAAATAAGACATCTATAATATTTACCTCTAGTGAACACTAAATAACAGACACTGTCATCTATAACCTACCTTATGAAAATGCAAAGTCCTGCCTTCAATATTCTAATAGAATTAATTATGTACAAAATATTTTAAAAGAAATCGTTCAAATAATCTTTCAAAGGATGAATTTTGACAGTAGGTGTCAAATAAAAACTGGCTTAAAATAGGAATAGGGAAAGAGGGAAGATAAATAATATACTGCATATATATGTTAATTATATGTGCTATGTATTGTAAAAACTAAACAATTATCATTTTCTGTTAAAGAAGACTAATCTGGTTAGGCTGTCAATTACCATTTATCGTCATACATATTAATGTTATTATACTTCTGTCTTATTGTTGGAATTAAGCTTATGGCACCAAAAAACCGTAAACTTTTTCGAAGTTATTCATTCATTTAACAAGAATCATAGTACAGTAGTAATGAAAAAGAAACAGTTTTAAGGTTAAGACAACAGTATTTATTTGGTGGAAGTTCAAAGATTGTGTTATGAAGGCAATTTGCCAACCACTTTTAAGTGTAGGAAGATAGTCATAAATGCAAGAAAACCAAATATCATTTATGATTTTAACAGCTCTGTAGTGGCTAAAGTAATTTTTAATAAATCATTTATTGAAAAAGGCAAAAATATTCAAAAAATTACACTTACTTGATAACTACAAAGCAGACAAATCCCTATATCGATTTTTATTAGTTGCTTAGAGCTTAAATGACATTATAAATGCAAGAATACTGAATACATTTCTTACCCTTAAAGTGGCTAGCAAATCACCTTCCTAACTTGACATTCAAACTCTTGTTGCTAAAACTGACCTTCACCCACCCCTCTGTTCGTAATAATGGTTTCATTTTTCTTTTTCATTACTTCTGTTTAGGTAGTTTTTGATGAATTAATAATTAATCAACGTTTATGTTTTGTCATAATTTTTATGTTCCATTTAATTAAAATATCCCTCTAAAGTCTGTTATTTAGAATTCAATTAAAATGTGATTTTTACAGCTAAAAAGATAAATATTATACTATATATATATAGTATATTATTTATCTTTTTAGCTGTATATATAATTAACATATATATATGTATGTACATATATATATAATTAACATATATAATATATAACAGTATACATATATATCCAGAAATTTTTCAGGNTTTAATCTGTTATTATAAAGTGAAGAATATGATGGATTACAAAAACATCAAATTTACATTAAGAATTGAAAATACCAAACAGTATACATATATATATATATATGTATACTGTTTGGTATTTTCAATTCTTAATGTAAATTTGATGTTTTTGTAATCCATCATATTCTTCACTTTATAATAACAGATTAAAATACAATATGGCTGCTGGCATGTACTGTACCTCCAAATAGCGGACAAGCTTCTCGGTCCCAATGGTGTCTGCTATTCAGATATTATACTGTATTTAACAATATTCATCAAGATAAAAACTAATGCATTTATAGAAATAAAATAGTTTTTGTAAATATGAAAATTTGAAAAAATTCATTGGTCTCTCTGATGTAATTTATTATTATTTATTTGATAATAAATACAAAATTACCATCATCATATTTAATTAAGAATTATTAAAAAAAATTAAAATCTCACTTTTGGAAAACCAGAATCATCACACTCTTTCATAATTTCAACAAGTTCTGTAGCTCGATGGGCAATAAATTCGGGTTTAAAGGCAGTCATAATGGAATTCAGCAGAAGTGCACTAAAATTTAATTTTTGTTTTTTTCATACAGACAGTTTTTATATTTTAAACTAAAACAATCTTACCTATTGCATTGACTTTTGCATTTTTGAAGAACTTCACTTAATGTTGTTTCAGATGCTTTATATGCAACACATTGTAAAATCCAATCCAAAGCTGGAGGATATAACATTAAATATGAAGGCATGTCTACTTGTTGTTTACTCAATACCATCTGAACCACTGGACTCTGAAGCTGAATCATAAATAATCAAATAGTTTTAATAAGAATTAATAGAAAAATATTTACATAATTAAATTCAATCATATTAAAATCTATACTTACTTGATTATAACTGAGCAAAAAATCCCAAAAATTACATAAAACATGTTCTTGAACTTCTGGAGCTATAGACATCCCAACCTAAAAAATCAATAATTATTATAGCCAATAATAATTCTTTTGCTTATATATATTGTGACTACTTACTCTACACAAATAACATCGTGCATATGCTGCTACTAGAGGGTCTCCAATGCCACGAATCATTTTTGTAAGCCTCATAAGAGCATTAGAATATTCTCTATATAATTATTTTAATGTTATTTTTAATTAAAGTATCATAATGTAGAAAAAATTGAAAAATATATTAACCCTTGAGTAAGGAAACTATATGATTTTAAGATTGCTGTTTCCATATAGAAACGAGGAATTAATTCTCTTATGGAAGCAATTTTGAAAAACCAATTTCGACAAGTTTCTTTTGCTGTTTCAGGTACTTGATCAGGAGTAAAATTTTCTAAAAATATTCAAAAATTAATAATAATAATAATAATTATAATATGAATTAATATTTAATGAAAATTTTGACTTTCTCAACTAACCTGGAAGAGGAATGGGAATTCTACTATGAGGTTTATAACTGTCTGCCTTATTATGAATCCTTTGATAAACTAATTTCCCTGTAAATAAGTTTAATTATATTAAACAAAATCTGTAGTAGTTTTAGATAATTGAAATAAATTATATCCAAAAATATATATTTTTAGACAGAAGCAGATTTTAAAATACCTTTTATAAAAAACTAGCAGGCACACAGTAATTACATCACTAATATATACATGATATAAAAGAAATTTAATAAAGATTGTTTTCATGTGGATTGTATTTGTTTTGTTACATTTAAATAATTATAAGGATCTTTAGGAATCAGTACATGAGACTATCCATAAATTACATAATGCTATTTTGACACTTTTCAACTACCATCTACCATCCTGTAACTGGGTTCTATTTGATTAAGACAGTGTAACACATGGCCAATCTGTGAAGGAGAAAATGCCTCCTGGGAGATCTTTTATGGGAAACTGGCTCCTATTTAGGCATTAATGACATGAAGAAAACCCAGAAAATTCCAAATGGCCAGCCCTTTGGTGAGATGCACTTGGCCACTGGTGGTTCCTGTAACTGGGACTGATTTTTATATTTATACAAAATTTATTTTACATTATTTTCTTATAAGATACTATGCTTTTTTTTGAGCACTCTTAGATGGACAAGCCTAACAATCTTTAATATCAAGTCCATAGTTGAGTGCTCAAACTCAGGCTTGATATTATGCCACATTTAATGAGGAGGAGTTCAAATTTAGTATGAACAAGAGTTTGAACTAGAGGACAGCTTGTTTGACTTGGAAACAGTGCCAATTTACCTGTAAGGTCTCATTTTGTCTTGTTTAGTAGCGGCGCTGTTGTCGCCACATATCACCATGTTTGAAGGTCCATATCACTGTCTGCTCTAGCCGGTAAGCTTAAAATATTAAATCACTTATCTATTAGTTGTGTTACATTTGTTTCTTCATCCATAAAGTTCACTCTCATCTTATCTAAACCTTACTGAAAATTGACTACTGTCAGATTACTGGAGATGTCAAATTAGCAAATTGCCAGATTACTGAGATTGTATTCTATAGAATCAAATTAATATGTTTATCAATTTTTATATATTTAACAACAAATGATTTTCATTTATTTTACAAACAAAAAGAAAATTCTTTTGTTTGTAAAATAAATAAATAAAAATCATTTGTTTAATCAATTGATTCCACCCCCATTCAACATTTATATTTGCATTAACAATAATAATAAAAGTATACAAATGAAATGTACTTAAAATTTTTCTGATAATATATTAAAAAAAAAACTTAAAAGTCTTTATACAACCAATTTTATCAATAAACTTTTCTTTTATCATCAATTTATCATTTTCAATATACAGACATACCACACAGATCACCACCTTAACTAATGTTTCCCCAATATAATATATCTTAGCTTTAATATTCAACTTCATGCCATATATGTATATCTTCAATATAATGTTTTAGAACTAACATTTATGTAGGAAAAATTTATATTTGTCCTGAAAACTCAATTTTTAACAAAATAATGTGTAAAAAAGTCTCAAATTACAATGTAAATATAATTGGTAGAATGTCAGAATCACATTTGTAAATGATTTAAAAAGTATGCCTTCTCAAATTTTTCAAGCTAAAGTTTCCATCTCACTTGAATAATAGTTCATCAAAGAAAATTATCTTGGTTTTTATTCAAAATTTTTTTCATCTAATTAATTTCTTCATTGCTATGTTATTTACCATGTTCTATTTATTAACAATAATAATTGATTGATGATCAAAGAGCAATACAGTAGTCCCTTATTTATCACTTGTTTGGGGACATTACACTTCTTTGTCTTTCACATATAAAAGTGCCTTAACCAACAATTTACTTTACTTTTAAAGACAAATTTACGATTAAATTTTTGTTTTTGCATGAATAAAAAGCAACTAAATTTAAAACTTACCAAAATTATCCAGTATGTCTGTAATCAAAACAAATTTACTAGGATAGAAGTGGATCACTGAAGTATCAACAAGAAGTTTTGCACACTATAAAATAATAAAATTGATTTTAAAAAGTTATAATTAATTAAATTCAAGCATTTTAATTAATTTCTTACTTGAATTGCAATTTTCAAAGCTTTCACTCTCTGATCTTGTTCCCAAAATTCTTTTAAAGCTTGATTAAGTTCTTCAATTCTATTAACATATTCTTGCTGTGTTAAATTTAGCATCTCTTTAACAGATCCCTACAGATGATAAATCATTGTTAAAATGTTGCAAGAACTATTCATTTTCAACTCAAAAGCTGTTTTAAATTATTATTACCTCTTCAAAATCATCCAATTGTTCTAATCGAGTTTTGACTTTATCACTAACAGAACTCTGAGTCTTCATGATCACTTTAAAATAAACATTTTAAGAATCAATTTAATATAGTTCCCGTCCAATAAAGAAATCCGTTACTTTAAGTAAAAAAAATAGTCTATTACAGAAAATACTGTTTCTAGTTTTGCTCAAAATAATTACATTGAGCAAATTATCTTCTTACTAGATCAGTATTTGTTCAGTCCATCCTAATACAGTAGATAACAACAGAAATTATCGTGGAATCTTTCTGGAATTAGCTATGTCAACTGTATCATTCTAAAGGAAATTTATAAAATACTGAATGGCAACTACTCATAAGTTCAGAATCCAATCACACCTGTATTCTGACCATACACATGTGATTAAAATATAAAATTAATGCACTGTAGAACTAGTATAATTTTATTTTTGCAATTTGATTACATTGTTTACATATAATGAACAAGAAACACATGATAATTGATTATCAGTATTTTCTTTTATAATTAAATAATTAAACTGCACAACTGTTGATACCCTTTGTTTAATATTATTGTTTTGAGTTTTCTAATTAAAATTATATATATATAAAACCTTTTAAACCTTTGATTAACTAACACAAGGTGTGTTTCTATTTCAACACTTGGCAAAATAAAAACACACCTTGTGTTAGTGAATCAAAGAAACTTAAACAACACAGTTTCAGAAGATTTAAAACCTTTTAAACCTTTCAACTTTGATGCTGAAGATATATTGCTGTGTAATCTGCAATAATTTTCCACATCATAATATAAACCTAAAATCATTTTACTTTTTATTATGTTTCAACAGTGCAATGGTGTCTTGTTGTTGGTTACTTGTATAAAAGACTAATTTACTTCTTTCCACAAATAGAATATGTCATTATTTACACATTCATCCAATGAACATCACCGACTAATCTTTGTTTAAAATAAGTTTTACATTTAGCTTAAGATGTTTTGTCTTAGATAATCTGTAACAATTAACAGCATATGGCCCTGATATCTTGTGATAAGACTTGTCTTCTTTACTGCAGATGTGAAAAAAGTTTATTCTAGTAGCAGATTCTTTTGCATCTGCCACTAAAATAAACTTTGTTATAGAATATCTTCCAATGCAACTGGTTCTTATACACATTTGATTTAATTATTATATTTGATTAATACAAAAATTTGCAAAAACATTAGAAGGATAATTATGTTCAAAGAAATCAAAAATCATACCAAGTGAGTATTGCAATCTTTGTGTAAAATTTTATATATACACACACACACACACACACACATGTATGGTAAATAAAATTTATTTTAAATTCCTATATCATACTAATAATTATAATTAGATTATTACAATCAGGAATTCAGTTAAAAATTACAATTCAAATTAAAGTATGATTTTTCACTTTAAATAAAGAATCAAACTTAACATTCTATTATTTTACCTTTCTCTCCACCAGAAAGAAAACAAGTGACTATAGAAAGCTTCTCTGATGTTGTATATTTAGTCAAAATAGCAGATCGTTTGGCAGACCATGGTTCAAAATTATCCTCTGCATGACTTCTCCTTATTTTTTCTTCCTTTTGCTGAAAATTTTATGATAAAATTAATTACATATACAAAATAAATTACTAGATTGATTAGAAATACTCAGTACAAAGATAACTCATAAATAAAAAGCATCCAGTTAATAAAATATTGTACATTCAATGACATATCAATTGTGTACAGATAGTCAAAAAGTTTTTGATAATTAACCTATCTTACAGTGATGATTAAGAAATTTTTTTACCAATGTAAGAATACTAAATCAATAGTTTATAATCAAACAGAAAAATGCTAAAAGTTTGTCTATAAGCCAGAAATTGTTTATTTGATTAAAACTTTGAACTGATCTGAAGATGAAGCAATTACATTCCGAAAACATTAATCAAATAAATGATTCTGAAGTTCTAGAAATTCTTCTAGCATAGAATCAATAGGTTTATGGAAGATAAATTGCCTTAGAATAAAGAATTAATCATTATCTCCCTTATTTCCAATTATATCAAAGACTATTTCTTCTTCTCCAAAATCAAATTAACATTGAAAAGAAAGAAATTTGAGGAAACAGTAAATAATTAAAGTAAAAGTTAAAAAAAAATCAATGATAGAAAATTTCAATAAATTCAAAAAGTATCCAAATAATTTGAGTAACTATAGAAATGTTTTTAACATTTTTATATTTACTCATATTACTTTATTTTTTAACATTACTCTATTTAACATTTTTTTTTAACAGCGTTAAAAAAATTTTTATTCTACTAATCTGATTTCATCTAAATTTACATAGATCTAGAATTTAATTGTCAAACTCCTATTATCATATGAAATTACATTCAAAAAATTACAATTTTTAATGCCACCAGCTTTTCAAATCTACATATGTATTATATTAACAATTTCTGTTAAGTTGTATTTAATAAACTGTTTTAGTTAAAATGTATAATGTTAATTTGTTTTAATCTAAAACAAATTATACAACACTAGGTAACCCAATAGTTCAATTACTGTCAACTCACTTTAAATCTATAAAACAAATATTAAAGAAATTATTAAAAAAATTAAAATAAATTTAAATGTGATTATCTTTTGTGTGAAACAATGCTAAAATAACTTCTATAGTTACGTCGCAAAAAAAATTTGCAATAATTTAAAATATTGTAATTAAAGGTTCAGAAAATGCATGAAAAATTAGATAAACAATAATACAATTATTTTTAATAATTTTTATTATTAAATACTAAACCTAGATCTATACTACATAAATTAATCCTAAAAATTAATTAAAAATAAAAATTTAATTAAAACTTTGGCCTTTACACCAAAACAGAAACCAAAATTAAAAATGAAATTAAAACTAATTAAAATCAAATCAATTGAAAATTAAAACATTTTTAAAAACCATTTAAAACTTGATTTGAAATTTTCAAACTGTAAATCAAATTAATTTTAAAATTAATTTTTGTGGCATAGTAAACACTAGTATTGTGTTTTATTCCAAAGACACATGGCAAATTTTTCATTAAATTTGCCATGTGTCTTTGGAATAAAACACAATACTAGTGTTTACTACGCCACAAATATAAAACAGGACACGGTTTCAAAAAACAAATTTAAAATTAATGTTATTTGTGTGTGATGATGCTTTTAATACCATACATATACTGTATGTAACATATACATAACATTTTGCTTAGTAGAGCATCAATTATATCCAAATACTGATCAACAGAAACATCAGTTAACTGAAAGCGTTCCAATCGGCAAATTCAAATTTCCACTAGTGCTGTGGCGCTGCAATATTTGGCTTTGTCTTGGGCTATGTCTTGGGCTACTCGAATATTATTTTTGTTGGTATGCATGTTTTAGCTGGCAGCACTGGCATGACCACAAGAGGGTACTTAAGGACACACCAGTATTTGAAAGAGGCTTATTTTTCCCCATCATGAGTAGTGAGTTTTGCTCGTTTTTTGTGGTGTTTTTCTGAGGACTGTGTGTTGGGATGTGTTATGCTGAATAGGAACGTTTTTGATACTAAACTAACTTCCAAAATATAATTTTTTTTGTTTTTTATATTTTTCAATATATTTATTTTGTTTGTGCAAAATAAAGAAATAATTTTTACCAATACAATAGCCACGATTATTATTTTAAAAAAATTTTCATTAGGCTTAACATCGACGAAAATTCAACACGAAGCAACACTCAATGGAGAAAAATTTCAACACGGGTTAGGTTAATATATTTTTTCATACATGATCAATTATCTGAAAAATCAGTTATCTGAACAACCCCAGCCCTGAACTGTTTCAGATAATCGATGCTCTACTGTATATAAATTATAAATACATCTTATATTTAATACACACTACCTATTTCAATAGGAACAACAGTATCATAAGATAAACATTTGATAGGCATATATATGTATATATATTTTTGGTGATAACATTTCTAACAGCAAATATAACAATATCTACCTGTTAATTACTGTTAAACAATAAAAACATTGGTTTATTATTTTCGTAAGAAATTCAAATTTTATATATTATCAAAAATTAATATACATATATATCTAATTACTTAATATAAATTTAACATTTTATTTTACAACACATTAACATTTTAACAAATTGCAATTGTCATTACAAATCAATAAAAGATTTCACAAATTTAAAAAAAAATTAATTAATTAATTAATTTTTTGATCAAAATTAATTACGAACAATCAAAAATGATTTCAATTTTCATANCAAATGCAAGCACCATGATATAAAGACGAATGAGTTTTACCAATTTTCTTTGTATCTTTTATGTCCCATACATATATACTGTGATCACTATATATTAGTTTTTGCTGTATTTAAACAGGCTACTTTTACGGATCATACATTTTATTATTAAAAATAATATAAAAACAAACTAAATCTGTATTCTGTATATAACCATAGTTGCAATGAGAGCAAACAAATAGCTCTCTTCAATTCCAAGTCTGAGCCAAAAGTGAAGTCTTTCTGTGTTTCCTATCTGTATGAAAAGACCCTTCCTTCCTTTTTGTTAACCCTTTCCATAAATTCATGCCAAATCCACAGAGGAAGTTAACAGGTGGTCCTTTTGAGAAACAAATTGTAAATTCCACAGGCAACACAGTGTAACCTACTTATATGCTACTTCTTTGTAAAGTGTTGATTTCAGTTTCGGTGGAGACGGAACATTTTGTTTTTAACATATATACAGTTTTACATGGTTATTAGTAAAATAATTTGTTTAAAAACTATTTAAATAATACATATGTTTAAAAATGTTAAATCTAAAAATAAAATATCTCTGGAGTATTAATGAGTAATATTATACACTTTATATCTGATTTCAAGCAATTTTTCAAGACAAACAAAACAAATAACAAACAAATACTAGACCTCGCCTTCAAAAATTGCTCAAAATCAATTATAAAGTGTATAATATTACTCATTAATACTATACAGATATTTTATTTTTAAATTTAACATTTTTAAAGAAGTATAATACCAATCCCATTGCTTTTAATTTGAATTTATAAATATATATCTGTATTTATACAATTTCAATCTTACTCTTTCAAGCATGTTCACTTCAGCAGCCATTTGACTGAGAGGATCTGATGCAGCAAACTGAGATAGAGGATCCATGCCTTCCAGGGCAAAACTTAAAGGATGAAGTGGATCATTTCCCCCATTCCAACTTGATGTAAGCATAGACTTCCTAGGAGTACCCTGTATTGATGAAGAAGCACTACTGGTTGTGCTTCCAACTCTTCTCTTAATCTTTCCTTCTTGTACCTTAATTTAAAAAATTTAAATGCAAATCTTTAAAAATTAATCTATTAACCACACAAAAATTTAAACTGTTAACTTCAAAAATTTTTTAATTTAATTTAAAAAATATAATGATACTGAAAAAACTGCATTAAAATATTATGATATTAAGTAAAAAAAAATATTAAACTAACTATTAAACTTTAAATTTTCAAAGAAATATCCAATGAAAATTACTACTGAATGGTAAATTAGCTCAGTAATGCTTGTCATACTTGTATAATTATGACATAATTTAATATATTACACACACACTTTCTAAAGCATTATATTGAATTGGCTTAATTAAATTAACAGAAAGTTGCGGTTTAAATTTCATACTTTTCAGATTATAAATGCATTTTGCTTAGTAAATATTTAATTGATGATCAGCAGATAAAATAAGGTGATGCTATTTACAGATTTGTTGTCATGCTATTACTTAAACTATTGGCTAATCTTTTTAAATACATTTAAAAGTAATTAGATAAAAACTAAGAAAACAAATTTAAAAATATACATAAACAACTTTTTTCTACATTTTTACACAGTAAAACAAATTCTATTGATTCAAGAACATTGTAAATTTAAAACAGGCTTCTAATATTAATATTCAAATATCTCAAACAACATATTTATAAATGTAGTTTTAATGTATTATGTGAGATAATATTGATATGTTTATTATAAACAAAAGTCTGTTTTTTTTTAAATTTCTAACTTTAAAAATAAATATACTTACAGTTACCGTTAAAGGTTTGAGAGGATGATTAATAACCTCTTCTGCAACAATCTGATTTTCTCTTCTTTCAATTTCATAGTTTTTCTGTAAGGATTGCCTATTTGAAAAAATAAATTAATTGATTACTTTGTCATTTACATTTTCATCATCATACAAATTACTATTAATTTATAACTGAAATAAAATATCTTAATATTAACTATTAATTAAAATGTTAGTTTTGAATGTTATAATTATTTTCTCTCTCTAAATTTTCATTTATTATTCATAATACAAGTTTGCTCAAATATAGTTATTATAAATAAATTTTTAAATGTAGACAACATAAGATTTATATAAACTATTCCTTATGTATTCTTATTATTTATATCATAAACTTTGTTTAATCAACATTCTAAGTTATTTTTTTAAAAAGTTTTTTAATGAATTTATTTGATAAAATTTTTACCACATTAGTTAAAAAACTGTGACAAAATCTGCTGAATTTAATAATCCTTTATTCACTTTCATGTTTCAATTGCATGACATACTGATTTTCCTTTTTAGACCATGTTCAATGTTTGTGACACATGCAGATGAACTTTTCAAGATATTTGTTTCAGCTCCATTCCTTTTTAAAAAATGTAATTTAAATTTCTTAAAAAAGATAATTATATCAAGCCATTTTGAATGAACTTTTTTTTTATCACTCTTTTGATAGATAAGTAACCTTAAAAAATCCAGCAATGGGTTTCTTAACTTTCCTGACAACATTTAAAACTGCATGTGTGGTACAATCAGTTATGATATTTTATTAAAAACTTTTTATATTTTTAATTATTAGAAAATGGCAAAAAGCTTAATTTTGAGGGTAGGGATATGTTTTATAAAAACCTGTAAATGATGATAATGATTAAAATAGTCATTTAGTCTGACTCTACTTGAGATGACACAAGACCCCCTCTATTTCCCCGCCCGTCGACCTTCAACCAGCAAAATTTAATAGCATCAATCCCCCTAATACACAATTTTTCCTGAAAAATTCCAGAAATTTTAGACAAAAGGCACAGGAGTTATTAAGTTTCAAAAAGGGTGAACAAAATTGTGCCTCCCACACAGAAAAACCCCCAAATTTTTTTGTATTTCTTGACGTTTCAAGGTTCAGAGTCCAAAAATGTAAAAATCTTGGGAGGTCATGTTTTTGACCAATCGCCATACTTTCCCTCTATTATATAAAACAGAGCTGGGAAAGAAAAAAAAGAGGGTTCAGTAGATACCACAAAGTTATTGTTCCTGCAAATGAAGTAAATAAAAAAGTGATTGAATTTGATAAATATTTTCATATTATTTACTACTAAAAAAAATTACTAAAATAGCTTATTTAAAATATTTTTGTTCATAAAGTTATTTTTATACAGGGCTATAGAGTGTAGACCAAGACATGATTCTCAGAAAATTTTAAAAGTCTGACTCCTGCTTCTAAATAATAATTTAATATATACTTTGATTATATTAACTCAGAATAGCATTTCATCACTATCAAGTGAATCATCAGGCATTCCTATTGAAACTGAAAGTACTAATCTTTTTTTCCCACAGGGTTTTTCATTATCACCACTATCATTTCATCTTTAACCAGACATTGGCACACAAAATGTTTTCCATCTGTAGTTTAGGGACTGTCAATAAATGGTCATACCTCATAGAGAATGAAGCAATTTGGAATGTGACACAATGTGAAAGGAGGAGGAGAAATTATCTTTGTAATGACCATTAATCAATATCATACATGCTTCTTTTTAACATAATACCATCCTAAAACATTATTTAAAAATTTAGTATTTTTGTACTTAATTTATATAAGAAAATTAAAAGATACCAAGATGTAAATTTGTATCATATAGTTAGTTTACTAGGGCTGGTAACACAATCTGTTACAGACACAGTAAAGTGATTGGTGCAATTTTTGTGATTGTTATAGTATATATTATTATAATATACATAATCATATACTGTACTCATATATTCAGAGCCATGGCTACAAAGTAGCTAAAGCCTTCTAGACTTAGTCAGCAGTCCCAGATACAATACGTGTAACATACGCTTTTGTTTTCATCATATAAACTTAAGTTACTGTTAAGATTTTTTATGCTTGAACTTTAGCTGATAGTCCTATTGCTAACTGGAAAAAAAAAAACAATAAGAATTTTTTCAGCATGTCTAAATGACTTATTTCTGGCTATGTGATTTTGTCAGTTCATGTTTTTACAAGTCTGGAGTCACACAAATGTTACAATAAGTAACATTATGAAACTGTTGTGCTGTTGCCTGAAGTATGAGTTCAGGTCCACTAGCTAAAATAAAATGTATTTCAATATAAATATCTGAAAAGAAAATCAACAGTTATTAGTGACATGCAAAAAGATCATGAAGTAGGGGAATGATCATAACATAAGATCTTGCATTACAGGAGGGTAAAACTCCTATTAGGAGGTTAATATAAAGTACATAATAGAAAAAACAGCCATTGGAGTAAAAGTCTATCATTTTTACTACTCGAACTCCACAGCCCTGTTTTTATATCCAGTATTGGCTTGACATTTTCATTGATTTAGTCTACAGTATTAGAAGTATTTTTATTAATTTTTATATAAATCTATTTTGTTTGAGTATAATAATAATAACTTTACAGAAACAATTTTCATAATATATATTTACAAATTTATATAAAATTGTTTTAATTTAATTTGAAATAATATTTTTGTAGTACATTTTATTCCAAGTTATTAATATGTAATATATTTTTAGAATAATAAAGCAGATGTACTGTATGTAAATACTCAAAAACAAGACAGGACAGTTATTTGTTTTGCAAGAACTGCTAGAATTTAAATGCAGATTTTCTACTTAATATATTTTATGCACTATTTGAGATAAAACCAATTTCCACATTTTTTTTCAAAATTTTATAAAGGTAATGCAGTGAACTACATGTAACTTTTTCTCACATAATACAAATATAGAATCTATATTGTTTGTTTAGTTTAGTTATGGCAACACTTGGGTGATGCCTTCTGGGAGGTCTTTTTAAGGGAAACTGGCCCTTATTTAGGCATTACAGACATGGAGAAAACCCGGAAAACTCCACATGGCCAGCCCGTCCAAGCAAGGTGCAAACCCACGACTGAACTCCCAGTGTTCAGGGTACAAAGATTGCTTGGCCACTGGCGGGCTCCTATAGAATCTATATAAAAACATACATAAGATAAATATACAACATAAAAACATGCACAAAAAATAAAACCAAATTAAATAGAACAGTTTTTAGGATTATAAAAACAAATTGTTTTTTTACACAAGTTTTTAAAAGACAAAATTCAAATACAAAATTTTGGAAATAAACTAAATAATCCATTTAAAGATTTCTGTGCAATATTTCACTATATATATTATTTTAATGTATTTTGACTAGTTTATTATTATTATTATTATTTTCTTTTCCCTCAATTGGGCACCTTCATTTAAAAATGAATCATTCTAACTTACAGATATCTAAATCATATAATTGTCAATGTAACTGGGATGGTTGAATATCCAAGATGGTAAGGCATCAGTCTTAGTCTGCCAAAAGATCTGGTATCAATTGCAAGTGGTCAAAATAATAAAGACGAACTACCCACTGTGGTTAAGTGCAATTTGCACTGGACATGAAGGGCACAAAACATAGCAAAGCAAAAAGAGCTTACAAAGAAACACAAGCTACATAACCTCAGAGTTAAAAATTTTCATGTCAGTCAATAGGTGTATTCAACAGCTAATGTGTGTTGTCAAGTACAATGCAATGAAAGCAACATTTTCATCTCGACTCTAAACAGAAAATAATGAAACCTAATAACTAAATAGATCCATATTGAAAATAACGTTAAAAAAAATACCGGTATATAATTTAATTTTGATAAGCCTACACAACACAGTGAACAAAAAGAATTTTAACATGGTAACTGCAGTATCAAATTTTTTTAAAATGCCATCTATCAGTAAAAGTGCAAAACAACTCTTCGCAACCACCCTAACCACCACTTTCCACGCAAACAAAATTTATTTGCCGATCTTGTCTGTTTTGTTTGCTCTCTTCACTTTCGTGCACTTAGTGTCCAGTGTAAATTGCACCTCACGCGGCCAAATTAAATGATGCATCTTTGACGATGCGTAAAGTTTAAAGAACGTTAACGCTTTTGACCCAGTTAATGGGCCATCTAAGAGGGCCTTTTTATATACCCGTTGCAGGTTTGTCGGGCCCATGACTGATGAGGAATGGGGCCCGATGTATTCGAGACAGACCGTCCGTGAACCATGCTCCAACGGGTTTGACTTTGGGGCATGGTTCACAGAAGTCCATCTCAAATACGTTGGGCCGCATTCTTAGTCAGTCATGGGCCCAAAAAACCCACAACAGGTATAGAAAAAGGCCCTCTTAGCGCCATTGATGTGGAAAGAGTAAAAATAATTAATTAAATTGGGAAAAAGTGTAAGCATTCATAATCATATTCACATAAAACAGAATAATTAATAATACTCTGTGCAATTTATTTTTAATAAACTTATTAAACAGAATTGAGAACTTTTAGCAGATTCAATATATAAAGTTGTAACTTTAAGACATTAATTCAGTTTTATTCATTTAAGTATTGAATTTATAGTATTGTCACTATAATAAAAGAAATAAACTTATCTTACCACTGATAAGTCATTTTGACTGAATATCAATTACAGAAGCCTTAAATAATATTCATTTATTTATTTATAGCTGTATTTTGTCAACTAAAGACGTAAACTCTAAATTTCTATTATAAACAAGAAAACAGACGACTTTTAGAAAACTCCCACCATCCCATCCTTAAGTCAATTTTACGTGTCAGTGCTGCCAAGCATTTTTAATCAATTTTTTTTTTGTTAAATTAAATCATTTAATTTTAAAATATTTTTAAAATTAAGTTTTAGAATATTTATATTATTTCATTGTTAACAATTAATAGTNAGAAATGTTCTTTCATACGATTTGAAAGGATCTAATAAAGTATACTTATATCCGAGATAATAATACACTCTTTTATGGATAATAGTAAACATTAAACTGACGTGTTGCGTTATAAACGGGTTTCTCGTTAGTAAAGAATCCTAATTTTTTTATTTTTTTTATTTAATATAAGATAAGTTTTAGAATATTTATATTATTTCATTGTTAACAATTAATAGTTTAGTTTTCAATTTCAGTTCTTTCCGTTTTTAATTATTTTCGTCCTGTGGACACTAAGAGGGCCTCTTATAGCAAGCCCATTATGGGTTCGGCCAGATCCACAATGGGGCGGCCGGGTGGTGAGGGACGAAGTCCGACATATCCGGACGGTCCACCCCAAAAAAATTCCTGAGTATTTTTTCACCAGTTCGGATTATATCCCAGGTCCCTAGAGCGGTAGGTTACCACTTTAACCGCTCGGCCATCCTGCTGTCCACTTCTTTTCGTTATGCGAGCATTAACAGGGCCTTTTTTTTTATCAAGTCCATTATGGGTTTGGCCAAACCCACAAGCCCACCAGTAGCCGAATGTATATAACCACATTGGGGGTTCGTGCCTGGCCACGTGGACTTTTCCGAGTTTTCTTCACGTTAGTAACACCTAAATAGTGGACAGTTTTCCATAAAAGATGACGGAACGGCTTTATTGCTAACAGGAAAAGTATGATGTAGTGTACTGTACAGGGGCAAGACCACCACTAAAAAAATTGAGAACGTTGTGAATGACGATGTCAAAATACGTAAGGATTTGTTACAATTAGTTTGGTTTATTTTGTTAAGACAACGCAACACGTGAGCGATCTGCTGAGGGGATGCATCTAGGAAGACTTTTATGAGAAACTGGATCCTATTTAGGTGTTACTAACGTGAAGATAAATCGGAAAACTGCTTGTGGCTGGCCGGTTGGCTATGCCCGAATTCACGACAAACTAACTACCAGTATTCGGTGGTTTCATCCACTCGGCTACTGGAGTGCACTTATTAATTAAGAAAATATCGTTCAGAAAGCAAAAATATGAGTGGAAAGTGTTATGTGCTACCTTCACAGTAATATATATTTTGTAAAATTATATTTTGCTTTGAAAGAATTATATTTAGTTTATAATTTTGTTAAATTTATTGCCAATATATGGCGATTCGTGTAAATCAGAAAATTGAATGTAGATAGAAATTAATTGATTCACAGAAATTCAATAGATATTTTGGGATGGTATGTACGACATGATCTAAGTGTAAGGTGCCGACTTTTAGGGGCAATAAGTTAATTGCACGTCAGGAAAAATCTAGGGACTGATCGTATGTGGGTGGTGGCGGTTGAGGCAAAGATGACAAGTGTATGTTATGATAAGTGTCTTACAAGGACCGTTTATTATAACATTAAAAGTAACTTACATAATAATACAAGATACAATCTAGATCGTCTTGGATGAGGAGCTCCGGATGATGAGAACTGCCTCAGGTTTTAATTGTTCTTTTAGACTTAAAAGATCAAAATAATCAGATTTAAAATATAGACTGCATACTGTTGAAGTAGAATTTGGAGTTCACATACCACCGATTGCACATACTTCTATTTTTTCCTTAGCCTTTTCTCTACAAGACCCAGGCGAGATTTCCAGGAATTTTTTTTACGCCGTAATCTGTCCTGGACATGACGGGTCCGCTCTTCACCATCATATCGCTTCCATTACCTGGGCGATCTATAATGGACATTGAGAAAAGACCCTCCTACGTTTGCCAGGGCCTTTTACAGACATTTATCATTGAGATGTGGAGGCTGATTTTGCGACTGATACCGATAGTTTATACAAGTGCTAGTCAAGAAAGCTGGCTCTCCTCCCATTCTTTCCATCTCACATGCCCCTTTTATTTCCACGGCTTTTATGTATGTTTTGATTCCCCAGGTTTATGCAAATCTCGACATTTTGAGATCCCGAATCCAAAAAAGAAGTCAAACAAAGGGAAAAAATTCCTTGTGTGTGTGTGTGTGTGTGTCTGCGTATATTTCGTTTAATATCTCACGATGGATAAAGATTAAGAAATGAAATTTGGCATGATAACTTTTATGTAATATGCATTGTGCTATTAATTAATGTATTTATGAACTCTTGACTGTGTTTACCAAATTAAAGTAAATTAGTTAACGTATAAATACATCAACAAAATGAAAGAAATAAAAAAAATGTGATTTGAAAGATCAAAGAAAATTTCCAATAACCAATCACAGACTTCTTGTCTGAGGAAGTCTGTGATTGGATATTAAAAATTGAATAAGTATTTGATTACATGGTTGGATGGTTCAAGGCCACTCGTCACGTAATTTATTACTAATTAGGAGGAAGGATGATTGCTACAGATACATTAAATTATTATAAATGAAAATTTATTCCTATTTAGGATGATTTTCTATAAATATTACACATAATTTATTTTTTAGTTAGACTATATCTTAAATAATATACAATAAATATCTGTTAATAATTAAAGTTCAAAAACATATATCTGTATTTTATAGTCTATTAAAATATAATATATCTTATCATCTTATTATAATATGGTTTATAATTATATGAATTTTATAAGGATGGTTATTAATGTTTGTAACAAAAATACTGCGAATTTCCTAACATTGTTTTAAAGGATCTATTCTTAATTTATATTAAACATTTCACATATAAGCTTTTCTAACCTTTGTATATTAATTGAAACCCTCAATAAAAATTTTAGCACATTATTTTTTTTTATATTTTTGATAAATTTGTTTATTTAATTTATTTATTATAATAGTAATGCCGGAAATTAATACTGTACTTAATTTGCACTTATATAGCTTATGATATACAGTCAAATCTCTAAATGACAGACACTGATTGAACATAAAAAAAAAGGCCCGTTGTTGGAGGTTATTTTAATCTAAAATATATTATAATTAAATCAAACTAAGGTTTTCTAGTAATATATTAAATAAAAATTTGTTTAATTAAATATAGAAATATTCAATTTATATTCACTTAATTTCTTTCCTTAAAACAACATTATAAATTTGTGAATAAATGTCATATATTATATGGCATTTCTTCTAAATTTCTTCTTAAATTTTCTTAGTTACTTGATGCTATAAAATTGGATGTTTACTTTATATTCAATTTTAATTCAATTTATATGATACTTAATAAGGAATTTTAATATGATACTCAGGAATTTTGAAGTTTTTATTGATTTTATAAATATATTTAATATTTCCAACAACAAAATAATTTATTTTTCATTTAGCTTTTACTTGCTGTTATATTTTTCAATTTATTTCAAATATTTTCACTTATTTTTACTTAGAAAAATTATATTAAAGTCTATTTTCTATAATTTAAAATTTTTAAAATGATTATTAATTATCCATTAAGGAATATTAAATATCCCAATTACAACATTTTTATGGTTTAAATATATTTAAGCTAAAACATAATTTAATTAGTAATAAATTGTTTTCCTGGCATTTATTTATTTAAACCCAATAACAAGGGTCGGTGACATATAAATATGTATCATATGTATTAATATTTATCTACAAGACAACATATTTATAATTAATGTTTCTATAGGATACCAAAAATTTTATTTATCAAAACAAATAGAAGATTTTAAACTGAATTTAATATTGATGGTTTTTATGGTTTATATAATTTTATATTTCTCTGTCAGTGTTCTTCAGCCTTCAAATACTGAAAAAAAAATGGCTGCTCATAGAAATAAATCAATTAAATTTATATTTTAATTTAATTTAATAATTATAATTAATGTAGAATTTTATTTCAAAATGTTTAATTATTAAATTCCGATAATCATTTAATTTAACAGACTGTTTTATTTATCCTTCTAGTAAATTCAAATTTTTGAATATGAAAAAATACGCTTTCTTATTGGTTAATTCAAAAAATACCGAGCGGGACGCTTTCTTCTAATTGGACAATAATAATTTTAAAAAGAAAAATTACAGAAGTCCATTATAGAAAAAAAATTCGTGTACATTTTTACATTTTTCCAATTAAAAACACTAAATTTACGTCGCAAAATAACAAATGTTTTGCTTATATAAAACGTATGTGTGTATCCATGTTTTCATAACACCAGGTGCAGAATTATTTCACATCAATAAAATATTATTTTATTATATATACAGTTTATATGTTTATTTATTTATATATAAAACTTATTTATAATAATTTTACTCGGGTATTTTATTATATACATAATATACGTGTATTATTTTTAAGCATTTAAAAATTCTAAAAAGTTTCTAACTGGACCAGTCTGTGCTAAAATCTGTACTAGTTCCAGTTGGAGTTGACAGATGGCATCGGAGCGTGTCCTCGTTTCTTCCTCCTATATATAAATAGACAAGAGAAACGTGGACGAGCAAAAAGTGGTATGTCTGGTTGACATGTCATCTTTCGGGGCAATCGTAGAATGGGAAAATGATCAGGAAGATGATAACGAAGAACAAAAACAAGTCAGGAAAGGTAGGAGTACATAAATTGTTGATTCTAGCATTTATTGATCTAATAACGTATTAAATGTCACGGGTTTGAAGCCGCCATCCCGTTTTGGATCGCTAGTTTCTTAATTTAAATTCCGATACTTTTATTCGTCCGTTCATACTTATTTTAATAATTTTTACGACGAAAAAATAATTAATATATCTAATTAATAATTTTTAAAAATAAAGTTTACGTATTATGTATATGTATATTTTAATATTTAATCAAATTTCCCGCAAAAAATTTTCAAATTTAAAATTTCAAAATTTTAAATGATGTAATTTTTTAAATATTGTAAACGAGTTAATTTTTTAAAAAAAAGAAAAATTATTTTAGTTTATTGTGATGAGTAAATTTTATTTGAAATTTAGGAAAATATAAATTTATTTTAATGACGTTTAAAGTCCCGTTGACCTTGTGAGTTCCGTTGTCATGGCAACTAATGCTATTGATTTCCTCTTTTTCTTTTATTACTTTTTTAATGTAAAATCTTTTCGTGAGATTCACTTAATAATATTAAAAATTCGACACTTCTTAATATTAATTTCATACTTATGTAATACTTGATTGGGGAATTATTTTAGGGAATTAAAATGTTAGAGATAAAAGGGAAATATGACCCTGATACAAGTATCGGCATCCCTTTCCTGTTATATATTTCCTCTTTATGGAATATGTTAATGCTACTTCTTGAATAATTATTAATAAAAAATATAATATGTTTAAAATATGTTGATATATGGTAATGTGGTAAAATAACGTTTTTAAACATTTGTTTATATCACATGATCATCTGAATATGGTTCGGTAATTGTTACGTCATGAATCTAATGAGGGGAAGACACGTTATATGATTATTGCGCGCGCATACACATAGAACACCCACGTGTGTGTCATGTGTATGTATATATATATATATAGGAATTAATGAATAATTCAGTAATATAACTAGAATTGTTATTATAAATGTGAAAATAAGATTGCCACGTTTTTGCTTTTCCAAAGTAAGGGCAACAATAGTAATGCATATATACTGGGATATAGGGACAGCAGCCTCCCATTTAATGCCCTGCAGACATAAGATATAAGATTTTCAAGGAATGCCTTGCAACACCTCCCAGAAAATCTCTTTTTATAAGCTTCTTTATGATATAGTTCAGAAAAACTAGGTAATATAAATGCACAATTAAGAGAAGCGATATAATAATATAAAATTAAAGAACATTTATATATATATATATGGGTGGTTCGATAGAAACTTGTTCATCTTTGAGAACTTTTGTCTGTATTGATGCTAGTGTTACCACCCGTCTGGTTTTCACCCAGACAGTCCGGGAATTGACTCACTGTCCTGGTGAATTATTAATTTTGTTCGAGAATTTTGTAGAAATTGTGAAAATATGATGAAACAAAGTTCTTGCAAATATTTTTACAAATTTACTACAAATTTACACTATTTTAACAGCGAAAGAACTCACACTCAATGAAACTCATCTGCAATTCTGCCATGTTAGTCTGTTTACACTGACATGTGGTGTGCAATCTATTGCTCTTTTTTTTTTTTTTTTTGTTTGCATGTATGATCGTACATGTCTCAAACAGAGCTAAGTTATCTGTACCTGTTCTTTCTTAATTTAGGTTACCTGTGTTACTCCTATGCAAGTCCCTAGTCCCTAACTGTAACTGATTTAGAATCAGCATGCACATTATTCTTCGCATTGTAAAATGACATTGTGCATGTGTCAGGAACTTCTGTTTGAGCAAACCTGACATGCCGTCCGGATCAGCAATTTTCAAAAGGTGGCAACACTAATTGATGCCAGTTATACATAATCTCTGCCAGCATTAAGGCATGATTGCCACTGATTCACCAAGCAAAAACTTTCATTCTGGAGGAAGAGTTGTTGGCTGGTGATTGAAAAAGTCACATAATAGCATCCTCAACTTTAGTGTCTGATCAAAGTTTACAACCTTCGTGTATTATTTCGGCTATACAAAGTTGTGGAAATTGCAAGGGAATAGGTCAGGACTATACAGAGGATAGTCCAGCTGTTCCCAATGCATGTTTTTCAGTTTGGTCTTGGTTATGTTTGCTGCATGGGCATTGTCATGAAGAATGACTCTGTGACTTAGTTACAGGCTTTCTGTTCTTAAAGGTCATGTGCACCAATCAAGTGTTCCAGTGTATTGTTTGGCATTAATGGTCTTACCTTACTGCTGAAATTCCAACAGTAATCCTTCATGATCAAAACAGAATGTCAACATAATGCTTCTTGGGGACATGACTTTTCACTGTTTTGGGCTGAGATGACTCCAGATGTCTCTCCTGTAAGTTATCTTTAGGATTCCAGCTCATAGTGATGACAGCATGTTTCATCACAGGCTACAGTTCTTTACAGAAATTTATTTCCTTTGTGGTATGGATGGGTTTGAGTGCAGGACCCATTGCAAGAAAATCTTGTTGAATCTGAGATCATGAACAATGGAGTGGGTCAATCTGACACTTATACTAATTGTGTTGCAATGAACTTAATGCTGACATGACAATTTTCTCAGATAAATTCTTTGTACAAAATTCATGACTGTTTTGGCTGTTGTTACAGGCCCAGGCCATGGTTTTTCCATCATTGATTATCTGCCATTCCTGAACTTTGCTCCTGTTTGTTATTGTCCTCTTTATAACACAAGTGTCACTGTACACAATTTGCATTCAGCAATGTATCTCAGCAGGCTAGTAGCCTTCCACACTCAAAAACTGAATTATAGCATGCTTGTCAGTCTTGAATGAATGGTGAATGCCATCTTTCTCTGGCTGTTACACACTCATTGCACCATCAACAGCAATAATGCTAGTATACTAGTTAGATGGCATTGCAAATCTATGTGTTGCATTGCATCTTGGGATTGTCTGATCCACCAAATGGAATTTACATGGGTCTAACAGGTTTCTATTGAACTAATCATTTATTACAGTATTATTTTATTTAGCAGATATTTAGCTGCAGGCATTATAATAACAACAAGACATTGATCAACACTTTACATTGTTAAATGTATTTACTAATTAAACTTGTTTTTACTGTTTGATTTTGCAGATACCAATAAGTTTATATCATTTTTTGCTATATTTTTGAAATTGTGATGATTTTCTTTAAAATCAAGATAAAATAATGATTCTACACAAATAATGCTAATGAAAGAATGATTTTCCTCCATTTATTTTTCATAAGACTGTACTTACCAAATAAGGATGAATATCAATCCTACATGAAGACCTATATTCACCCCTGTACCATTGTGGGTGTAGTCAATGGTGTTGTGGATGAAGCGACAATGTCAAATTGAAATCTTTTTTCTATACTTAACTGAATTTTGTTTTCATTTATTTACAAAGTTAAGAGAGTTAAATGTACTAAATACTATAATTTTCTTTTTAATAGTTTATTAAAATCTTCAGTATTGATGTCAAGTTCTCTCTCACTTGACCCCTGATCAGCTGAGAAGGGTTGAAAAATAACAAGGACTCTATTTTAGAATTTTTATGTTCCAGTAAAGCAGAAATTGTGTGTAAATATCTGATTAGATTTGATATTTTAAGCTTGATAAAGCCAAATTAACTATCAAGTTAAATAGTTAAACTGACGTTATTGTTTGTTAAAATATTTCGAGCTTAGTTGTCTGTACGTAGTTTGATATTTGAGTTTTTGATGTATATTATATTTAAATTTCTTATCAATAAATGTTATTGAATAAATAGACTTACTCAGCAAAATTCAATTAATTATTACATGTATTTTTGGTATAAAACATTTTTTAAAATTAGTATATCAAATTTTACAAAGTTGCCAATCATTTGTTGCAATAAAACTAACTGAATAATAATTGTAAATTTAAAATAATAGATTTTTCTGTTATATTAACTTAACCAAAAGGATATAATGTGATATTTGAATCTTTTTGATAAAAGCTGAAATGAGAATTTATTTTTAGTTTTGTTGTCTTACAATGGGTTTATATCTACATAAATTAACGCATTTGTGAAAAATGTTCTTTCCTTGTATAAACTGATTTTTTTTTAATTTAGGATCTCCTAGATATATTTTTAGATTAGAATTTAGAATATTTTGTAATTCAAATAAATTAATTTAATATGAGATGTGGCTTAACTGATTACCTCTAGTTCAAATTGTTCGACATCTTATTAATTAATTAGCTGTATCCTAAAGCAATAAGACCATTGAAATTTAAATTTTCACAAAAACATTTTCAATCAAACGTTTTTGTGTACAATTTACTTTAATTTGATTGGAAATTAAAGTAAATTTTGTGTGTTTTAGGAATGACATTGGAACGAAACTGGAAATGGCATCATAAAACTTAGTTTTTGTCTCGTGATAAAGTTTTATCTCTTATTCAAAAACAAAACAAATAATTATCTAGGTTAGCTGGATTTTTTTTCTACAGTAGTTCCTCTATCATTTGCTAAAATTTATATTTCAAGCATTTCATATAAAATAATTAGTTTTGATTGAACTGATTCCATAAAAAATGCTGGTCATCCTGCTTTCTGGAAAAAACAGGAAATGTGCTAATTTTAATAAGATTTTCTTATCCTAGAAATTACTTAAGCTTNAAGAGTCACTCCTCACAGATTCTTTTCCAAAAAAAAAAAATGTAAATATGTTTATAGCAATTTTTTTTTTCAAGGATCAAATTTTCAAGGATTAAATCATAAACTGTATTGCCATATGCATGTCAATGATAATAACATGAAATTTAAAAAGTTTTTAAGAGATTTGTTGCAGTCTATTTCTTCAAATTCTTTTTAAAATTAAAATTTAAAGCCATTTTCTCTACGCTGTAATAAAATTTCTTATAATAACTGATAATTTTACACAAGAAGCACCATTGAAAGGTTATTAATCTAAGTAGTAATTTTGGTGGAAAATATTATTATTTGTTTTTTACTTCTCCTTCCCCATGGGCAGTAAGAATGCCTTTTAATCATACCCATTGTGGGTTCTGTCAGGCCCAAAGTAGGGTGGCTGGGTGGTGGGGGCTGACATATTCAAGACAGATTATCTCTAAAACATTCCTAGGGTTTTTTAAGTTGTCTAAATTCAATTCTTGGTTCCCAGAATGATAGGCTAACACCTACAGGTTCTTAATAAATTAGAAGGTGCAATTGTTTTTTACTTCCTTTGAAATTTTTAATTTGTTATTTGTGATTGAAAAATTATAATTGGTTAATTTTGTATACATCCAATGTTGATGTACTATACTATGTTAAAAAGAGCTTAACTACAATAAGATAAAACATAAGCCAGCTGATGTATTGTTTATTGTAAGTAGGGTTTTCAGCACTTGGATTTGCCAGGATACTACCAAAATTTAGCAAAAATGTTTAAAACTTTATGATTTCCAAATTGAGATCTATTTCTCCAGTAATTACTCAACAAGACAATCAATTTTTGGGGGTATATATTAAAGCAGACTAAAGAATAGATGACTGCATTTTGATATATTACCAAGCATTTCTGAGAACCTACTTTACTGCTTAAATTAACGTTTTCAACCTGATCAACAGGCCATTGTCAAGTAGTGTTACCACCCGGAGAGTCCGGGAATCGACTCGCTGTCCGGGTGAACTATTAATTTTGTCCAGGAATATCATGCGCAACCTGTCAACCTTTTTTTCTTCACGACCCCAGTTATGATTGTAATTTTTTTCGCAACCCAAAAAATATAAAATAAAGATATATACAAATTTGCAAAAACAATAATGATGTACTACCACAGTTCACTCTTGTGTTACAACAGAACAGAGACAACTGAATACACTGAAAAGCGACAATACTATACTAGTTCACACTACAATCAGTGTTGCTGAATTGTTGTCTCGCTGCACAAGAAGTGACACAAAGTGCAACTCACAAAACCTATGACACAAAGCATGCCACTTTCAAACTTCACAAATTATTTTCAATATTTTGCATTAAAATCTCGCGACCCCAAGATTTCGCTAAGCGACCCCAAGATTTCGCTAAGCGACCCCAAATGGGGTTGCAACCCATAGTTTAAGAAGCCCTGCAATAGAGCTAAGTCATCTGTAGTTGTAGTTGTTTTTTCTTAATTTAGTTACTTACGTTACTCCTACCCAAGTCTCCCTAACTGTAACTGATGTAGAACCGGCATGCACTGCATGTTATTCTTTGCATTGCAAAATGACATTGCGCATGCATCAGGAACTTCTGTTCAAACAAACCTCACCTGCCATCTGGGTCAGTGTGTTGAAAAGGTGGCAACACTATTGTCAAGTTATCAATTCTCTGGAATGTTTACAATTGTTCTATATTCAACCGAATATGATATAACAAATTCAAATTTAAAACAGTTTGAACATTTTGTTAAAATACCAAATATACAAAATATAATTAATCCTAAAATACATAAAACTGAACGAATCAAAATAAATAGAATAAAACTAAATAAAGTAAAATAAAATAAAAATACAAATATAATAACATAACATATAGAATTACATCGACCATGCGCTATGTATCAGATTTTAACAAGCCATTCCTGATCATATACTTCCAGGCTGATGATAACCGTTGGCATCCTTCTAGTTTAAACATTTTTCAGTAAGGCTAAATTTATATATTTTAAACTTTTCTAAACTCAATGCCAGAATTAGTGAACACACCAGTGTAACAATCCTGGCCTCAGCCCATTCAACCACTAAACCATCAGTTTGTGCCACTCTGGATAGTACTGTAGAATAGTGCCCCTTCTTTACATCATGCATAAACTCCTTAAGCCTTTTGTTTCAGGTTTCTGGTGGTGACACCCACATACTCTTTGTTAAGACCCAATTGATCATTTTTACGTAAGGTGTATGTGTGGATAATATTTAATAAGTCTGAGTGTATGTTGAAATGAAATATATTACCAAGCATAAAAAATGTTAAATTTCCCAATATTTTTTACTCCCAGAATTCACTATTCAGGTATTGGCACTCTCAGTTGTAACTGTAATAGAAAGGTACTTTTTAAGTACAATATATCTCGAATTTAAACTTTAATTTTGCTAATGTCTGTATCGGCAAATTCGAATAAGGATTTTCTAGAAATTATTATGAGGGCCATTTAAAACACTTCATATCCCTAATTTGATTTCTTTAGAGGCATTATATAGATGTCAAACAAAAATGTTAGTAGTAAGTAGTGAGATGAGACCTCTAAGATGGTGCCTTCAGCTGTGGCCAGATATGCCTATGCATTAATGCAGTGGTTCTCAAAGCGGGTGCCGCAAGAACGCCACAAGGGTGCCGCGAAATTTTTAAATAATTAAATTAAAATTACTTAAAATAATTGAATTAAAGTATTAAATTAAATAAATAATTAAAAGATACCTTTATAATAATAACTTTTGTTTTGAATGCTTTTGTGTTGTTTGGAAATAAACTTACTTTAATAAAAAACTTTTATTTTTTTCAAAGTCTTCTCATCCTTCATATCTTTACTAACCGTAAAAAGCAAAATAATAAATAATAATAATAGGGGTGCCGTGAATTTTGTTTAATAATTTCAAGTGTGCCACCTGACAAAAAAGTTTGAGAAACACTGCATTAATGTGGTCCTGAGTATATCCACTGTTTAAAATAATTTTTTTATTTGTTAATTATATAAGTCTGAGACTATAAATGATTTTAAGACACCACATAGTAATGAGCAATTATTTATTGTGACATCGCCACAATGCCACGCTGCAATTTTTTGTCATGGTGCTCTCAGTTCTAGTAGTGTCTTGCCCCTGTACATCAATGGAGTCATGCTGGTCATCTAACTCTGTTCAGGAGAAAAGTTTTGAATTGAAATAACATGACTTTCAGTCAAAACCAGAAGTTTGTATATAGTTAATCAGGGCCTCCTGTCCCTAAACTTTCCATATCTGATCTTGACTTTCATTTCTCTAGCTCCATTCTCGAGATTAAGGAAGAACAGACAGGCAATTTACAGGTCTACAATTTTTGAAAATTGCAGCCCAATTACATATTATCCTTTTACCTTTATAAGTAATTTAATATATTAACTTTTTTTATATATAATAAATGATTTTTTTGAATTAAATTAATATTCTTTTAATGTTGTGATTTTGATTTTTAATTCATTATAACTTTTTTCTTTCAGAGAAGAGTGTAACACAAAACATAATCTTTAAATGTCGTAGATATTGGTGCACAGAGAAAGCTGTAAAAAGATGTTTGCCCATCTTGACTTGGCTACCAAAGTACAGTAGAATAGATCTAAAAGGTGACATAATTGCAGGTGTTACAGTTGCGCTTACAGTCATTCCACAAGGCTTAGCCTATGCTCAGTTGGCATTACTTCCTCCACAGGTGAATCATCTTGTTTGCTTAGAGTTAGCAAAATTAAAACTAAAAATCAAATTTTTCTTTCAATTAGTATGGTTTATACACGGCATTTATGGGATGTTTTGTTTATATGATATTCGGAAGTTCCAAAGATTTGACCATCGGACCAACTGCTGTTCTGTCATTGATGATATCAGAATATGTCTATATTGGTGGCATACCTTACGCCATTCTTCTATCATTTTTTTGTGGTTGTATACAATTGATTATGGGATTATTAAATCTTGGTAAGTTTTTTGGTTTAAGAAATGATTATATCTATATCATTATATCGTATAATAACTATTTATTTCCTTCTAGGATTTTTTATAAATTTTGTCTCTGCTCCAGTATTAAGTGGCTTTGTATCTGCTGCTGCTATAATAATTGCTATAAATCAACTAAAGGTAAATTTCAATAATGTTTTTTTATAGTTATAATATACCTAGAATCAAAGAATCTTGATATTACATAATTTGTGTATCAGATATGCTAATTTTGATAACATTTATATAACTTAATATCTGAAAGCATACTAATTAAAATACACTTATAAAATTTTTGCTTATTATAATCATCAAACTTCAGTTAGTTATCACCAATCTTTAGATAAACAGGCATTTTTAAATTAAGCTGTCTAGTGATGAAATTAGCTTGGTTTCTGGATAGTTAAATATGTAATGAACATTAGATATGTGCACATAAATTACTGTACTTTCTTGATGTAATTCTCGTGTTATTTGTTTGAAATAAGTTTACATATTATATATCAATTTTAAGTCTCAATTACAGACTTAAGCTTATGGAGCAATGCCTACTCCCATAGGTGCATAGTATATGGTGACATGGGTTTCATCCAAAGGGTTTATCTTCGCTCTGCTATTTTCTGCAGGCTTTGGTAGGTTATACACTACTGCAGCTTATATACAGTACAGGTAACCACCGTATAACACAGGAGTTATGTTCCAAAAAATTGCCATGTTATATGAATCCGTGTTATATGAAACAAAGAACTAGTACGGAAAGGGGGGTTAGGTTCCAAAAATTAAAGAACATGCTATTATATTTTTATAATTAAGATAAATATCTTTATTAAAATTTTTGTAGCGATACATATTAATATAAATTAAACAATGTTCTCTTTGTCATCACTAAGCACTATTAACTGAGGGCATTTTCTTTTTGGCAAGATATCCTTATCCTCTGAGCATTTTTCTGCATTATCTTCAGATCCATGCTCTACCTTTTGCAAAAAATATGTTATTTTAGAATGCTTGCTTTTAGTTAAAAGATCTTTATAAATTTCCTTATATGGTGCTAAGCACTTATGAAGAATAGTAAAGCAAGTATGGAATAGGGGAAAACATCTGGCAACACAAAATCAGAAGCGGTGCAATCTGGCAACACTGAAACAAGTTTTGAGAAGGATTACGTGTATCGACAGAAGGCGGAAAAGAAAATTTACTTACTTAAGTACTAATAGTTCATGAAAATAATAATTTTCGTGAACTATTAGTACTTAAGTATGTGAAAATTTATTACATTTCATGTTGTACGAGGGTTTTACCCAATTCTCGAACCATGTTAGAGTGAATCTGTGCTAAAAAAAAGCACCATGTTATACGGGGGATGCTCACAATTCTCAAATTGTGTTAGAGTGAATTTGTGCTATAGAAGTGCTGTGTTATACGGGACTTACCTGTATTTGAAAACATGATACAGTACATTACATAAAATCAATACATTTTAGTATTTGAAGACAATACTCAGAGTGTCCACTTAAACATCTATCCAGAGGAAAAATAGACCTTTTCAGTCTTGATTAGGTTAGGTTGTGGACTGCAGTTTATGCAAATACACTGGATATTAAAACACTATGACATGCATCTGTTATGCTGCTACCTGCAACCAGCACAATGCAGTGATTTGAGTGGTGTAATGTGGTGTTAATTTAACATCATGACTAACCTCAACACTTTCGGCACAATTTTTTGGACTGACAAAGCACTGTTTTTCCAAATTGGAGTTTATAAATGTCACAATGCACACCACTGGGCAGAATTCTCGAGATTAAGGAAGGACAGAGAATGGATGACAGTAGGAATTTATAGGTCTACAATTTTTTTCAAATTGCAGCCCAATAAAGCCCATGTTTTTCTATCAGTTTCTACAAAATTGTCTTTATCCTTTACAGTCAGATTATTCTTATGTTATGCTAAATCATCATAAATTGATTTCCTTCGGTTATTTCATCACTGGAACAAGCATGCACAACATGCATACACTCATGCAATGCTGAAAAGATCTTGTTTGCTCCAGGATAGATGTATAAATCATTTTATATTAAGATTATATGGAAATAAATTTTATTAAAAATGTATTTCATTTAAAAATATAAAACTTTCAATAGGTTAAATTTTCAGGGAAAAACTCAGGATTAAAAATATTATTGCTATTAACCCAACTGTGTTAAACTCCCAATAATGAACTCTTACAGTTTAAAAATGTAATTAAGGTGGTGTCATACTACACAGTTTGGAGATCAGGAATCAAATTTGGATAGGTCAAAACCCCAGGAATTTTTTAGTGGGTATCTTTCTGGATATGAGGGGCTCATCCCTCATCATCTGGCCACCCATTGGTGGGCCTGGCCAAACCCACAATGGGCTTGCATGAAGGTCCTCTTAGTTCCCACAGAGTGGAAAAAATTAAAATTAAAATTTTATGAAACTAAATAAAATATTTAGTGTGGTTTAGATTTAATGAGTTTATTGATATTTTAATTTGTAAAATGCATTGTGCGGTATTTTTAAATTAAAATATAAATGTCGATATTTATGATATTTAAGCTTTTCTATTTTTATTACATTTACTTAATTTAGGGATTATTTGGACTTTCTTACAAGTCTCATGGATTTATTGACACTGTGTATAAATTTTTTGTAAATATTCATACTACTAAGTAAGTATTTTTCTTGTAAGTATTTTTAAAATACTTTTTAAGATTAAATTATAGTAGATTTTTAACCTTTGCATACTTTTTCTTATAAAAATATTTATTAGAATTTTAATATGATAGATTAAAATTTGCTCTCCGTAACTTTGTATTGTGATATAAATTTAATGAAGGATAATTCATTTGTTTTTATTATAATATGCTTTCATTTCAAAAACATTTCTTAAAATAATGCCTTTTTTTGACTGTGTCTATTTGCCAATTTGAAATGATGTGATGTAAAAGTATATAAGAAATGCTATTTTATAAACATAATTACATTCATGGGTAAGAGTACTGCAGAATGTATGAGTATAGCATGTTGATAGTAGTATAATTTCTATTTTCAACATAGAGATTTGCTGTGTTGTGTCTATTTATGAATTGCTTTACTTTACTAGATGGCCCTTTTTATTTATAATTCAACTAGGGATGCATTTCAGAATCGATGAAAATGGGTTTAAAACTGAGTAAATTTTAAAAAACATAAAGATTCATTTATTTATTGATCTATAAATTGGTGATATTATATTGATGTGTTAATAAAATAATATAGAACAAATCTTTCAATAGAATAATCAAATGTTAAAACCAGGCAAAAAGGAGGATAATCCCTGGAAATCAGGGACATTTGCTCGCCATAACTTTACAGAAACTTTATTTGTAAATTAATTTTGATAATAGTTTGATTTTAACAGCATCTTTATAAGCCTTTTCCAAATTATACAGTATTATCTTTTATCTGTGACAAAATAAATATTTTTTCAAATTTTTTTATTTTAGATGTTCCTAGGAGAACTTTACCAGGCAAACACTGATCTGGTCACACTTGACTTTTACACCTGAATCTACAGAATGAACCATAGCATTAAAGGACTATATAATAGGGGTGGCTGAACTTTTTAATCATGACAATCATTCTAATAGAGGAAACAGCTTACTAATAAGTGATATATTGTTCTTTATATCCACGGTAAAGATCTAGAAGAGCCACAGTTTGGCCACTGTTGCTACATAACAGGCATTTTATCTCTAAAGTCAGTATTTTTACATTAAATACATACTCAAATAACTCATTCAGATTCAAGCATGATGGACAAGATCAAAAACATGAATAGTTCTGCATAAGCACTCTAGAAGTGACAGCACAAAATAACAAAATAGTCTTCAAATTTTCTTTACGTACAAGAAAATAAATGCATTTTAAAAAGTTTTATTTGTAAATCAAACTGCATTGAATGATACTGCTCTGATGTACTGCAGATCCATTGTGAAATGCTTTTATCAACTTAAGTTTGAACAGTTTTAAGACTTTGTCGCTATTGAGTGTTTGTCAAAAATTGGGGAAATTTGCTGAAAATTTATTGTGTTGTAAATTTCCATTGTAATTATAAAGTTTTCTATCCAATGCAATTACAGTATATGTTTTAGCCTTTAAGAAAAAACATTAAGACAAGCGAAAATGAAACACACAGTTTCAGTTTACTTTTCAATAGTCACAAAACTGCAAGTACACTTTCTGGAATACACGTGAAATATGCAAGGAAGCCTACTTCCCTGGCATGATGTACAGTACATGCCAGGCAGCCAGTTGCAAAAAGGTCAACTTACAATTGGGTTCTAGTTTTCCTTTTTTGAAAAGTAGGGATTCCAAAATTGGGAGTCAACTTGTAACATACTGGTCTATGTTGAATATATCTATAAATATCATGTATTTTCAATCTGGTGCCATAAGTAACCAATGATGGTTATATCAATTAAATGTCTGGAAGAAGAGATCGGTCTGGAGGTTTGGGAAGCGTAACTGGCAACGCATCTGCATGTAAGTGGGAGGTGTGGATTCGAGTCCTGCTGCGGGCTGATTTCTTTTTTCCAGAATATTCTAAATTATTTATAAATATTAATTTAATTATAATTATTAAATTTAATAAGAGATGGCACCTAATGCCTGCCTCTAGTGAAAAATTATTTAGAAATTAATTAAAAATAAATGCAGAGAAGTAGCCTGATTTAATCCAGTAATTGTTTAGCATATTAATAATATATCGGGTTTTGAGATGTTTTTATATCATGTATTATAATTAGTGTATAATAATTAAATTTTGGTAGTTAAAGGTCAAAGGGGTGGTGAGATAGAGGGAGAATTGTGTGTTGTATCTCGAATGTGGTCGGACTTAATGAAGATTTAACACTACTAGCAGTAACAACTTTTTATAAAACTCCTCAAAATTAGGCTTTTTTCCATTTTTACATTATTTTATTATTATATTATAAAAGTTTTTAAAATAAAATCTCGCAACAGATGGCACCACACAATTTTAACTCTTGCAGGGAAAAAAATCCAGCAATGAGTTGCTGTATTTTTATAATTAATTAAACTTTATTTTAAAATTTTTAATCAAATATAACTAACAATTTTCTTTTAAATTTCAGTTATTGGGATTTTCTTATGGGTTCAATTTGCATTGTGTTGCTTCTTCTCATGCGGGTAATTTCGTTTAATTAAAATATCTTATTTCATATGACATTGGCTTAATAATAAATTTCTTCCTCTAAATGTGTTCGCTGTTAATATTGTTATAGTATTGATAATAGCATAAACACACAGGTATCAAGTGAACTCTTTGTTCTCAGCATTTCAAGGACCGAAAAATAAAACAGGAATCCAAATTACCATTAACTGTAAGAAAGTTGTTCGACAGTGCTTGGTGGACGATCGCCACCGGTAGTATATTGTTTTTAATAGCAATTTTGATATTAATTTAAAAATTATCTTAATAAGTTTTTAATTTTTAGGAAGAAATGCCTTACTTGTTGTCATTTCTGCCATCGTAGCATATTTGCTGATTGCATTCGATAAAAATGCCTTGACTCTAACGAAAGAAGTTGAAGCAACGCTTCCGTCTTTCTCTTTTCCTCAATTTACTTTGACTATTTATCATAATGAAACACAAATCTTGACATATAAATCATTTTTTCAAGTTATTTCCGTAAGTGTACATCAAAAAATTTACCTTTTGCATATTTCATTTTCCTAAAATTCTCATTACTTTTAGGATCTTGGTTCTGGAATCATTGTTATTCCTTTTGTGTCTGTTATCGAAGCCATTGCTATTGCGAAAGCATTTTGTAAGTCATAATTTTCCATTTAATCCGTATTCTAAATTCATTTTTAACGACAAATTTACTTTTAGCAAAGGGTAAAAAATTAAATGCTACTCAAGAAATTATTGCCTTAGGTATAAATTTATCTCAATTCTTCTTGAAATTTCATTTAATTAAAAATATAAAGTAATGAATTTTTAATTTAATTAGGTTTTTGTAATGTTTTTGGATCATTTGTATCTTCATATCCGACAACTGCTAGCTTCTCTAGGTAAATTACGATCATTTATAACTTTTATGAACATGAATGTACAGTACTTAGACATAAAACTTGGTATTTTTAGATCTGCAATTAATAATGCAAGTGGTGTTAGAACTCCTTTAGGAGCAATCTTCACAGGTGAATGTATAGACTAGTTTTTATATTGAACAAAATCCATAATTTAGATTATATTGAATAATAAATCTGAGGTGCATTTGGAAAGTAATGTTTAGCTTTAAAAAAAATCAAAAACATTTACGTATTACACATCTTAAGCTATATTTCCACTAGTTTCATCTGTTAGAGGCACTTATTATAGTGGAACATGGGGCTTTTGTATACCGTTGACATAGAATTTGCTTGCTTGCAATGTTAGCCACTTCTACAATACAGGTATTGTAGAAGTGACTAACGTCAGTAATTGGTTCCAGGAGAGGCGACATAAGTCGAAAAACGACGTAAGTCAAATTTACTTGTCTCCGAACCTACTTGTCACTAGGCTAAACCATAAATTACCATTTCCAGTTCTGTATTTTATTTATTAATGCATTTTTAATAATATATGGATAATAAGGATCTATTTTAAGCTTACAAAAAAATAAATTTTAGTTTTTAATATAGTACAGAAAAAAGTAATCTAAATTTACGAATGCATGTACTGTAAATATAGTACATACTTGTAAATGTATATATTTTAATATGATTTTATGTGCTTTAAATGCCTTTCTAGTGATATTATGACTTCAATATTTGTGGCAGACAGACGTATAGTTGAATAAAATGACTTAAACTTGATTTTTATTTTTCCATATACTTTTTTGACAAACGACGTATAATCGGGAACGACGTAAGTTGAGGTATACCTGTACATTTTTCAGATCTTACTATTGTAAAAACATTGACCAGCCAGGAACTTAAAAGTGAAAGAGGTGATTTATTTGTTTCCATCCAAATTAAGTTTTGAGTGTGAGCGGCAATGTTACGAAGCAAAAGAATGCCAGCACTCGGCATTTCACCCCTTTTTATTTTGAAATGCATGCTGCACGCTAGTCGTCACTTGTACTGCATTTTCAATGTTTCACAATAAACAACACAGTTGATTTGTTGTACCTTGCAGCCCGAATTTCACCAACAGGACACTTTGTCTGTCTCAAAACATGATGCACAAAATCTTTCTCATCAAAGTTTTTGCTTTTTGATAATGCTATATGTTTCTTTCCTAGTATTAATGTGTGAGAACTCATTTGAATGTAACAAATGGTCTACTCCCCTGCAACCTTGACTCGACACAAATTTGAGATTGGAGCGACTTTCACCTCTTACACCTAAAATAGTTCGTAATTGAGCATGTTTTGATGATAGTCTGAAAGATTCAGTACAGAAATGGCTAGCATCATGGGTGATCATATTTTATGAAGTAGATATACAAAAATGACGTCCTGCTGTGATAGGTGCCTCAATAATGGAGGAAGTTATGAGAAACGTAGTTAAATATGTGTAGAATCTGGTGATAAAAAATTCTATAGGTTTAAAAAAAGTGTACTTTCTGAATATGCCTCTTTTTTTTTATATATAAGCATTATATATAATACACTTAGATTTTATTTTAAATTCTTTAGGGTGCCTTGTATTGTTTGCACTTGGTATAATAGCACCATTCTTTAAATACATTCCTAAAGCGTGTTTGTGTGCAATCGTCTTCAGTGCTGTAATCTTTATGGTTCATTATCAAGATGTTATATCTATCTGGAAGACAAATAGTATTTATTATATTTATATTAATAATTTGAAAATAATTTTCATTTTTAATTAATTTTTAAAATTTAATTTAGAAATAGATCTTCTACCGTTATCTGCGACATTTATATGTTCTTTCTTGCTAGGCTTAGAGGTAAATACTAAAATAATTTATATCATCTCTTTGTATATCTAGACTTATATTAGTATAACAGTAAATATAATTGAGAGAGAAAATATAATGACAGATATTTTATAAAATCATGTTTTACATAAGTTTAGTACTGTATTTAGATATTTACTATTAATAAAAAACATGCAAAGGACATAGTAACCAAAGAGAAAATATATAGTTTAAAATAATATCTGCAAGTAAAATCTGTAAATATGAAGAATTTATTAAGTAAAAAGTTTGTATAATTTAACACTTTTTCACTGGAATATTTGAAAGTTACACATCTTTCAAGTAGTGTTTTTGCTTTATTATTAATCTATGTACTTAGAAGATTCTAAGCACATACCTAGAAACATTATCATACTATTTCGCTAAATATAATCCAAAGCAATGTTTCAAAACACTATTTCTAAAAATTAATGTAGTCTTTATTATATTTGGTGCACTTCTGTACGTTGAATAGTAAGATTTTTATAAATTTATGCAAACTCCGATTAGTAAAAATAAATATTTTATATAAATTTTAAATTTTAGTTTGGAATTCTGATTGGTGCAGCAATTTCTTTACTGATTTATTTGTATCAACAGTCGCAATTGAAGATGAATATTAACGTGTCAATGGTAATGATATTCTTATATTTATGAAGATTTTACCCATATCAGATAGACTGAAAATAAGATTTTTTTCTTCCAGTTACCGGAAGGTATTACTTGTATGTATGTTAAACCAGATAAAAATATTTTATATCCATCTATTGAATATGTATCATCTAAATTAGCAAAAGAATTATCAGGTGAGATTAAAAAAGGTTTAATTTTTACTTTTTAAAAATTCCTTCTCTAAGTCCACAAATAAAATGGAGTTTTACTGGAAGAGTTGTTTCATAGCAAGTAATTACATAAGAGTACTTGTCACAGGTGTAGAAAAAAACACTAAATTTAAAAAATATTTGTCCTTTATACCTTTTGGGATCCAACAATAGTCTGATAAGAGGTTTGTCGAAGTTGATTTTTTTTTTATCGAGGCTCTCCTCCACCTTTGGAGACAGAGTTTTTGCATATCCAGCCGAAGAGAACCTCGATTAAAAAAAGGTCGACTCCACCGATGCCTTTATCACTGTGGTGGTATCCTAAAGTTATAAATAAGGATGATGAAACATTTGTGAACTCCGCAAGGCACGTGGTCTGCGGTTACAGATATACGATAGAAAGAACAAAGGGAAGGACAATGAAAAATCGGTAGACACGTGTGATCAGGCAAACAAAGGTTTATTTTGGTAAAAGAAAAACGCGGTACAATATATATCTCAATAAACAGTCCAACACCCGACAGTTATTGTAACAAATAACGAAATAGCCTGACGTTCCCCTTTCCGTTAACCTTCCTCACGCGAGGCCCCGTTCTTTTTCGACAATTAAATATAGATCCGAAAATAAAAATATTGTGGACGGAGTACCTAAGGGACTTGCAAGGGTTCTGTCGTAGCGGTCCGATTGTGGGCTTCGATGGGGAATCTTCTTCTTTTCGAGTCGCAACTTCCTTTCTTCTACCAACGGTCCACTCTCTTCTCGGTCGCTCTTCTCTCCTTTTTCGTCTGCGGTTCTCTCCCTTTCTTTCTCGAAAAAGTCCAAGAGTCCCTTTCTTACTCCTTACACCCGCTTTTATAACTCCCTCCAACTCCGTCACACTGTCACGGACCAATCAGACGCCGGAAACTTAGCCATCGGCTAATAGGAGGCACCGAGGAAGGAAACGGAAGGGAAACGGTACAAATTATACGCGCGACGCGACATAAACGGAAAACAAACAAAAAAAAAAAGACAAAAATATAATACAATCATAGCCACGAAGTGCTACACATTTGAATAAAAGTTCCTTCTACGTACATCACAATTAACTGTTATCATGGTAATTTATTTATATCTGTAACATAACTATACTTTTCTAAACAGTAATTGGCAAGAGTCAATCAAGAATGACATCAATCTTTACTACTTGTCATTTGGTTTTCTAAAAATGTTTTTCTATGTTTTTAATAACAGTTGCAGAATCATTGCCCGAAGTAATCATCTTCGATTGTAAATATATTACAAAAGCAGATTATACAACGTCGATGGTAAAGACATTCCACATTTTCTTTATTTGTTTTTCAATTCCATTTTTGGTAATAGAAAATGTTTTTCAGGGCTTCAAACATATTGTAGACTCTTTAAAATCGCAAGACATTTTGTTGATCTTCACCAATTTAACGGTAAATTTTTTGATAAATTTTCTTTTGTCATTTTTCTATTATTTTCAAATCATAATCAATATTTTCTAGAATCAAGTAGAGAAAATACTTGTAGGTTCTTGTCCCGCTTATTTTCATCATTGTAGATCCGAATCGGAAATCAAATCGTGTATTAATGGTAAGTTAAGAATTACTTTTGAACAATCTGTAAATATACGAGTTTTTCACTTTGTTTCTTTTCAGAAAGTATTGTTTCAAAACAGAACAAAGAGAAACAGGATATTAAAATAAATGTTCCATTAAACGGAACAGTATCGTCAATTGTTACTCCACACCAAAGAAATTCGAAGACACGGGACCAAATAGAAACGACGGATCCGGTAAATCAAACACTTCTATCCGAAGTCGTAACCGAAGACAAAAGTACAGTTTTATAATGTGGAAATTATCACATTATGTGTTTTTTAATTTTATAAATTTTCTATCGTTGACTCATTTTAGTAAATTTTATTTAAAAAAATTAAAATTCTAATTTTTGGGTTTAGCAGTATTCCTGATTTTAATTTTTTAAAATTTTATACAAAATATATTAGTTGAATATAATTGGATTTTTATAAGGTAATGCAGTTTTTCAGGTTGTTAAAATTATGTAAATATAAAAATTTTGTTTCTATTTTTATACAAAAAATCTGTAAAATCTTTTAAACATTAAAAAGTTAACATCAAATAAACCTGAAACTGATGCATATTTTATTATATTTAAAATCTTCCGTTATAAACATCATTATTTAATTCTAAGAAGTGAACATCTGTTAACAAATAGAATATTCGAAAGTCAATAAAATTTTCATCTGTTCAATGTTGCTTAATTTCTAAGTATACTGTATATTCTATTAGAAAATTATTTCCTTGTATAATTCTTTCTACATATATCAATTTTTGAGAAATAAAATTTTCAATTAAACCAATTTTGTTTTTATTTGTATTTATATTGACATTAGTTGCATTATTTTCCTAAAAAATGTTTATTACACTTAACTCTCTTGCCCCTATGAGCACTGAGAGTTCTACAAGAGGAACAAAAAGCAGCTATCATTAATATCAAACTTGTGAACCTTTCCCACTTGAATCAAGCTTGTGCTTTATTGTTACAATCTTGACTGTTTAATATAATTTATATAACATTGGAAATGCTGTTACAATATAATATTTTCAACTTCTCTCAGTGTATATGCTGTGGAAACTATCCTGTATTATAAATGTGTATCCAAAAGTAGCATAAATGAAGTACTTTACTTAGCATGACGTCAATACACTCAACATTCTCCAAAGTAGCACTTTTGTAGAGGGTATTCAGCAGAAAATACTCAACTTCTCTAACTGTTGAGTCTGCTAAACTCAGCCATTAATAATGTAGTATCCACTCAGATTTTTGTATTTGGAGTTTACTTTTGCTGTATATATGGATAGAAAAACATTTTAAGACAATCACCTCCAAAACTTAATGTTTCAAGGAGTGACAAAAATTTATTTTCTTAAGAGTACAATGTGTGTGATATATGTAATATTCTAGCATGACATTACAGGCTACCATGCAGGCAAAACAGTAAAAACTATTTAATAAACACTATTAACTTTTTTTTGCAGTGTAGTGTAATGCATGATCTTAAATGTTTGATTTAGAGAAAGCAAATGCCCATTTCAGATTATGTTGTCTTAATTTTTTTCATTTCGGCCAAATGGGTTCCAAAAATTTCCTAAATCCATCAAGATTTTATCCATCTCTCTTAACGGAAAGATTAAATGGTATCAAGAAGTCAATGAATTTAGTTTAATAAGAATACATAGAATGTAATAATCTTAACAAGTTAATAGACCAACAGCAAAATCTCAAACTACCAAATTATTGGACTACTCATATCTATATTAGCAGTTTGTTTGGCTTTAATCATCAACTCAAAACCCAATTATATTTATGTACTCGTACATGTTCTCCACAATAGGACCAATTGGGAGAAAACAGTGGCATTAAAGTCTGAGGGGAAAAAAGATCAAGAGGAACTTTTATGAATAATTCAACGGTGCAAAATGCCTAACAAATCTACATCTACTTATTAAGCTTAAATGTTGAATAAGAGACAATGTTCATTTTTATCAGATTATTGCAACAAAAAAAATCCTAACTTTGAACATTTATAACAATTTGATAAAGAAAATACAATCTAACAAGATAATCAAAGCTAATCACTGACAAAATATTTCAAAATTCAGTTATAAAAAACAAACAAGTTTGTAATTATCAGAGCAAAAAAAAATTACAATAAATAAAACTATACTTTCTGCCCATATTCACAATTAAGGATCAAGAGTTAGTATGTGAATGCTTATTGGTTAACTTAACAGCCACACTTGCAACAGAGATTCTGAGTTAATCTGCTTGTTTTCTACTGGAAGTAGGTTTTTGTGCCACAAATTTTATCGTACTAACAACAATAAAGATAAACACTTATCAAAAATTATACTTTATCTCAAATGCTTCTTACATGTTCCTGTTTTGCTAAATATATAAATTTTTGCTTGAAATAAAATCAAAACCACATTAATTATCAGCTAGGACTTTGTTAATTTGGATTAAGTTCTAGCCCAATGGTTAACCCAGCTATATCTTTTGATTGTCTGTGTAATTCAAGCTTGTCTTCACATATTTAAAAATTAATGCATAGATCCTACCTACTCGACTGAAATCATCATAGTTTTAAAGAAAGTGAAATTAAGTCTTTTGGATAATTTTTCTTATCCATCTTCAGAGTTTATCGTCCCAACATTTAAGAATTGGAACGATAAACTGACAACTGATATAAAAAACAGTCATTCTTATATCAGTTGTCAGTTCAAAAGCATTTCAATTTTGCACTTTCTTTTAAAACTAAGATGCTTCCAGCCAAGCAGATGAGAGCTATATATTTACTGAAAATGGAAAGATTTATATTCATTCCAACTAGAAGTTACATTAAAACTGATTAAATTCTTTTTATTTTGTAATGGTTTCATACAAAAAAAAAAAAAACAGTTACAGTTTTTATTGTTTATTTTATAAAATTCACACTTCATGCAATCATTTACTACAACACATTATTTCACAATTAAACATAATATTGAGCATACAAATTATGTATATATGTATAATATATATTACAGAAAAAAGTTAACAATTGCAAAGTATTTTCTTGACTAAAATCTTACCAAAATTCTCTTTTGATTTATTATTTGGAGAGAGGAACTGTATAAACTTTATAATCTGGTGTTCTGGACAACGTTAGCTTTCGGAGTTTTATTTACACTTGTCGCGTGCAGGACTCGCAACCTCTCTTTGGCAATGGGAAGAGGTAGTTCTGGTTTAGAACTAGCACCGGGAATGTGAATAACTGTACAGTATTGTTTGTTTGGAACATTCGTAGTTTGATTATGCAGATTTCCATTAGAGACGCTACCATTAAAAAACTGCTTCTCATTTGCAAACTGTTGTTCTTCAAGAGAAGCATCTTTATCGTCTTGGACAAAATCATCTTTACTGTGTTCCTTTTTGTCATGGAATACGTTATTTTCTTCATCTGTTATTTTGCATTCTCCATCTTCAGGAATCTCAGTGATAGAATTAATTTTTTGTAATCTGTGTGAGTTGATACTTAAAGTTTCAACATTAGTAGTTTGTGGGTTAATATTATGATTTTCGTCGGTACTCTCAATCCTTTGAAATTTTGGGTGTTCCTTTAATTGTCTATTTATGCTATCAATTATTGTTTCTTCCTGAAACACTCGAATTTCATCTTTAGAGTTTATGTCTGTAGATGTTTCTTCTTGAAAGCTACATGATATATCATTAACGTCAACAGTTAATATATCAATATCATCAGACATCAATTGATTATGGATAGCATTTCTGGTGTTATTTTTTACACATGAACTCGATTTTGGAGGTTTCCCCTGTTGAAATGATTTACGCTTTTGAATGGAAGAACGAGGCGAAGCCTGAGGTCTGACTTTCACCACCAACATATCCTCCTGAACTCTTTCATTAATGTCACTAGTTTTTAATCTAACATCTTCTACGGAACCATTTTTTGTCAAGTTACTTTTTTGAATGCTTAGAAGATCTTCGTATGATTTATTTTTAATATGTAAGCCATTTCCAATCTTCTGTGGATTGAAGTTTGCAAGCGACTGCGAGCGTTCGACGGGACCTCTCAGATGCGCAGACTGTCTTCCTAATGGAACTCTAGGATTATTAGTAGGTATGGGAGGAGCCGGCTTCTTTCCAGGTCGATGACATGCTCTGGGACTACGTGGCGATGGATTATTACTGGAACTAAAAAAGTTACTACTATTAACTCAAGATTTTAATAGGGAAGGAGAAAAATTACTTAGATTTAACATTTCCTGTAAAATGTATAACTAATATTTTGTTCTAATAGAAAACTGATCTATATTCAGAATCAATTTTTAAAATAACATTCTACATGTAACACTGTATATAATACACTGATAGCCAAATGGCTGAGACAATGTGTCAGTTACTACTTTAGGGAGACGCTAAATCGAATCCAGGTGAGTGAAAAGTAATTTTTCATGGATGGTCTGTCCCTGTATATGTCGAGTCTCATTCCTCACCACCCAATTTTCCCCATTATGGACATGGTCAAATCAAAACTTGGTATGAGAAAAGAAGGCCATTGCTAATGCTTGTAAGGCAAGAAGGGAGAAAAATTGTACATAACTTACATCTAGTGTACCTATTCTACAGGTCAGATATGAAGCTATACATTTTGAATTATCAAATTAAATGAGTTCAAATTTTTAATATATTTTTTCTTTAGGAAGATGAATAATTTTATTATTATTAATTAAAGAGCAAAAAGCATAAGTATTATTCAGATAATAGAATGCTATTGGATACAAAAATTCAAATATTTGGATTTTCAGATAAATAATTCAGAGTAAAATCCATTAATGTGTTTTTATCTATTAATGTACTGACATGTATTAAATAAAACAGATATTTTGGGTGACTAGTGTGAGACCTGTAAGGCCCCTGGGTCTAAATTAATAATTTATTAATTATGTTAAATATTGTCACCAAATATTACTTCATTTTTGGTGAGAAAAATAATGTTTTAACGCGGGAAAAGGCAGATAACAGATGTTACTTCCTTTCACAGAAGTTAGAACATCCTCTGACTTTCCCTTATCTGGTTAAAATCCCGCTCAGATGGGAAATGTTTACCCCTCATTCATTCCCCTTTCATTCGTTCTCATGAAAGAGTTACTGGCCGATGATTGGTCGAAAATCAGGAGATATAGAGGGAATTTGTCCGAATTCAGGGAGTTCATCGACAGACATAGAGAGTGTCCGAACTCCATACATTTTCCTCCTGATGACCAACGTCCTTAGACGAGTCACATACAGAATAATTCCAGAGTTAGCACTTAGAAAACATACTTGGATTTTGTGCACATATTGATCTCCCATGGAAAGATGTAAACGAACTTTATCTCCAAAGTGTCCCTTGCATACAGAGAAGAAGACGAACGACAACTAGAACAGGTTGTATGTTTCATAACGATTTTGTGAGCTCTCTCTCTCAATCGCGCATCAGTATAGTATAAGTCCATGCCTACATCGTGTATCTTAATTGTCGTATTTCTATCCCTCGTTCCTCGATATTTGTATTAGTTTTACTTATAGAATCATTAAATTTACTTTTGTTTGTTTTATATAAGATATGGCTCTTAATTTGAATTGTAATAAGATCTCTTACGCGTGTTAATCCACGTATAATAAGATTGATTAACTGGTGTCGGGACCCTGACATTTGGGATAAAGACCTCACAGTCTTGAATCCCCTTTTCCTAAATATTACAGCCCTCCCGGTCAAACGAATCTTGACATAAGATCGGATCTCTCGATCCGAAACACGGAGAACTATTCTCACGGAATAGTGCCGATTAAGTGTTACAGGAGTATACTTACTACGTAACCCCGGCTGATCTCACACTAGTTATAATCTTAACTATTTACAAAACGTAACAGCAAATATTCTGTTTCTGATTATTGATCTTTAAATCAAAAATATATGAAGTTACTTTCAGAATTATTTAAAATTGCTTTATGTAGAAATATAAAATGTGCAAAGGAGAATCAGTTTTAAAAATGTTATCAAGGAAGATACAAGTACACTTGTAATTGTTTACAATTATTATTGAATTTTCTTCAGAAACAGTAAAATTGATCTACAAGGTGGAAAAATAAATACCGGAGGTTGCAAATGCCATTCAATTAGAATAATATTAAAGCAAATTGTATCTTGTTTGTATTATTTTGCATGCAATAAAATTAGTTTATGCAGTATCCGAGAATCTATCAACATTAAGTGGGACTTGCTGTATTAAAATTTGTTCTAAAACAAACGATAATTTTCATTTATTGTTTTATTCATATTTAAAATAATATATTAAGTAAAAAAAAATTAGAATAAACTTACTAATACTTTTAATGGAAAAGTTGACTTGCAATACTAAAATCAATATAACAATGTAATTAATGAGTTTATACCATATTTTTTTTTAGTTGCATATAAGACAACCTTGCATATAGGTCGAGGTGTAACTTTAAAGATCAAAATAAAGAAAATTAGATTTATTAATACAATTCTAATTTTATTTCATTGAATCACAAGTAAAATATCAAATGAATGTAAATGCACACATTTGTCCTGCAAAAATTACTGGCATTTTAAACTTAAAGGAAAAATCTTGTAAAATTGACAACATAATTTGTTTATGTAAAGTTGGACAACAGGAACCTTTTTTGCCAATTCTTAACAGTCGATTACACTTATGAGTTTCTTCAAATTCTGATTTTCAAATAATAATTTATTTTCACGTGGAAATGGATTAAAACTTATATCAAACTCCCGTATGATTTTGCAATTCAATTCAAAAGCTTTGTTTTTCCTATTGCTATTCATCTATACTCCTGACAATACACAAGAACGATTCAAATGACCGAGATAAAACACTTTTGTTTTTAAACACCAGAAGGTAAGAATCCAGTAAAAAAAAATGTGAATACACAGTTTACAAAAATTATTGCAAAAATGCAAAGAATCCTTCGCTCACACGTATAGGATGACCTAGGTTTTTGGAGCAGTGAAAAATGAATAAAAACCTCATCTTATATGCGAGTAAATACGGTAATTTAACGAATTAAGTCAGATAAATGAATAAATTCATGTAAACAATAAGTGTGTCTTTAAATTTAAATAATTACAACAAATTCCCACTTTACAGGTGGTTTGGCACTTGATAATCATTTTACAACAGACCTTTTATGATAAAATAAAATTCACTGGCAATAAAATATTCATTTTACAATGATGTACAATTGCTGCCAACTGAACCATACAAGTGGTTGATAAATCAATCAGTGATGTGAACACAAGTGTTTTGAATACTTAAGCCAGTCAGTGATGCAAATAAAACATTTAGTAATCTGAATATTTCAATAAATTGGGTAAAAGAAATAAAATGATAAAAAGAAAAAAGTTTCGAGACAATACTTTCAACTTGAGAAATCTTGGTGAGTATTATTATTTGCAAGTATTTTCATGATATTAGTGTATTTATGAGACTACTTATCATAAAATTAGTGCCCATTAAATGTAATGAAAATTCAAAATAATTCAAGAAACTTATAACAGACTGTAGTCACGTCAAATATTATCAATTCTGTATTGATAAATTGTAAATAATGCAGGAAAACAAAGACTGAATATTTAAAATGATTTGGGGAAGGAAACTTTAAATTAAATTCAATAAATATATATATGAAAATATCACATTGGAAACATAAGTGATTTTTAATGTTATAAGTTTAATTTTTTAGAAAAAAAATTACTCAGAAAAGATGGTCATTAATTTGAAAATTTATTCTTACTTATTGCTTGAACATGTCACAGAATTTGATTCAGATTGTGTTCCATTTGTTCCACTATTATAATGTTCAACATTGGCAAAAACTAACGGACCATTTGGGGTATGTGGAGTAGTTGGTGTACTGATAAAGAATTCAATATCTGCAAGAAAAATAAATGAATAAATATTCAGTTTTTCCCATAAGTAACATTTAAAAAAATTTATTTATATTAATTGAATAATTACCTCCTGGGAAGAACCAATCTGCATAAGTAATAAGAGAATCCACAACGGAACTTAGCAAGTTCGTCATTGTCATGTTGTACCTAAAATCAAGTAAAATTATTTTTTATTCTGTCATAATAATAAATATGTATTAACTTATTATGTTATTTAAATATATTTTACCCTAAATGAGTAGATTCCTGTTCAATTGGCAGCCAAATTAAATTTGGACTTAGAACTATTGCCAAGTTGTGAGAAGACATCTTGTTAATCTCTGAATTACTTGCTAGTTTGGCCAAAAATTTTATAAGGTATCTGGAAAATAGTTTAGTACTTTAACTACTTTAACAGACAATTTTAAAAATCAACTTCACAGTGTTTTAAAATATATAACCACAGCTGACCGAAACAAAACAAACAACCGTAGAGAATGTGTTTATGACCATCCGTTACTGTATATTTATTGTACATAAATATAAAATAATCTGTTTTATATGAAAAATAAAATAAAAACTTCCTTTCTCACGAATTCTCATCTTCCTATTTTTATTTATGACCTTTCGTGTAATGATTCTTTTGTATCATCATGTATTTGAAGTTTTATAATCCGATTTACTCAAATTTATACATGTACTCTATAACCTACACTTTTTGAATGATTTAAACCAGTAATGTCACACATTTTTGATACTTAAAATATCTCATTTCTATTTTAAATGCATTATGTTAGCTTGCTAATGCTTTAAAATATTTGTAGAGAATATACATGTTTAAGTTACACATCATTTACAATTATACAACATGCAGTTATAATACTAAATACATATCAACTGTATGTATTTACAGTAACGTATCTACACAAAAAAAAAATAAAATAACCATTAAAATATAAAATAAAATCATCAAGAACACAGATTCATACCTGAGATTGTTAAAATTAGCTTCCGGTAAAGAATTAAGGATCCTCCACAGAGTTTGTAAACGAGTATCACTATCAGAAATTCTGTAAAAATTGACCTGGTTTTATCATCTAAAAATTACTTTCTCAGTAATTGGATTTTAGATTTTTATTCTACTTATATTTATTAATTTTATACTATTATATCAATAACCTAATAAAATATATAGTAATAAAACTTCTAATTCTAACAATAACTAGCAGTTCTAACATCTATACCCAATGGTGGCCGAATGGATAAAACCACCGAACACTGGTAGATGGTTGTGGGTTCAAACCTCACCAACAAATTGGCCATGTGAAGTTTTCCAGGTTTTCTTCACATTTTTAACATCTAAATAGGACCAGTTTCCACATAGAAAATCCTCCTGGGAGGCATCCCCTCAGCAGATCACCCACATGTTGCCCCAGACACACACAGATATTGTCTATAGACAAACTAAGTATATGCATGATAATATTCAAACAATTTTCCAAAAAAATACACATTTTTTTTGTTTATAAAAAAAATTCAAAAATAAAAATAACTGCTTTAATAATGATTTTTTCCCTATCAATAAGACATTAATTCATATTGTTTTGGTTTTAAAGTTACAATTAATAATTTTTACTGAATAAGAGTATTTAATGCATAACTAAAATTTTAAAATAAATTCATTGCTTTTATATTTTTGAAATGCATTAAAAAAGTTTTGAGAGAATTGCCAATGACTGTTTGAAGTTAGAAAAAATTGGCCCAAGCCATTGTTCCGACCAATATTTTGAACCCGAAACATTCATCAATCCAACTTTCAAAAACTAATGCATAAATAACAAACTATCAAAATAATGTTTATTATAATTATTGAAATTTGTGACTTGACTTCAGTTGTGCAGAAGTTCATAATTACACAATGTCGTTTGGAACACCTTGTGCATGAGTAAACACACACATACACACACACAGAAATTTAAATGCTAAAAATCAATATAATTGCAAAATTTTTTAAACTTTTATCTAATGCTTGTATTTTTCCTCTCAGATTTAATTATCATTCCAAAATATTGCTATTTTCATAACACTGTACTTCCAACAATAATCCAATTAAGATCCGAAAACGGGAAATGCTTAAAGATAAAAATAGCTATTGTATTTACTGTATAGTCAATTGCATCTAAAAGCCAAATTAGCATATTTCTAGACTAAAAGCAATTTTTTATTTAATTAAATTATGGAATTTGGTCTAAAGATATACAGTTAAGTTTATCATTGTATACTAAAAGTTAAAATTTATTCAGAATTAAGCTGTCATTAATGTTAACACAACACAAGACACTAATTTTACTGCCCTTTTTTTAGGCCAAAATGTTGAAATTAAGTTAATAAAAATAATTAGTTGTGGGCACTGAGAGGGTCTCTTTAGCAAGCCCGTTCGACTTGCATTGATATGGGTTTGGCCAAACTCATAACAGAGCAGCCAGGCTCACAACAAGGTGACTGGATGATGAGGGACAGAGCCAATGCGTCCAAAATATTCCCCAGAATTTTTCCAACCCATTCTGGATTTGATCACAGTTCTCTGGAGCAGTAAGATAATGTGTTAATTGCTCGGCCATCTGTCCGAGTAACAGACATTTAGAAAGTTAAAATTTAAGTTGTTAAAATAATCTTTGCCAAATATATCTCAATAATTGAGAAATTTACTCATTTTATATATAAATTTGTTACGAAATACTGTAGTAATTACAAAACATGACAATTATTATTAAAATTAGGCTGCTAAATAAATTTGTCTAAATTACATATTACATAGAATACATTTACAACATGTACATAAACACTAGAATTATTACATTTAATGTTTTTACAGAAAATATTAAAAGCATTTGTAATCATTGCATTTGACCTTGAACAAATTAAACTGACAGCATAGGTGTACATAAAATAGCAACCGTTTATAAATAATTAATGCATCGTATGCTCTAATGAAAATATAGACTAAAATACTTCCATAACCTAATAATTTAATATTAATATATAACCTAATTATCATTTACAAGTATAAAGCATAATGATTATTACATATAAGCTTAAATTATTAATTAACTAATCAGGCTTTGGCTGTATTGTATGTACAGTATAAAGATGATAATTTTTTATTTTTATAATAAATTATTATTCAGTTTAATATAAATATATTAATTAAATTGAAAAAAAAAATACTTACTCTGCTGCACTTAACCAATCATTAAACAACTGAAATGTAAACAGAGGTTCAGGAAGTTCCCTCAAGTAAGATTTTAATACACCTTGAAATAAATTAATGGTATTAAAATAATTTTTTACAATTATATTTTATATTTTTTAAAAAGTATTATACCTGCAACAATATGCGGATCTCTAATATCATCCAATAAATTCACTAATCCAGCATCGAAAGCACTCTGCGAATAAATTTAACAATAAACAAACTCATAATATATATATAATTTATATATATATAATAATATATATAAAATATTATATAAATTTAATATCATCAAAATATAAATATTTAATATCAAATTATTTATATTTTGAAACAATTATATAATCTGTACAATTATTTGTTGACCTGTCTTATTGGCCAGTTGTTCCCAATAGCAATTTCACATAATTACTTTAGTTGCAGAAATTTAAAAAACAACACAAATAGTACAAAGTGATCTCATTCTTGATATATTTAATATTTTTTACCATCACAAAAAAATATAAAAAATCTTAGTGCACTTTGCATAGAAAAGAAACTTTTCTTGCTTTTAATAATTGACCAAATAGATGTGTTGATTATTTCAACAAGTGAAGATGCAAATGCCAAGACATGAGCAAAGAAAGAAGCTTTTCCATCCAAAAGATGAAAAATGAAACAACTTCAAGTGTTTCGAGTTTTTCACTTCTAGAAATGAACTTGAAACTGCTTATGTTGAAATATATGATGACATCACCTACTGTTGTGTCATGCAAAAGCTATTTTTACTTGCTTAACATTTGTTATAATGTGATGATACAGTGCTACTTCAAAGCATTTTATATCAAGTTATCTCAATAACTAATCAAACACAGGGAAAAGAGTATCATCTTTATGGCAGTTCACACTTTAAACCTTAACTCTAGCATATTAATATAGTTTTCAATGTAATGATTAATAAAAACGTGCCAGAGTAAAGATGCAAAGCATGAACTATTGGAACTGTTATTGTAAATAACATCTTTAAGTATTTATTAGAAACTTTAGTCCTGGAAAAAGTAAAGTAAAATAATAAATAGCAAGTTATATAATGACTCATTACAGTAATTATTCATACAACGTATCGCAGTTCATTGCTAATCTTTAATGCTTAAACTTTCACTTTACAGCAAGATTACCCAAGCTTAAAATTTAAAGATTAAAGTTTACAGTTAACTCAAGATTAAAATTTTTAATTGTTTGACTATTCTATTATAGAATTTGTAGAAAAATATTAGAAATGGAAATTCTTTGAGACATTAAATAATAATTAAATTAAATGTTTTTATTAAATTTATATGAAATTTTGTGATATTATTATAGAACAAAGAATAAATTGAAGTATTTGTATAAAAATATATAATTTATATGCTTTCAAGAATTGAAATTATTTAAAAATGAATAAAATACTACACAAAAGAGTCATGGGTGCACACCATTTAATCTGGGTTTGATTTTTCAACTCTCTCTTGGTTTCCGTTATTCAAACACTATGTAGTGTTTGAATAACAGAAAAGAATAATACTATGTAACACTATGTAGTGTTTGAATAACAGAAAAGAATAATACTATGTAACACTATGTAGTGTTTGAATAACAGAAAAGAATAATGACACGGTTTCAGATTATTAAATATCTCTTGGTTTATTTTTATTATTTTAAGCAATAGCACAGTTTTTAAGCTAGAGAAAGAAAAAAATTCTCTGTAGAATTAAAAGGCACAAAGCTTAAAAACATAAATTTGTTGATTGTATACCTTATTTATAAGATATACAATCAACAACTATCATCATCATCATCAATCTTGACTTTATAAAGTATTTCATTATAAATACTTTTAAGCCTCTGTAAACTTAGCTAATTTTTGCAAACTCTTTGCCTGTATAAAATAATATAAATTTTAAATATTTATAATAATATTTTTTCATTTCTTTCTGCTAACATTAATGTATAATCAATCATCAAAATGATAAATACATATTATAAGATTTGACAGACCAAGTAATAAGAAAAAATAGCTCCAGTGGTATGGACGTATAAGACATGGATGGACAAAGAGTGGTTGCTGTGAGCACTAATTAAATGGAAAATGGTGGGAAAAACAGGAAGAGCATCCTTCTTTTCACTTCTTTCCATGTTCCTCTTTCCATTGAAAAGAGGAACATGGAAAGAAGTGAAGAGAAGAAACATGAGAAATGTGGTTTGACAGATGATGCAATGTACAGAGAGAAATGACATTATCTATATTGTATCAAGTTGACTCAAGTCTCCTCAAGGAATGAGGAAAATCCACTGCATATTTTCCTTATGATAGAATTTTTAAATATTTAGAAAAAAAATCCTGAATATCATCTAACATAAAAACATAGAATATTGCATTATCATTAAAATCTAGGTTTTGAATACAATTGAATCCATTTTTACTTTTTTTCTTTAAATCATTTTCCTGAAAATTTCTAAATTTTATCTGAATGATGCTATTCAACTGAAGTAGTAGTTTATTCTATATTAATGTAAAACAAATTATATTTAAAAATAATTTTAACATTATTCAGGAATTAAAAATGAGTTAGAATTAAAGAAAATTTTGTATACATAAATATACATTTTTGCTAATTTATTCCCAAAAGTTATAATCTGTGATCTGCTCAGAATGCAATTAAATACGTTCTTAACTATAATTAACAAAATAAATATGAATATAATATGTAAATAGCAATAATAAATATCTTAAATCCAATTAATTCACAATACAATTATACAAAACAACACAAAATCATCAAATTAAAAAAACTGATGTTTTATTTTCTAAAATATATGTCAACAATAAACTTTTCTTTTAAGCAAGAGACAGAGAAACTCCACATTTAAACGTAGTCGTCAACAAATTCTTCAAACCATTCAATCGTAAGCCAAACAATTGCCGTATTAAAAAGCACTACTTTACCGCTGCAATTAATAATAAGTTTCTAAGTAATTTGGTACTAGAGGCATTAGTCACTATCTCTTATTAATATGTATTATTATGTAATACAGTAATTAAGTAATAACACACATTAATAAGAGATGTTGCCTAATACATACACATAAAATACATAAACCTATTGCATCGACATGATTCAAACAGATTTTCACTGCCTCAAAGAGCCAAACAAACATTTAAATTACTTCAGAATATTTAGAGTTAAAAGATGACACTTGTTTTTATCTCCATCCTAATAATAATTTATATTACAAATAGAAAAATATTAACACAAATTAAATTTTAAATTTATTTACACATTTAAATTCAGATTTTATATCAGAATTGATGTAGATTTTAAACATTTACATAATGTCTAGTGAAAAAGTTAATGCTTAAGAATATTCCTGTTAGTTGAATAGTATCTATTATTATTCCAATTCTTTCTACTAAAGAATTAGAATATATACTATTAATTTTTATAATACATACAATAAGAGGGGGGGAGAAAAAAAGATAAATCGCCCAATTAACTAAACAGTAAAAAAATCAATTTGAATAATTTCTATTGCAGTAAAATGAAACAGGTCATGAAGAGTTAATGAAGCATTACAATATATAAAAATAAAAAAAAAAGAAAATAAATAGTGTCTAAAGTAGAGAATAAATGCAAACATTGCACAATTATTCTAACATTCAACTGTTCACATATATGAATTGTGCAATAATTAAAATTGTATAAAACAGAATATCAATAAGTTCTGCTGAGAATGCAAATTTGTCAATATATATGTTTTAAATATTGGATGTAGCTAATTTAGTTTTCAATAAAGGAACAGAGTGATAGAGCAAAAATAATAGAGAATTGAATCATATATATAACAGATTTGGGAAATTCATAAATAAAGTGTGTGTGTGTGTGTTCGTTCATTCTCAATTTTATGAAGACAATTTAGAAATTAACCTTGCTTAAGAATTAAATTTTATACTAACAAAGACTTAGTGTGTAATATATACAGTAAAGTCTGAAGTTTAAGAGTGCACTTTCAGGATCACTCCATGTTCCCTTATCCAAAGTAACAAGATTACCCAAAAGGGTTGTTAATAGATTTGACTCACCATTTTTTTTTTTTCATGTCAGTTTTTCAGGTTAACTTATAACAGACTTGGAAATGTTAAAATTCATCACTACATAATTTTACTATATACTTACATACAGTATTTGGTTTCCATTCTTTCATCAATTTTATTGCTCTATCAAATAATCAGTAAATACAGTGTACATTTACTAGTCACACATTAGTTTCACTTCTTCCCAAAAATACAGTAGGAGACCTAGGTGAAAAAATGTGAACATTCTTGCTCCAAAATTTCTGAATGCTCTCTAATGGAACATATAGTAAAAAACAAATACAATACCATTTTTAAAGTAAGGTCATGTGACCTAAACAGCTAGTTGTTAATCACTTCTTGCCCTGTCCCCTTAAGATGAGAACATACACTGGTTGTTAATGTATATTTTATGATACCTTTTTAATATGCAATTGCTTCTCATGGGTGTTCAGTATGATTTTTGAAAGACTTTTTGATTGTCCGTTTATTAGAAATATATAAATAGAAGGCTTCAAATTTATTGGTGAAGCCATTGGTGGACTTCAACATCAACAAATATTATGGTATAGAGAGCCCTGTTGCCATGTATTTATGTAGTAATGCTCTAAGTTTAAAGACAGACCATTTTAAATCTTCCATAGAATAGTGTGACCTTATGTAGACTGCTACTTTAAATGTGCCACTGACTTGGCACTCATTTAAATGGACTGCTCTACAATCTGATGCTCTGTTAATAATTTTGATAATGTAAAACATAGGGGAAAAAATCGGGAACACGGAGAGTGCTCTCTTAAGCAAACTGTTCCTTTATTCAATGCTCTGTGGATTCAACTGAATTAATTTCCAAGGAGAAAAGATTAATACAATTTTAAAGAAAGTGATCTTTCTCTATACATACTGAAATATAGTATGCATAAAACTAATAAAATTAATAGAAATTTACTCATTTTAAAATATATCAATGAATAGATTTGATTTTATGTGTGTTTTAACTAATTGATATTATATATTTTACATTAATCTGTAATACTATTTCAGTACAAAACCAAAACTTCCATTCCTTTCAATTTGTAGTAAGAATGTAAAGAATCATTTCTTTATTTAGTAAATTATATAAAACCTATGACTTCTATGATGAAAAAGTTTATTAAAAGCATACATAACATGATCACAACCCAGGATATCTTCAACTCTAAGAAAAAGTTTATTGTTTACAATCTTACAATAATATTTCATTATATTCTGATATAAATCCTTTTTACCCCATTCATACTGAATTATTTTTTTATAGATTATTATAATTTATAAAATATTTTCAATATGAATAATAAGTTTTTTTTATCTATGAAAATAAATACATTCAAGGAAAAAATGCTGTAATTTTTTAAAATATCTAAGAAATTCTAAGATAACTTTTAAAATCATGTTAAGAAAGAACACAAATAACTAGTATAAGCTACACAAGAAAAACAAAAATTTCAAAATATATAGCTGCTGCTTAAATTATTAATTATATATATATAACAATCTTAAAACTAAGAATTTGTAAAAAATTCTACTTACTTTTACTTTCTTTATTTTTGAACTACTCCCAGCAATCCTGAACAAACCCTGAGAATAGAATCCTAATTAATATATTCACTCAACAAAGAAATTCTATAACAAACTCTTGTTAAAGATATACCTCTTCGTCCATTCCAATTTCTAAGAGAAGGCATACACAAGCTTCAATCACCGATGCAATTTGTCTGTCTAATGTTCTTAAATGTTCTTCTAAAGGCTGGCCAAAGACTGGTTTAAACGGATATTTTTCTGGAGAAAAATTAATGGTTGAAAATTATAAAAATTACTGTCGATTAATACACCAACTTTTACTTACCAATTTGTGAGTCTAATACAGGTAGAGCCGATTCTAAAATTTCGAGTTCTCGCCTGTGATGGTCAACTTGTAGGTGATACCAATCAACAAATAATTTTGATAAAATAGGTTCTTTGGATAATATATCAAATAATTCTGCCGTTAAATTATCCTATACAAATATAAGAAAAAAAATTGTATTTTTATTAGTAGGCACAGTTTATAAATGCATTTTACTCACGCGACACTGTTCGACTTTCATAGATATATCCTCCAACTCTTCTTGTAAAGTATCGGCTTTGGATGGCGTGTTTATTGCATTATTAGTGCTTTGCTGTGTGTGTTTTAATGCCGTATTATATCTGGAAAATAATTTTTTCTATTCAGAATACATTGAACAAAATTTAAACCAATTTAAAATTAATGTTTTTAGATCTATACAACCATACTTTGTTTTTGTCGTATCCATATCTTGTATGAGTTTTGACAGCTGTTTTCTCATTCGAATAACATTTGGAAAATCAATCTAAATAACGAACAAATAAATCTTAGTTCAGAATTAAAAAAATTTTTTATGTATCTATATTTTTATATAGCATACCTCCAAAAAATTAATGATAGGATTCAAAATTGCTTTATCGACTTTAGTTTCATAAGTTAGCAATTCCTTTCCAAGCTCTTCTTCGATAGATGCACATTTATGTAGAACTGAACTATAAATATAAGTATTTAATCATTAAAATAGCAGAAATAACTAAGAAAATTTTCTTATAAATCATAGCAATATTCCAAATTTGAAGAATTTGTTTAATTTAAATAACAATTTATAACACACAATTATGTTTTTAAGACATGTTCAGCTGTCTTTCTGAAATCAAGTGTGTTTATTTACAGCTTAAATTGTTTCCTACCATGTTGCAGACTACAGCATTTTGTGAAGAACAGTAATACATTTGCAGCATTCTACTACAATTACATCTGTATTTATAAACATTTATATATATATATAAATATAANATATATTTTTTTTTAAATAAAAATATTAAAATTTGTAACATTGATAAAAATAAGCTATTTTAATTCCACTTATTCAGCCATAATTAGATAATTTTTTGACTTAAATTTAAGTTAAATGACAATATATTTTAACCTGTATGAAACAACATAATAAAAAAAAACTGGATTTTAATTAAGGTTATTTGAAATTGTTATATATATAACCAGGTAATATTTTGTTATGGATTGATAAATTTTCGGAATGCTTAAAATAATCAGTGACAACGTGGATCATCTTTCAAATTCTGCCAAAATTCTCACTTGAAAATACAGGATGCCAAAAGGTTATACTCCGAGCATAACATATGTATCATAGAAAAAACCTACAGTATAATTAAAATAAATTATTTTATTGAAAGTGAAACTAAACTTTATACTAACCCTAAAATGGACGAATCACCCAAATTACTGCTCCATTCTTGCATTTTTATGTGTGTTTTAACTAATTGATATTATATATTTTACATTAATCTGTAATACTATTTCAGTACAAAACCAAAACTTCCATTCCTTTCAATTTGTNATTATCTTGTTATTATTTGTAATGTGTATTAAATATGAAATAATTAGTTCATAAGAAAAAAAAGGATATTTTCTTTTATGAAGTAAATTTAAGAACTGTACTTATATTTAAAAACACAAAAAAATTGAAGCTTTGTACAGTTATTTTGCAATTATTTCTAATATTTTTAATGTTAATAAATTTTTATCAATACTAACTGTGGTCGTTAATCCATAAGAGACAAAGGGAGATTATCCCCAATATTTTTGTACTGGAAAATTGTCCCTCCAATGTACTTTATTTTATACCATACTACAAAAATTAGGAGTAGAAGCAGAAACTGTACACTACAGACAGACAGTACATACTACGTTTACATCTATTCAAAACACAAGACTTTTTCCTTACTCATTGTTGTCATTGGCCCAACTCCTGTACATCAAAATCATGTTTTTAAGTTTGGTTATTTTAGGCTAACTCAAATCAATAAAATTATTGCATTAATAAATATTTAAAACTCTTAACTTTTTCTAAATATATGCCAAAATACTGCTGTGCAAAAAAGTATTGTGGCATATATTTAAAATCAATAGAATTATTTCGGCAAAGCTTGCAAAATCCAGAAGACGACCCATAACCTGAAATTGTCATTAAGGATATGATTTGAGGACCATGTGGCACCTTCATTAATTATGCTTAGTTATATAACAACACATTGAACTTAAACTATAGGTGCAAGAGAATGAAATCAGGGAGGGGGAGAGGATTATCTAAGTTTTATAGTAGCCTATATTTTCCATAAGGTTCTAGAGTAACTATGGAAAATTCAGTTCAGATCAGCCGAAGGGTTGAAAAGTGTATAGAGAACAGGTAGACATTTTATCTATATACTTTTTGTATATAGATAAAATGTCTACCTGTTGTTTAAAATGTCTAGAATCGTTTAAAAAGTATATAGATAGATCTATATACTTTTTAAACAATGAATTGTTTCTTCTTATTGCATTTTAATATTTTACAGTTGATGGCCAAACAAGTGGCAGTCTACCATTCTGGAAAACCTGAAATTGAATCCAGAAGAGTCAAAAAAACCACAGGAATCATTTTTAAGAATCAAGTTTCAAATTGATCGTATTTAAGATATAATGTTTTATAAATTTACTAAAAGAAATTAACAAATACAAAATGTTTCTGCCGAATTTTGTTAGATATGTATGGTTAACAGTACAACCTCGACGGACAATATTTTCAGATAAATACCTCAAAGTATTAGTGAGAATTAACGAATGGTGGTAACAATGAAATTATATAATTAACAATAATAAAAAAACTTCAGTTCTCTGGCTATGATAATTCACAAGAAATTAGTCGAGAAAAGATATACAAACTGATAACTGCACAAGTTATGATTTCTGACATCTGTTCTTTAGAATTTAGAATAACTGAAGGTAAACAGAAAAATCTGATAGGAAATAAAAACTGGCAATTTTTAAAAATTAGATTAATTTTTAAAATATTTTATTATTATTATTCCTAATTTAAAAAAAGAAATCACAATTATAGATTTTAAATATAATTCATACATTAAGTGATTGTATAGAAGTACATTTGCTTAATTTTGTTGTCATCACAAAAGTATAAAAACTTGCAGCTTTAAAATCGGTTTTAATTGCGCATTGAATTACAAATGAATCATAATAATTGTTTCAATTTTCACTGGAGTCAGAAGGCTAATATAATAGAATAATAGCTTATTAGAAAGCTGATCTAATAGCATTTAGTAATGGAATTAATTCCTTGTTTAATGATTAAGTCATAAAATGTAGTTTATTATTATATTGCAAACAGTTGGAAATGGCCATCAAAGAAACTGTTACAAGTATTTTTAACAATAATTTTCTTCTTCTTTTAATTCTTTATAGATTAATCAGTCTCTAAAAATTAAGAATACAAAGTTTACATTTTAAATAATCCATAAAACATTTAAAAAAATACATTTTTATTTTGGAATTGGATATAAATATGTAAAACAAGATGATTTTTTAATAGAAGTAACTTTTAGGTCACTCATATGTATACATGCACAGAGTATTTAAAATTAAACTTCAATTTTTTAAATAATAATTTGTGTTATATAAACAATATTAAATATATAAATAGTAGCGTTAAAAATATAAAATTTAAACAGAATTAAAAAAAAAATTATTCGCACTTTTAAAATTAATTTGAATGAACTAAATAGGCTAATGAATTATTAGCCTAGTTACACGTTATAAATCATTTAAACTGTAGACTTAATTCGATTACCGAATTTAGTTCTGAAAAATGAAGTTCTTCAACCGAACAGACGGTCGTGAATTTAATTCAAAAAAAGACATTGCGCAAGTATCAATCAAAACAATAATTACAGCTGTTTGTACGTACCGTCACGGAACAGAAGAATGTAGCAGTAATATTTGCTTATTTGTAATTTTAACTAATGTATTAATGTAGAAATATTTGGAGGAGAAAATATTTAGCGTAGTCGAGCCTGTAGAACATAATATGGTTCCACTTTTTTTGCACTCTTTACTTTTCATTTAATAAATTATTTCGCCATTATTCATATTTTGCTACCATCTGTTTAAATTCATATCACTATCGACATCCTACATAAAAATATCACTAAATCTACAAGTACTCGCAGAAGTTTCGCTCGAGTAATTTCAAGTATTTCCACCGAAGTGTTAATTATTTTAACGGGAAAATTTATTATTTTTTTTATAGAAATAAAAATTATCTGACTTGTAAAGTGATGTTTTTTAAACCAAGCACATATGTAAATAAACTATTTATAAAATTATAATGAGTTTAACCTTCTAAAAAAGAAGAATTTCTGGTAAAGAATGCGAGTAATTGCTCCATAAGCAACCAAAAGTTTTACGTCCGTTTTACTTTTAATTTTAAGTAAATCGGCAATTAAAAAATTTTATTAAAAACTAAAACAGACCAGCCTTTTCTCCGCCACGGATGCTTCTGTGCCGACGCCCTGAAGACACGCTGCTATTTTTTTCCCCGTATTGTGACATGACTGCTTGATTAAATCGACACGCTTTTCCACATTAACCAAATCTTCATTCAAGGCTTCTGTCTTTTCAGTCCTGTAATTAAATTCAATTTAATTATTTTTTTAATCAGAAAACTAGAATAATTTTGACATTTAAGAAGGAAGTTTATTGTGCCAGCTTAAATAAAAAAAATTTTTTCTGTGTTACAAAAACAAATGATTAATAGGAAAATTGGAGGAAATAAAACTGTAAATCAGTTTCCTATTAGAAAAAACTAGATAAATATCTTATTTACACAAGCAATTGCAATTTATAATGTAAACTAAGTAAATATTCTCCATAATTATTACATTATTAGAATAAATATTATAGTTAACTCTCTATTCATTCAAAAATTGTAGTTGTTTGAGCCTTTAAGAATTACTATTAAAACAGATTGCTTTGATAATGCAAAGAAGGCTCTTGTATTTACATATTTACAAGTGAAAACTTATCGCTCAAAGTATAAGCTTACTAAAAGATATATTTGCAAACTACAAAGTTCAAGAAAACGGGATCGAGCAACAGACTAGAGATAAAACACAGATAATTGTGACGAAACACAAACAATTCCAGGTATGAGAGGAGTATCTTTTATATTACAATTGATTTCCTTGTTAAAATTTATGCCGACTATAAATAATTTTCCTATAATGTCATCTGTTGGGATGGAGGAAAATCATTTTCGGCATGCTAGTCTGAATAACATTTTTTTAAAATATTTTTAAAAAAACACATTAAATTAAAAGTTTTATTTATACTCAAAATTTAACTTGTACTACTTTTCATATTTATTATTATTCTTTCTGTTCAAAATCATTAAACTTTTTAGAAGTGAATTTAAAAAAAGTAGTGACACACATCTTGATGTACGTAAGGCGATTTATTAATTAATATTGTTATTGTCTTAAGCTTCTCTGACCAATATTAAGCTCGATAAATGACTTACAAAGTGTCATTCTTATCGACGATGTTCATCACGTGGAGAAGACCATACCAACACAACAGGAAAAAACACACACAACACTACTAAAATCCCAATCATTAGTGAGGAGATCTCTCTCTGATATAATAAATTGAAGTGGAAAATGTCCATAAAGCAGTCAAGCGGGATAAGAGGTTCACAGCAAGGTAACTACGACCTAGAAGCAGGTCAGAAGGTTGAAAACTGGATTAAACATTTACACTAGGGAAAATCTCACTTCCGATTATTAAAAAAAAACAACAAAGAAACAGCACTCCAGTTAGAAATATTTAAAAAAAAAAACAACAAAAACTCTAAAAATATCTCTTTTTTCAACATTAGCTTCCGGTTGAATTAGCGCAAGGTCATCAGCATTAGGATAAAATCAAGTTTATGGAAAACTGGAATACAAGGAGTGAGTGACACGTGGACTCGCACGGAGGCCGCCATATTGCTCACGTGACGGCGTAACCTGCAGCGTGGTAGTTATTTAAAATAATTTAATTAATTAATTACGTTGTGGGGGGTACGACCGGAGGAAGGTTATGCCCGTTCGTCACGTGACGGAAAGTAAAACTGCGACTGCTTCGGGACGGGGATTAGCGTCGGTCGATAACAATCGGCATGAATCATTCTTTAAATTGTCGCTTTTTGTACCATCCCCCCGATGTAGTGGCCGTTTATTGTCTCTTCTCGGAAACGAGCAGAGCGCCTGTCATGTGCCAACGCTTTCCACATCCCGCAGAGCGTTGTGTTTTCTCCCGTTTCCTGCCCTGGAAACGGGGCCACCCAAGTCGCAAGAATGCCTAAAATTCGCTAAAATATTCCTTATTTAGAAGGGCACTCGGCACAAAAACCTCGAAATTACGAAAAATAATTGTATATTTCATCCGAAATTCGAAGCGTAATAATGAGGAAAAGTCTATGTTATTGTGCAACAGACCTCCTCGACTATAGAAAACCATCTTCTCTGGTTGTTAACACTCCGAAATTTTTTCGGAAAGGGGAAGAGGAAAAAAAGGCAACTAGAAATGAAGCTGTAGCTACTGTCAGTGACCATTACAGCAACAAGGTTCGTTCGCTTCAACCGGTCAGACAGGTTACATTTCCAAAGTTGTGGCATCTGGTCGAACAATCGGCATCTTTTGATATAGCGAGCGGGCAATATATTCTCTCCAGGATTACCATATTCGGGGTATAAACCACAGAAAAACTTAAAATATGGAATGCAACAACGATCGCAAAGCGAAAAGGAAGACAAAGAAACAAGAGGAGGATCCTCTACAACTCCTATCCAGTAAAGAAGCTATGGAAAGGGCCTATCACACATGTCACAACGTCTCCGATTTTCTGGTATCCGCGGGTTATCCATGGATCGGGAAGCAGGATAAAAAGAAAAAGAAACATTAAAATTTTGACAGAGAACCTTTCTTTTTTTTTTTTTTACGCTTTGCGTTGGCCTCAGTTTTTGTCTGGGAACATCTGTTCTTACTATTTTCGGTCTACGCGGTTCTTTACTTCCCTCATCCCGTGCAAACGCTACGGGAGGTCGACTAAATTGCATAATTTACCAAGAGGTTACACCCGAAAATTTCATGCTGCGGCGATTACGTGGCCAGATATTAAAATGCCATTTACTTTAACAAAAACGTCTTCGCGATCTTTGTTAACAACACAATTAGACGTGTTACAAAAGTGTCCCTTCTTCTATTGGAAGGGACACGGCTCCAATTTCGTCATACAGCTTCGGGGAAGAGAGAGAGAGAGAGAGAGAGGTGTTTAACATTCTCTCTCGAGCCAAAAAATATCGGGTGCGTGACGGCATATACGAGCCGCTATCCGGTGTCATTGTCACGTCTTCCTTCCAAAATAACCAATCTGCGGATTTCGAAAACGGCAACCGGATGCAGATTCGGGACGCACGAGGTTCCAAGCACCCAATAGAGCACGCTTAGAGAACGTCTTCCCCCCTATTAAAAAATAAATAAGAGCTAGTGATGCGGATGGTGCTTAGTTCCGGTACGACTCAGCCTAGCGTGATATCCAGAAAATAAATAGAAAAAATATATATATGGACAGAAATAAAGATGGCGGAAAGTGCCCACTATCTGAAATATTAATCTATGTCGTATTCTGGCCGTGACGGGGTGAACCCCTTCCGTCATTTAGATAAAATTCGATATCTGTTCCGATAATTAAGCAAACCGATAAAGTAACTATCCCCCCGGTCCGTGACAAATTTAGTAAAATGGTAAAAATCTATAGATTCGTCGCGTAATTAACCCGATTCAGATGGGAACAAGAGTGTCGACGGAAGGAAGAAAAAAATATTTTAAAAAATAAAGTAATTTCGTTAATGATAATGGAGTGACGTGTAAGAAGAGCGCGACACTTCCTTCCTCCATTATCGCGTTTCAGAACAATGTGGTAATATCCCCCCCTGCGATAGGAAAATGGCGGCGATACAGCTGTAGGAATATAATATAAACTGGCACCTATACACTTCCTCAAATACAGGAGGAGGCACGAAAGTTCGGTTCGGGTGCAGGTGGATCGTGTCGACAGTGATAGCTGTGGAATTTTTATCTCCAGTTGGGGCCGATCGTTTGCAATGGTAAAAAAAAAAAAAATTGCCAGAAAAAATAAAAATAAATAAATAATCCAACCAAAAATTCTAAAAATCGCGAGTACATTCGTAACTACCGAGAAATCTTCCTATCCACAAACGAAACCGTAAGGTGCAATTTCTACATCGTAAATTCCCTTAGTAACAGGAGGATGCCCCCTCGTGTGTTTACTCTAGACTTAGCAGTTCTCAACCGGGGGTGCTCGTATCCCGGGGGGGTGGGTACGCAAGAAGGATCGGTTAACATTACACGTAGAAGGGCTCGGAAGAAAGGTTAAGAACCGATGCCCTAGACTTCGATCCTAAAAGGGAAATCCTCGGGTGTCGGGTTTAGTGTCTATTAAGGAGAGAGATGTTTAAAACGATAGTTTATTCGGTAATTATAACCGATAAAAAAAAATTAATGCGCCATAATTTCCGAATCGTGAGAAACCATCTCTCGATATACGACAAACCTATAATCACGAAAGGGGGGAAAAAAAGAATATCCCTCACAAAATTAAAACCTCCGTACAATAGGTTAAGGTTTCGTGCACGGGGATAAACAGGAAACTACACGAATCTATACGCGTACAAATTCCCTAACATTACAGAAAAAGCTCTTAGCCGACAATTAACTGACACGTCCAAAAAAAATAAAATAAAAAGAAACCCCCAACAAGCTGTTGGCAATTACACAGCTTATCACCTTGAAAGTCAAGCACGAGAACAGCGCATTATTTATCAATACATTATCCATTGTCCTTAATCTAGCAGGGGGAGGAATGTATTAGTTAACAGCAATATCTCTGTTACGTACGTAGATAGATCGAGCGCAAAAATTCCGGCCACAATCTACACGGCGTCACGTGCTTCTGCGTTATCAATTTAGGTCCCGTTTTCTAAGAAATCCGATCTCCCCCCCCCCTCGTTCTAGGACGTAAAAATTAAGAGCAGGCGTTTAAACCGAGACGATCACATCCTGTGGAGACGTATCTGACCTTCTTAACGGGGCCTCAGACCCTGTCTAAAATCCTCCTATTACTTAATTAACGCAGAGCGGCTCCCCCGCAGTTAACCTTGCCATAGTATGACTCAACTTTTAGAGCCAAAGCGTGAATTGTTGTTGTTTTGCCACCATGTTTCCTCCCGGAATTATCGTTTTTATCGCCTCTTCCTCCCCTTACAAGTTTCCCAAAGATGGTTTTTGAGTTTTACGATCGGATGGGCCCCGATCGCAGCCATGCGATACCTTCTCGATCAATTTGTTACGCAGGAGGTACGAGTACGCCAATGGAAAGTTTAAACGGGCGGCCTTTGGGAGGTTTTTTCTGGTTTTTTTTAAATGGCTAACTACTTAAAATAGCCGCTCGCTCGACTAAAATACGATGCGATCGATCGGTGAACCTTACTCGATCCGACCGGTCGCATTCGCACTTGACATATTGCTCATTATTCCGTAACTAATTGCGCAAAAATACGCTTTTTTACTTTTTAAAAATGCCTATCGTGTATCAATTTTACCCAATAAAATGGCGACGACGCATTAATTTTATTAATTAATTATTTTATTAAAATCGAAAGCCATTGATGTCGATGGCAAAACGTTTTCGTGCCATACTCCGAATTACCAAAAGGTGGCGTTGTGAGATTCCATAAAAATTTTAATTTATTATTTTTAAGTAAAATTAATAAAAAAAACAATTGTTTTTTATGCGCGAATAAATTCCTTGTTTGTTGTAAGTAGGTTTCAGTATCGCGGTCTTTTTCTGTTTTTTTTTTTTTTTGTTTGCGCTCTCTTGGATAGTCACAGGTCAACAAGTACGGGTCACATGACCTGACGTCAAAATAGGTAAAAACAACCTTAAAATGATATACACTAATTGCTTACGGTGGGATTTTAAGTAACACCAACCAGAAATTGTTCTATCGATAATTATTAACTTGGGCATTTTGTATTAGGTATGATCGATCGTGAGGTATGCACGGGCCACGCGAAACAAATTTTAAACACAGTAATTTTATAAGTATTTTATAATAAATAATATTAATAAATTCTTTTTCGCTGAGGAATTTATTAATAGCGCGACAAAACATTAAAAAGTCGATTTAAAAAAAAAAAGAAAAAAAAATTACGTCGTGAATATCAATAAACTAGAGGGCATTAATTATGCAAATGAGCTCGCGCTATGTTAATTTAAATAAAATTTCGCCGGAAAAGAAAAATAATAATAATAATAATAATTAAAAAATGTAGAAACTCACCTGGAAAACGTTTGATCCGCTATTTGTTTAACTTTAAGAAATTGACGTTTCATTTTAATAATTTATTTTTATAGCTCTTAAAATTATATTAACTTTCCCATCTCGCTCGCATCGCATTATCCTTTGTCCGGAAAGGCAAATATCTATCTGTGAAGCAGACGGATTTACAGACGAATACACGATACTACCCCTCCTCGGATTGGTTAAAGAATTCGTGACGTAACCAGATACTCATAGGTTGTCTATTGGATAATTTTTGCGGTACGAGAAACTGTAGGGAAAATATCGTCTGCCTCTGCAAACTTATTTGAAATTTTGAATATTATCGCAATTAATTAATAAATTGCGGTGTAAATAAATATTATATATTTATATGTAATTAAAATTTATTCGATATTGATGCGGTAGGTAGACACGTGACTGTTACGTCAGAATGATTAATATATTATGTTAATATATAAAAATAAATAAATGAAATTATTGAAAATAATTTAAGATATTTTTAAATTATTAAATAATTTAAAATAAAAATTATTTTTAAAAAATACTCAAATAAATCTAACGTTTATAATTAAGATGAATTGTCTGAATCACCGAAAATTTAGGGGAAAAACCGCTAAATTTTCGGGAGTCATCAGGATGGGGGAAATTTAGGAAAGAAATTGTTTAGGGAAAATGTAAAATCTGTCCGTATTGGTTAGTGGAGTTTCAGCGAAGATTAGTAACTTCCGAAAGACATGATTCACGTGACTTTCGCTATTTAAGGGGAATTTTTTTTCAGTTTTTAGGGAGAAATTTAGTCTTACGGAGAATTTCAGGTCTGTTTATGAGGTTTTCACTACAGAAGGTTGGCAACACTGAAATAAATACAGTGAAAACTGCTTAGGTGACCACCTGCATTCGACGGGCACCTGTCAAAACGGGCAAAAATTTCTGGCACAGAATATTTATCCATAGAGTCTTCGTATAAGTTACCTGTATTAAACGATCACCCGTGTAACTGCGACCGCGGGCATCGATATTTGGTCCGAAACAACATACAACAACTGTAATAAGCGACCACTTTCGCGAATGTATCTGGTCTAAACTATTGTAAGAACCAATCTCAACAACGTTTCCACCTCCTAATATAATGAATTAGTCTAAACTCTCGTTCGAACCCATCTCGGGCATTTCTCCCACTCTCGAAATTAGGTGCAGGTGTTAATAAATTAGTGTAGCAACAAAGGAAATTCATTTCAGTTTGTTGGAAAATGTCCGAAATGCAAAGTCCTCTCGTTAGAAGATCGTATTAAAGTTATCACAACAGCAATTAGCGGCGAAGTTTAACTGTGGGACAACAAAATTTATTTTTCTTGGGGGGTGTAAAATATTGTACACGATACAATTAATCGGCTGATCTCATCGTTTGATAAAATCTATTTTTATTTATTTATTTTGAAGCTCATATACAGTACACGTGCAATAAATAGTTTCTGTATCAACCTACCTTATTTACGCGATATTTTTTAGAAAAATTGATTTAATTGAATTAATTAAGTCGGAAAAAAGAACATTATAATCGAGAAAATGCGACTATTGTATTAATCTTTAAAATATTAGTGTTAAATCTGTCTTATAATATCACGACGACTCCCGTAAATCGGGTTATCCAATAAGAATAAAATACAATACCAATATAACCCTATCGTTGAAAAAAAAAAATCGCTTATATTTGCTGGCCTCGAGTTTTGCTTAGTAGAAATGGCTAAAAAGTGCGCAAATTACGTACGGAAATACGTTATTACAGGACTACCTGTATTGGATGACCACCTGTCTAAAAGACCACTTTTTGAAGGAACCGCGGGTGGGCGCCATAGACAGGTTTTACTGTATTTGAAATGTCGGCCGTTTAACGTATCATCGTACCGCTATAGGTAACGCGGGATTAAACCTGAGTGAGCAAACCCGGGAATTTTTTCATGGATGGTTCGTCCTTGAACACTTGGGCCGCCCCCAATGTCGGCCTGGCAGAGTCCATGATGTGCATAGGGAAAAAAACTTCTCTAAATGCTCACTGGGCAGGGAGAATTAAAACTGGAGGAAAACGTTCAAGTAACTTATATTACAGGAAAAATAAAGTTGGTTATAAATAAAATGACAAGAAAAATTGCTCTTAAGTTTTTAATGTAGTACTTGTATTTTAATTTAAGGCCGATTGTAACATCATTCGTTATGCACACGATCTCCAGCAGATGGCGTTAAAAATTTATTTTTTTTTTTTTTTTTTTAGAAATAATATTGCCAGGTTGAGGGATGGTTTTTCTCGTTCCTACAAATTTTCTAATTTTTAAAGGAATGTTTTAAAAAGGGTTTTTCCCATAGAAAAAGCAATGCAGCTGCTAAAGCGTGCGCTAGTCGCCGCGAGTGATCCCGGTTCGAATTCGAATCGGATCTTCCGGAATTTGTCAAGATAATATGGCAGCTCTGTTCCCGCTTCATGGCTGCCCCAATGGGAACTAAATGTTGTTACTACCCACAAAACGACGAGCGATTAAGATGGCAGCCTACCCTCTGGGGAATCCGGGATCAAATCCGAACAATATATCGGCCTGTGAGCCTGATTAAATGATCCTCTTAGTGCAGAGCGGAGAGCTGAAAAATATTTATAGTACAGTACGGTGACGCTAATCCAAACTAATTGAGACCAGTGGTAGTTCAAATTAACGATTAGGGATTCCAAAAAGGGGACAAGTGCCCAGTTTGATATCCCAAAATTTTTACGTTTTTAACAATTAATAATATAAAAAGCTTTTAAAAGTAAAATGTTTATGAAGTAATAGATGGCGCCATACGCAATTTTAGATTTTTTTGGCCGGGAAAGTTACGCAACTCGTTGCTGGATTTTTAAATAATTTGAGGTTTGGTTTTGATGGGATATGGCAAGACAACACTTGAGATATATGTCAAGGAAGGTGTCTCCTGGGAAGACTTCCTACGAGAAATCATTTAGACACGTGAAGAAAACCCAGAAAACTGCACGTACCAGCCCATTGGTGCATGATGTGAAATCTAACCCATAATCAAAACTACCAGCATTCAGTGACTTTATCTGTTCGGCGACGAGTGGACCCTTTGAATTATTCCTTGTATGAGAAAATTGTTGTTGCTGGTACCAATATATTTCATTCGTATGTACAAATGTCTTTTGTATAGTCTTTCTTATATATAATTTTTTTTTTTCTTGGTTGCATCTGTGTGTAGGGCAATCAGTCGCTGAGTGAATAAAACCACTGAACACTGGTAGGTGGTCGTGGGTTCATGCCTTGCAGCAATGGGCTGCCTATGTAGAGTTTTACGGGTTTTCTTCACACTAGTAACACTTAAATAGGGACTAGTTTCCAGTAAAGTCCTCCCTTGGCAGATTGCCCATGTGTTACATTGCTGTCAATTGAAAATTATATAATCCTTCATTTCGATTGAAGACTTTGATCATGACCACTTTTGAAATGTTTTTGATTATGGCCAAATTGCTAAGGTAGTTGAGATACCAGCCTTAAAATGACCCAGGATCAAATCAGAACCAACCAACTCTGGGAATTTTTTGTGGGGAAGTTCTAGATGTGTCAAGCCCCATTCCTGTACAGTTATAGGCTTGGCAGAGCCTATAATGGATATGAAAAAAGGCCCTTTTGGTGTCCATAGGGTAGAGAGCTAAATTCTTGGTGTTTTTTGACCCATCCAGATTTGATCTCATGTCCCCAGAGTGGTACACTGTTACCTTAACCTCCCATCTATTAAATTGTTTCCACTAGAAAATCACCCTCTACTCTGCTAAATTTTCATTATCAGGAAAGGAATCATAGATATGCATATGTGAGACTGTCATAGAAAATCACTAATGGTGTCTACCTTGTTTATGGACCAATCATATTTTCATTTGCCTATTCATTCTTCCTAATTAATGGGCGTATTTCTTCTCAACCAACTTTAAACCATTTAAAGTTATATCATATTTTAGAATGTCAGCTATTCATTTTGAAAAATGCATTGAGTAAAGTCTCCATACTAGAATGCTAAGAAATCTACTTTGTGCCTAATGTATTTTGTGTGTCAAATATATTAATACTGTAATATACAGGATCTTCCAAAAAGAATTTTAAATTATTGTAATTATGTTAATTATTATCCAAGAATGTTGTAATGTATTATACATTAAAACATTAGAAAAATAATCTAAATTTTTGCCCATTATAATCTCTCAATGTGCTCACCTCATGTTGCAAGTCACATGCCTGACCAATATTTGAATTCTTCCTATGCTCGCTACAGCATATCTGTTGTCACTCCTCCTATGGGCCACACTTCTACAGCTCTGAATTTTACTTCTGCTGTACAATGATGAATGATTCTGACTTTCCAATCTGCCGAACCCAAAACACCTTCATTATGGAGTCACCATTTTTGTTTACGATACTTCCTAGAGGCAATAGATCGAGGGGAGATGAAATTCAGAGGGTTACTCTATTGATTGGCGAATGTCACATAATTCTTGGATGATAATTAACACCATTACGGTAATTTAAAATGGTAGAATTCATTTTAGAAGGTCCTGTATGTCTGTACGAGACAATGTATGACTATAAATAATTTTCACACAATATATAATATATCATCATTTATTTTTTTCTCTGAAAACATATTTTTACACCCGTTTTTCTATTTTACATTATCCACCATGTTCTGAGATGATAAAGGAATTTGCAATGACTATCAGGTGAACAGACATGGTGAATATTTTTTTTTTTTTTTTATAAAATTAATGCACACACTATACATAATTACAATTCATTTTCTTCTTTATATAAACAATCTTAATCAAAAGATGACTTTTACTTTTATGGCACATTTCTGGAATGTTAGCTAATACGTTACATATACAAGAATGGGAGATAAAAACAATTTATTTTATCGCAGGGAAGGGGTAATAATAAATTTTATCAATATGATATTTATATTTTATATACATCAAAACTTCCCAATACAGGCACATTCATATAGGTAATAATATACATATTTGGTCATTTTCTTGTGCGAAGATGAATTTCTATTAAATATTTTTACGGCTAGCTTTCTGTTGTCTGTTTTAGTTCCGGAAAGAGTTCCAGGACTATTATGTCGAGTAGAATGTAAGTCAACTAGAAACAGTTTGGAGTTAGAATGTAATGAAAATAATTAAGAATCTTCTTTTAAAAATAATTAATTATTTCATAAATCTTTGAAATATGTTAATTAACAAAAAAAACCATTTTACCTGTTTATTTAGAAGAGGATGTTGTACTAACGAAATTATTGTTTTATTTCCTTCTTTGTATTGACTAGGACCTAATATTCGTACAAGCCACTCTATATTTAATAAATAATTAAACGAAACAAAAAATATTGTATTTGATTTATATTTCATATATAAGGATCCGAAGTCTTGAACTGTAAGAGTTATATGCTGATCTTCGCTTACTGTCTTACAGGTAAAGCATGTCATCGAGTGAGGAGAAATAAATTTGAGTTATTTTGATGGTGGAAATCTCTGTTGGCAACAAGATGCCAAAGAGTTTATTATGTTGTGTCGAGACTTCCCACTAATCACACACGATGATCTGAATGCAGCCTGTTAAACTTCTTGGAAAATTCACGCGACTGTGCATCCTCTCCATCAAAATAACTTCAATTTATTCCTTCTTACTTGGCATCATGTTTTTACCTATAAAATGATAAACAAAGATCAACATAACTCATATGATTCCAGACTTACGGAACACTGTATATTAGAATTATATTATAATAAAAATTAAAATATATCAAACAAGATAAAGCATATTTTTATAACTGATAAGACAAATCAGTTCTAAACAACAATTTTATAAATACCTAAAATTATTAATTTAAAGAGATATGGAATTCAAACTAAAATTGAAATTTCTGTTTTAATATATCAAGAAGACATGCAGTAGATTAAAATACAAATTTTTTTACAGAATATATAATGTAATGTNTTCTCCCACTCTCGAAATTAGGTGCAGGTGTTAATAAATTAGTGTAGCAACAAAGGAAATTCATTTCAGTTTGTTGGAAAATGTCCGAAATGCAAAGTCCTCTCGTTAGAAGATCGTATTAAAGTTATCACAACAGCAATTAGCGGCGAAGTTTAACTGTGGGACAACAAAATTTATTTTTCTTGGGGGTTGTAAAATATTGTACACGATACAATTAATCGTCTGATCTCATCGTTTGATAAAATCTATTTTTATTTATTTATTTTGAAGCTCATATACAGTACACGTGCAATAAATAGTTTCTGTATCAACCTACCTTATTTACGCGATATTTTTTAGAAAAATTGATTTAATTGAATTAATTAAGTCGGAAAAAAGAACATTATAATCGAGAAAATGCGACTATTGTATTAATCTTTAAAATATTAGTGTTAAATCTGTCTTATAATATCACGACGACTCCCGTAAATCGGGTTATCCAATAAGAATAAAATACAATACCAATATAACCCTATCGTTGAAAAAAAAAAATCGCTTATATTTGCTGGCCTCGAGTTTTGCTTAGTAGAAATGGCTAAAAAGTGCGCAAATTACGTACGGAAATACGTTATTACAGGACTACCTGTATTGGATGACCACCTGTCTAAAAGACCACTTTTTGAAGGAACTGCGGGTGGGCGCCATAGACAGGTTTTACTGTATTTGAAATGTCGGCCGTTTAACGTATCATCGTACCGCTATAGGTAACGCGGGATTAAACCTGAGTGAGCAAACCCGGGAATTTTTTCATGGATGGTTCGTCCTTGAACACTTGGGCCGCCCCCAATGTCGGCCTGGCAGAGTCCATGATGTGCATAGGGAAAAAAACTTCTCTAAATGCTCACTGGGCAGGGAGAATTAAAACTGGAGGAAAACGTTCAAGTAACTTATATTACAGGAAAAATAAAGTTGGTTATAAATAAAATGACAAGAAAAATTGCTCTTAAGTTTTTAATGTAGTACTTGTATTTTAATTTAAGGCCGATTGTAACATCATTCGTTATGCACACGATCTCCAGCAGATGGCGTTAAAAATTTAATTTTTTTTTTTTTTTTTTTAGAAATAATATTGCCAGGTTGAGGGATGGTTTTTCTCGTTCCTACAAATTTTCTAATTTTTAAAGGAATGTTTTAAAAAGGGTTTTTCCCATAGAAAAAGCAATGCAGCTGCTAAAGCGTGCGCTAGTCGCCGCGAGTGATCCCGGTTCGAATTCGAATCGGATCTTCCGGAATTTGTCAAGATAATATGGCAGCTCTGTTCCCGCTTCATGGCTGCCCCAATGGGAACTAAATGTTGTTACTACCCACAAAACGACGAGCGATTAAGATGGCAGCCTACCCTCTGGGGAATCCGGGATCAAATCCGAACAATATATCGGCCTGTGAGCCTGATTAAATGATCCTCTTAGTGCAGAGCGGAGAGCTGAAAAATATTTATAGTACAGTACGGTGACGCTAATCCAAACTAATTGAGACCAGTGGTAGTTCAAATTAACGATTAGGGATTCCAAAAAGGGGACAAGTGCCCAGTTTGATATCCCAAAATTTTTACGTTTTTAACAATTAATAATATAAAAAGCTTTTAAAAGTAAAATGTTTATGAAGTAATAGATGGCGCCATACGCAATTTTAGATTTTTTTGGCCGGGAAAGTTACGCAACTCGTTGCTGGATTTTTAAATAATTTGAGGTTTGGTTTTGATGGGATATGGCAAGACAACACTTGAGATATATGTCAAGGAAGGTGTCTCCTGGGAAGACTTCCTACGAGAAATCATTTAGACACGTGAAGAAAACCCAGAAAACTGCACGTACCAGCCCATTGGTGCATGATGTGAAATCTAACCCATAATCAAAACTACCAGCATTCAGTGACTTTATCTGTTCGGCGACGAGTGGACCCTTTGAATTATTCCTTGTATGAGAAAATTGTTGTTGCTGGTACCAATATATTTCATTCGTATGTACAAATGTCTTTTGTATAGTCTTTCTTATATATAATTTTTTTTTTTCTTGGTTGCATCTGTGTGTAGGGCAATCAGTCGCTGAGTGAATAAAACCACTGAACACTGGTAGGTGGTCGTGGGTTCATGCCTTGCAGCAATGGGCTGCCTATGTAGAGTTTTACGGGTTTTCTTCACACTAGTAACACTTAAATAGGGACTAGTTTCCAGTAAAGTCCTCCCTTGGCAGATTGCCCATGTGTTACATTGCTGTCAATTGAAAATTATATAATCCTTCATTTCGATTGAAGACTTTGATCATGACCACTTTTGAAATGTTTTTGATTATGGCCAAATTGCTAAGGTAGTTGAGATACCAGCCTTAAAATGACCCAGGATCAAATCAGAACCAACCAACTCTGGGAATTTTTTGTGGGGAAGTTCTAGATGTGTCAAGCCCCATTCCTGTACAGTTATAGGCTTGGCAGAGCCTATAATGGATATGAAAAAAGGCCCTTTTGGTGTCCATAGGGTAGAGAGCTAAATTCTTGGTGTTTTTTGACCCATCCAGATTTGATCTCATGTCCCCAGAGTGGTACACTGTTACCTTAACCTCCCATCTATTAAATTGTTTCCACTAGAAAATCACCCTCTACTCTGCTAAATTTTCATTATCAGGAAAGGAATCATAGATATGCATATGTGAGACTGTCATAGAAAATCACTAATGGTGTCTACCTTGTTTATGGACCAATCATATTTTCATTTGCCTATTCATTCTTCCTAATTAATGGGCGTATTTCTTCTCAACCAACTTTAAACCATTTAAAGTTATATCATATTTTAGAATGTCAGCTATTCATTTTGAAAAATGCATTGAGTAAAGTCTCCATACTAGAATGCTAAGAAATCTACTTTGTGCCTAATGTATTTTGTGTGTCAAATATATTAATACTGTAATATACAGGATCTTCCAAAAAGAATTTTAAATTATTGTAATTATGTTAATTATTATCCAAGAATGTTGTAATGTATTATACATTAAAACATTAGAAAAATAATCTAAATTTTTGCCCATTATAATCTCTCAATGTGCTCACCTCATGTTGCAAGTCACATGCCTGACCAATATTTGAATTCTTCCTATGCTCGCTACAGCATATCTGTTGTCACTCCTCCTATGGGCCACACTTCTACAGCTCTGAATTTTACTTCTGCTGTACAATGATGAATGATTCTGACTTTCCAATCTGCCGAACCCAAAACACCTTCATTATGGAGTCACCATTTTTGTTTACGATACTTCCTAGAGGCAATAGATCGAGGGGAGATGAAATTCAGAGGGTTACTCTATTGATTGGCGAATGTCACATAATTCTTGGATGATAATTAACACCATTACGGTAATTTAAAATGGTAGAATTCATTTTAGAAGGTCCTGTATGTCTGTACGAGACAATGTATGACTATAAATAATTTTCACACAATATATAATATATCATCATTTATTTTTTTCTCTGAAAACATATTTTTACACCCGTTTTTCTATTTTACATTATCCACCATGTTCTGAGATGATAAAGGAATTTGCAATGACTATCAGGTGAACAGACATGGTGAATATTTTTTTTTTTTTTTTATAAAATTAATGCACACACTATACATAATTACAATTCATTTTCTTCTTTATATAAACAATCTTAATCAAAAGATGACTTTTACTTTTATGGCACATTTCTGGAATGTTAGCTAATACGTTACATATACAAGAATGGGAGATAAAAACAATTTATTTTATCGCAGGGAAGGGGTAATAATAAATTTTATCAATATGATATTTATATTTTATATACATCAAAACTTCCCAATACAGGCACATTCATATAGGTAATAATATACATATTTGGTCATTTTCTTGTGCGAAGATGAATTTCTATTAAATATTTTTACGGCTAGCTTTCTGTTGTCTGTTTTAGTTCCGGAAAGAGTTCCAGGACTATTATGTCGAGTAGAATGTAAGTCAACTAGAAACAGTTTGGAGTTAGAATGTAATGAAAATAATTAAGAATCTTCTTTTAAAAATAATTAATTATTTCATAAATCTTTGAAATATGTTAATTAACAAAAAAAACCATTTTACCTGTTTATTTAGAAGAGGATGTTGTACTAACGAAATTATTGTTTTATTTCCTTCTTTGTATTGACTAGGACCTAATATTCGTACAAGCCACTCTATATTTAATAAATAATTAAACGAAACAAAAAATATTGTATTTGATTTATATTTCATATATAAGGATCCGAAGTCTTGAACTGTAGGAGTTATATGCTGATCTTCGCTTACTGTCTTACAGGTAAAGCATGTCATCGAGTGAGGAGAAATAAATTTGAGTTATTTTGATGGTGGAAATCTCTGTTGGCAACAAGATGCCAAAGAGTTTATTATGTTGTGTCGAGACTTCCCACTAATCACACACGATGATCTGAATGCAGCCTGTTAAACTTCTTGGAAAATTCACGCGACTGTGCATCCTCTCCATCAAAATAACTTCAATTTATTCCTTCTTACTTGGCATCATGTTTTTACCTATAAAATGATAAACAAAGATCAACATAACTCATATGATTCCAGACTTACGGAACACTGTATATTAGAATTATATTATAATAAAAATTAAAATATATCAAACAAGATAAAGCATATTTTTATAACTGATAAGACAAATCAGTTCTAAACAACAATTTTATAAATACCTAAAATTATTAATTTAAAGAGATATGGAATTCAAACTAAAATTGAAATTTCTGTTTTAATATATCAAGAAGACATGCAGTAGATTAAAATACAAATTTTTTTACAGAATATATAATGTAATGTAAATTCTATAAACAAAAATTATTAAAATTAATTCTTGATATTTTCTTATTATACAGTAAGACCTCGTTTAGCGCTGATTCAATATAATACGGTCTATTCAAGCCTAAATAAAAGCTAAAAATTTACGCTGATTCAAATTATTGTTGCATTTCATTGATTCATATATAATATAATTATATCCAAACAGGAACCAATCAGATAAAGGTGGCAATTTGTCAAAATGCTGTACTTTCCTTAAATCTATGTTTGATGTAATTTTGGAAAAAATATAGCATCATGGATGCCATAGGTAATATCGATTTTGCTTGGCAAGAATTAACTGATAAATGCATGAACAGCATGTGAAAGAAGGTATGACCGGAGGTATCCAAGAATTCTCAATGAGAAGAGCCTATCGTTGACCAAACTGTCAACCTAATTGATACAGCAGGACTAGGAGATATAGACAAGCAGGATATTGAAGAATTACTGCAGGTTTCTGGTGAGAGCCTTACCAACAACAATCTTCAAGAACTGGCAGAACAAGGAATTCATGTAGAACTGGAAAATAGTGATTCTGAAAACGAAGAACCCAAAGAACTTGTTACAGATTTCCTTAGTTAAAGTTTGGTAACAATAACCAAAATCATTGATAAAACTGTAGCACATAATCTAGATTTTGAAAGGAGTGCAAAAGCAAGATGACACATTTTGGATGCAATCTCCTGCTATCGACATTTGTTTAAAGAAAGTGACAAAAGAAAGTGACAAATAAAACTACACGACTTTATCACAAAAACAAGAATTTCATAAGACCCAGGACTTTCATCACAAAAAATGAACTTTACATTTCTGTGTACATATGTTTGTGTTATTTAACATATATTATTATGCAAATTAATATAAAGATAACTTAAAATTAAAATAAAATCTGATTATTTTTGGTTGTGTGTTCCAGTGGTATAGCAAACATAACTGGCGCCTGGAACACGACACTTTATTGGCGCCCCCCTCCTCCCTCCAGAAACAAATCTTGTTTGTCTTTGAGATCATTTGGCACCCCTCTGTGAGTGGTGCCTGGGGCATGATAGACCCCCTTTGCTACGCTAGTGGCATGTTTCCCTTTCCCTATTTACTGTCTGTTAAAATGACCTCGTTTAACACTCTATCATTTAGTGCTTTGTTGTCTTGGAATGCATTCTAAGGTCTAAATGAAATCTTACTGTATTATATTTAAAAAACTAAATATAATTTTATAGATTATAGTTTTAAAACATTTGTTATAAATAGTTATTTTAATAAACAAAAATAATAATAATTTCAGATATACATCAGAAATACTTCACTGTTCAAAATGTTAATAGAAATTGTTTCTGATGATTACAGTTCAGCAAATTTAATTTTAAATATTTGGCTTATTTTAAGAAAATTCCTTTATGCTTACATTATAATTAACTAAATATTCATTTAGCATTTTTTCCTCCTCTCATTACTGTAAATACAATATTGCAAATTATGTTTAACTTAATATACTAACACAAAAAATATTTAATTATGATTTTTTATTAAGGTATTGTAAGGATGACATTTAATGTCTCTCTTAATTTTGTTATTTAACTTCTTCTTTACTTAAGATCTGGGGATAAGATGGCACCGAGGAACATCTGGAGGAGAGAAATGCCATGACCAAAACATAGGAAGAATATGATTGAAGATGTAAATTTAATTTATTTAACTCAGAACTGAACTGCTTTATTTACATAAAATAAGTGTAGAAAAATGATAAAATTAACATGTAAAAATTTAAAATTCTACAGAAGGTACTATGCCTACAAGTAAGCTGACAAATTGAGATAATTATAAAAGGAACCATGATATAGAACTGGTAATCAAAGCTAAAGAACTGTGTCTGAGACAAATACCTTTGAGTTTCTAGGGAAAAAGAGAGATGGTCTTGATCTTCAGATATGGAACTAAGATGGCCAAAAGAAAAACAGGATCAACCAAAAAGAGCCCCAAAACCAGCTTGGATTTAGTTTCTAAAGGGGGTTAACAATCAACAACAATTAGGTTGGAGAATTCTGAATGGACCTGTTTTTGATCTGATCACTTCCAAAATCCTATAGGTCCAAATTTAGACATTTTTGTGTTTTATCAACACCTGAGTGACAAGCAAAAAAAATTCCAAATGGTAGGTAAATTTCTCAGAGGATATTTTTGACAGTTTTCATTAAAAAAAGATTTCTTTAATTGCCAGATATATAGTATTTTTTTCTGTCTCTTTCTCCCTCCCTTATAAAATTTTATCATTAATCATTGCAGGTTCACATACATTTTAAATTGGCACAAAGTTTCATTTTCCACATTTGCAAAATAAAATATAGCCTGTTAAGTAAAGTTAGCAATTGTTACTTAACAGATTGTCACTAATGAACAACAAATGCATGAAATTCAATTATAAATGAAAAATAATGATAATTTTCAATAGTTATGCTAAATTATTTTAAATTTCACTGCAACATCAGAGATCGACAATGCAATGCATGCCATCAGGAAGGTCTCTCTTCCATGACCCCACAGTACCTCTCCTATTAGAAACCTACTACTAGATTTAATCCTCTAACCAAACCAAAAAACTAAATTAAATTCAAATTAATTTAAACAGAATTTTCCTTTTCCATATAGGCAATGGAATATTTATAGAACTGCATCACATTTCAAATTATAAAGAGCCATAATTACATGTATGACAATTTTAAATCTTTATGAAAATTTTTATCTTGTTAACAAAGACTAATTGATAAAAATGCTGAGTTATTTCTGTTACTAAATCCTGCCTTTATTGTTGAGCAGCACACTACATCCACTACTTATTAATATATGCTTTATTAGAGAATCATCTCATATGACAGTCAGTCATTCTAGTAGTGATTGATATGAGGGACATTAATGGCACAGTGATACATGCAGGAAATCACACTCTCCCTTATATTGCATTTCATGGCAGGGCTGCAAACAGCTATTTTTGAGCAAGATAATGCTTGACCACACACAGGGTTTCCTAGATATGTCTCCGTCATGTTACCATACTCACTTGGCTTGTCTGGACTCCAGATTTGTCACATATCAAGCATTTATGAAATCAGATGATGCCAGTCTTTTCCATATATGTATGGGAAATCCAGAATTGCAAATCTGTCACAGGATAGCATATGGTCTCTATACAGTGTCTATTATGTCTTCATGTCCAAGTGTATTGCCATATGTATCCAGGTGTGAGAAGCCTCCTTGCAGGGGTGTTGGACTCTTATCACTTAATGGCAGCGTCGGGTCGGTTAGGCCCACTCATTTGTCACTGGATGGCTTATTTCCTCTCTTTAGGGTCAGAGGTGGGGAAATCGTATAATTTCCTTCTCCTGTCATGTCTGACACCAGTTAAGATAAATTTGCACATCTTGCAATTATACTTGTCATCTAAAGGTTGACATCCTAATATCTAGTTAGGGGGCTAAATGAGCAGTATGGTTGTAAGTCAAGAGGGTCCAGACAGGTTAAATAAATAATAAAAGTTTAATGAGTCAAAGTAAGGATAAAGTACAAAAAGGAATTAAATATCTGGTTTACTTGGTACTGCACTAAGGGAGATTTTATAAAATCCACGTAAGGGCTTTTTCTCCGAGAAGTTCAAGATGTAATGGGTGGTGTGAATGGCATTTTACTCCTGACGGCAGCATTATCCTCCAAATGAGTGGCCACAGCAGCCACGACATTCAATGCACCTAGAGAAGCACTCAATATATTTGTAAACTGAATCTGTACATTAGGATTCTGAGATGATAGTGCTCTATTGCTAGCAACAATCACAACCACAGAAATATGGAATTTATTATCTGTTAAGATTTTCAGCATATCTAATAATAAAGCTGCACCTTTAACAGTTTGTACAAACTTCCAGCTCATAAAATAATTTGTAAGTTTGATTGCTTGGTCATTAGAAATAGCTGGTGCTTTCTTAGCAGCTTCTGCAAGTCTTTATGTTCCACTTATTATAGTTACAGTTATTGTTAGGCCTCTTTCAAAATGTAAATATTTTCCATCTACTTCAACAATAGCATCTTCAATTCTTTCAAAAAAAGGAGTTAAATCTCCTTGTAATTGTGAAGCAATGTGAAAAGCATATCCTAAGTTTAATACACTATCATCTTTCTTTAAAGCTGACGTCAATGCTTTAGTCACTTTATTTGAATCAACTACTAAAGCAAGATTTTTCATGTACTGATGCATCATCTTTAATTGCTGCTTCTAATATCTGATGTAATCCTGCTGCAGGTAACTTGCAATCTAGTAGTTTGTTTATTCCTGTAGTATGGTACACAGATTCTAAATATTTTCACTCCAATTTGGTTTTTGTAAGATTACATGTTTCCTGAACATTAAGAAATTTCTGTGAAAGAAGTGTATGACCTAAAATTGAATAATATGCTACAGATAAATCAACAAATGGCCACTGAGCAGAATATCGATTAACTATAGTTTGACAAACTAGCTACTTAAGTCTATGTTGACAGAGAGAGAGAGAGAGAGAGAGAGAGAGAGAGTTTACAATCTTTAAGTATAATACCTCTGGGAGATAACACTTGATGTCTTTGGATCTGGTCAAGGTAGCGTATTGTCTGGGAGTCGAGAGGCGAGAGCTGGCAGGTAGAGCTTTATCTATTAGCTCCATAGGTAAAGTCAGCCCTGAACCTTTGGTGAAAACTCATAATCTCACCCTTTCCCAGTGGGCGTGAGAATATTCATCAGGTGCTTCTCTGTCACAAGATGTATCCAGTGGATCATCACAAGATTTTGTCATGAGACAGTGACAACTTGGATGAAGATTTATTTCTCTCGTGTCATTGGTTAAATGTTGTGACTTCCATTCACCTAATTAATCGCTACTGCATGTTACTCACAGAAAGGGAGAGGGAAAGTCTCCAGGATCTCACACAGGCAAAAGGAAGTTTTTAAATAAAGGTTTCTTTAAATTGTGCCATCATAACACAGGAAATTATCTCTTTGCTATGCTACTGTAATCACTGACTACTGACGGCCAAATGGCTGAGCAGTCAAGATGGCAACTCACCACTCTGGGAACCTGGTATTGAATCTGAACAGGTTGAAAAATTCCCAGGAATTTTTTGGGGATGGTCCATCCAGATATGTCGAGCCTCATTCCTCACCACTTAGCCACCCCAGTGTGGATCTGGCCAAACCCATAATGGGCTTGCTAATGGGCACTAAGACAGCTTCTTAGTGCCCACAGGGTGGAAAGAGTTAAAAAAAAAGTCTCTTATTACTGTCATCATTACATTTGCACTCATAAAATCATGTTTGATTCTAATGCCTCCTTCATGGTATGCAACTTTTTCATCAGTAAGTGTATGTATTAATATATTTATTACTAATTATCTAATTATTTTTATATAACTGATATTTTACAAAAGTTATTTCAAAAATAATGTAAATAAAAAGAAGTTCAAATAACTATAATATTTTGAAATAATTTATTTGTAGCAAAAATTGTTTTAAAATGTATAGAAAAGTTTCCCTATTTTGGAATAAGTTAATTTAAATCTTAAGTAATAAAAAATCAAAATATAAAATAGTCATAAGTATGTATTACCAGGAAAAAACTCATTGGCTTCTTGAAATACTAAAGATAGTCTCTCCTTTTTCTGTGTTTCTGTTCTAAAGTCATAAAATTGCTTCAATTAAACCAACCAAAAAATTTATAGAAGTTTTAAATATTTTTACCTTGGAGTATCTTGATTAAAAAATAGAGCATCTGAAAGGAAAAATTAATTAATTAAATAGAAAACATAAAATTTTATATGAATTAAATTTTATTCTATTTACCTCTCAATAAATGTATTAATTCTACAATTCGTTGCGGTTTCAGTGCTTGTCTTAATTTTTTTTCTAAATACCATTTTACAAAGCCTTGAAATGTATGTCTAATTATAATATCAAAAGTAGTTAATATTTGTACAACCCACTTAGGTACATTGTAAATTTTGACAGCTAGAATAAAAGATCATAAAATTAAATAATGAAATATATACATATATAAAATTGAAATAATGCTTACCAACAAACAACACATAGTCATAAATTCCTTCAAGAATGATTGTATTTGATAGTCTTTGAAAATTAATATTTGCATGTATTGAATTCTTTTCATACAGCGGATTTCTTAACTAAATTAAAGAAAAAGTATTCTAAAACTTTTTCTATACTTATTCTTTAAAATTACACACAGTCAAACTTAGTTATAATAAGCACTAGGGAACTGGAAAGATTTATTTGTTATAATTGTGAAGAGCAGTGATATAACTAGGGGAATGGATGGCAACCTCAGACGCAAACACATAAGGGTGCTCCATAAATGGCAAAATTTGTAGCTTTGTTACTGATAATTTGTAAAATGTAAAATTTATCTATAAATAAGTTGATTCAAATATATATATATATATATATATATATATAATTACATGTTATATAGTATTTTTATTAATAGTTATATAAACTAAATATAATTAATATTGTAAAGTACTATTTTATTTTTCCAACTTTTTACAATGATTATCGACATGACTGTGTGCGGAAATAGCCGTTCCCTAGCGGGTACTTTATGTGGATTCGCGTTAGTGTGCCAGGCCTGGACTTTTAGTGTGCACCAAAATTAAATAATGACAAAGTTTGTCAATAACAAATCAAATATTTAATTAATTTCTAGTAATAAACTATTTACAAAATTTAGTAAAATCAAATAACAATTTATTCAATGAAAGTCAATAAGAATCAACCCGACAAAACTCAAATCAATCTAATTTCTAACTTAAATCTATTCCCCTTTGGAATTCGACAAAATTCAAAGATTTAACTTATATACAATAATTCTTATGAATTAAAGATCCTAATCGTCACCTCAATATACAGTGGTGCCTCGTATAACGTACTTAATCCGTTCCAGGTGCACGTCCGTTAAGTGAAAAGTCCGTTATACGAAACACATTTTCCCATAGAAATACATGTTAAAATATATAATTCGTTTCGCAGCATAAAATAACCATACTGTACCATTAAAAAAATGAAAATGGAGCAGTCACCAATTATGCCGGGTAAGGAAGACATTGTAAGGAAGAGATGGAGGAATACTTTCTTCACACATTCATACAGATACAGACTTTATACACATCGCAGCGGATCTCTTTTTATTGTTTTTTAATTAGAGTCAGATTCAGGAGAGACTTCCGGAGCTTGCAGGGTCAACTCCTCTTGTTCCATTCTTTGTTTTTTGCCTGCTGGCTTCTTAAAAAACATGTCCAAGGTGGTCTGTTTCTCTCTCTTCTTCAACACCTGTCGGAAATGACGGGCAAGGGTGTCATTGTAGAGATCATTGATCCTGGTGGCCTCAGCTCTGTTTGGATAATGAGCGTTAGTAAACTCCTGAAACACTCCCATTCGACAAGAAAGTTGTTGTCAACTTTCACTCCTTCTGATGATTTCTTGCATTGTTTTAATTGAAATCATCTTTCTGTATTTTTAGAAGCCATGATTTGCACAACACTTGAATAAATGTAAATACCCTGAACTGAGGTGATGTACGTAATAAACAAGGAAGCAAGCCGAATCCCAACGGGAGCTCTGTACTTCAGATATACTAATATATTCTAATAACACTAATATATTATAAAAATAGCAGATTGTCATTGGCAACGGCAAAAGAGTGAAAATATTATTCGCACTTGTTCGCAGAAAGTCCATTGTTCGCCTCACGTAACTGCTGAACAGAAAGTCTGTTGTTCGCAGCCAGTCCTATGCTCGAGTCATGTAACGGCCAAACAGAAAGTCTGTTGTTTGCAGTGTCCGTTATTCGAGGCGTACGTTATACGAGGTACCACTGTACTAGGAACCTATTTCCTCAACTCTCAAGACTTTCTCTATTCGTCGATCCACAAATCGAATAACTTCAAAATTGCCTTGGAACTATTTGATCCTATTGGACACCTCTCTCGTTCACTGCTACAAAGCTCACCAAGCTCGTTGCTAACTAGAATTCACCTCGTTCATCTTCACTTGACGTTCAGACTTTATACTGTGAGGTGACGTCACAATTCTGAATGCAATCACTCCCCTCATTTACATACTTATTTGCTAACAATAAACTTTCTCTATTTGTCTGGCAGCCTATTTTCCGACAATACTCGCTAACCTTTTACATTATTCTTTTTGACAATTGTTGGGATGTTTTTATTCTTTAAGGTTTAGTGAGTCCCTAAGTTGTGCTTGTGGGGTCTCCCCCCTTTTTCTTGGTGCGGACTTAGTTTTTTCCGCTTGGGAGCGCACGTGTGTGCGAGTTTTTTCTACAACACTTTTCTCTCGTTGGTGAGTTGGTTTCTCTTCTATTTTTAAGTTTCTAAGGTGAATGGTGAGGAAACCTTCGTCCTAACAAAACATAAGCCCCAAACAAAAATATAATAAAAAGCAAAATAAAAGTAAATAAAAATAATGCTCGGACTTGGTTCCTTACAATATTAAACAATTTATTTTTTTGTAATTAAAGATAATACTAATTACTGTAATAATATGTCCGATTTCAGTTAGTCTTTTTTATCTACAAATCTTAAAATTAATGTCTGCTTTATTTTTTCATAATGTCGATACTGTTGAACATGACAAAGGAAACTTTCCACACACTTCAATGTTTTTAGCACCATGTTTCTAATTTCTACTTTTTTGTAAACTAAGAGATATTTTCTTTTCTTCACAGACATCTATGAGAAAGATGTCTATGAAGAAAAGATGTTTATAACTAAAGTTTATGGTAATTTTGCAATCATAGTGATGATTAGGCAAATTGGCAGAGTAGGGCTGGAAGCTAGTCAAAAAAAAGACAGTCTCCAAAAACAAAGTTAAGTGATAAATAGGTCTGTAATCCATGCAGGTCATAAAACTAATTATCCAGTGATCATAAAACTAAGTAACCATTTCAGTTTAATATATTCCAAGAATTGCATTTCCTACTACTTGAACAATTAAGATTGTTTGTGCATTTGTATAGCTACCAAAAGTTTGCTCAGTATATCCGTATACCCTTGTTATAACCGTGAGAAAATGTATAAAAATATGCAAAAATTAAAATTGTTATGGTATTTTGCACATTATAACCATGAACTTGTTATATCTGTGTTCATTATAATCAAGTTTGACTGTATATAAAAATTTTTACCTTTTCTAAAAGAGAAGATTCAGGTACATCACATATTTCTTTCCAATCATGCTTACTATAATGAAATACATTTAAAAATACATAAAATATAACATAACATGTTTAAAGAATGCAAAAAATAAAGTTTTAAAGTATTTAAATATAAAATTATAATAAATACCTGGGTTTTGGTTTTGCTGCTTCTGTTGATACAACAAAAGTCTGAAGGAAAGGTTCTAAATGTTGACCTTTCTGTAAAAGAAATTAAATTTTGTAATGGGCTTCATTTTAAAAACTAATACATCTAGAAAGATCAATACCTCTTTAATCAATTTCATTGGGACAGTTTTAATCATTTTACCTAGAAATAGCAATTAATAGAAATAATTAATTGTGTAATGTAACTAACCTAAATGTAAAATAACATAGCTTGTGAAAGAAACACTTTAAAATATATAGTAAATAAATTAGGATACATTGTATTAATCATGTTTTATTAAACATCTAACTACTTATAAACACAAGAAATATATAATCTTGTTGCATTTTTTGCACTATATTTTATTTCACTAAATGTTTTATTTACAAATTTTAAATACTGTTCAATATATGAAAATATTTTAAACAGATTTATTATTCGGATTTTTTAAGTTCAAAAAAATTTTAAGTTCAAATTTAAGTTCGGATTTTTTGCTTCCACAATTAAAGTAGACTGCTTGATGCTGTATTAAACTGTTTTAAGAAGAGTTAGATAGTAGAAACTATGTGTATATATAATCTCAATTATCAATATTCTTTTAACAAAATCCATAGAAATATTTATAACTTACAATTAATTTATGTAATTCATCATTTAATCTATTGTCATATTCAGGCATGAATTATTTCACCAACATATCCTAATATAAGTATAATTATATTACTCTTATATAAAATGAAGTAAATTTCTATACATAGATTAATCTTGGAATTTACTATTATGTAAACCATCATCATACATTTATCAGCCTCAAGTATAATATATTCATGTATTATATATATATCTTAAGGCTGATATATATCTTAATGATAATTCATCATCATTAATATAATATTTCAAACATTCTAAATTTTTCATACCAAGAACCAGCAAAAACTTCCAACAAATTTAATAAAATACAGTATTTCAATATATTTACCTAGATTAATTTCTGGAAGAAAGCCAGGTTTAAATTCTATTCGTGACTTTAAAAATCTGTATAGCAATTCACTACCTTGTAATGTAGGAAGTGATAATAAATCCTGAAAACATAAAATCAAAAGTAAAATATATACAAATCATAAAAATTACTTTTAAAATGCATATATAATTTTTGCACTTGTAAAAATTTTTCAAATGCTGGTCTTCTTGATTCAAGAAATTGTTTTCCTTTACTTCCTAATGATCGTTTAGGAGGTAGCTGAATGTCAGGCAACTCTCCATGGAACTCTCTAAGCTTTGCTTCTAATACGTAAAATTCATGATATTGTCTGTGAAAAAATTAAATAACTTTTATTATATATTTATACCATGATATATAATATATATCTTATATAAATAAGCAGAAAAACCATTATGATTAAACTGTTTTATTTTATATTAGGTCTATTCTAATAGTCTCTAAACTATTTCCTATTATAAAATGATATAACTTACATAAGTGAAGAAGTTGGAGATTATAAAATTTAGCAATTACTTTCAAGATAAAATAGATAAAAATAATATCATAAAATCAGTATGTATAAACAATGCAATGATAGACAAAGTTTGAACAAATCCTGGAATGTAAACATTATGGATTATAGATGATTACGGAACCAAGGAAGAAGTTTTGTTATTTAAAGTACACACATGTCCAAAACTTAAGAACAAATTTCTAGTGCAGTTTGTTCTGAAGTCTTGTAATACCATAATACAAATTATTAGTGGTGACATCCAAACAGGTCAGTGATGAGCTTGTCATGACATTGCAAGTGTTGCATTGAAGTTTGAGATGTACATCTTCCATATTGCCAGGTTTCTATGCCTGGATGTTAGTAAGCACTTTCCATCCATTTTGTCTGTCTAACTGCTGAATGTATCTTTTTCAAGAAAGTCTTATTTTTATTGTTTTGATTTGTAAAATTCTACTAGTTGTTGTGTATTACACTGTGTTTTCTGCTTTAATTTTTATATATTTTTAATAATAAAAATAATTTTGTTAATTTAAAATGATCTTTATTAGTATTATGATAATTTCCTAGAAATACAAAAGATTATGAAAATATAGCAGGATGTATATCCTATCTATTATTATTCACATGTTTATTATGAAGTTTTTTTTGGTCTTCTTTTAACCTGTTTGCTTAATTGTTGTAACAGTTGGGAAAATTTAGATAGAAAGTTAGGGTGTATTTAGAAAGAGGCAGCCTCATAGGATTAAACTTCTAATTTGTTTGAAAAATTAACATTTAAAACATTTAAAGGCTTTTAAAATAAATATGTTAAAAAGTTAAATTGTAAGATCAAATGCCAATTGGTAAAATATGTTAAAACTACTGCCTTCTCCTTATTATAATGTACTGTAACAGACCATAAATATATAACAATACAAATAACACAATGTAAAAAATTTTTACCATATTAAATTATGAAATTTCATAAAATTACTTTTTCAATAACATCACAACATCTAAATATTTTACTATCCAATGACTATCTTTCATCTTGAGTAATGACTTTCAAAAATACAGTGTGTTTGGAAAATCGTTGTTAGCAGAAAGTTAACAACGATTCTAATCATATTTTCGCATTATTTTGAAAGACACGTGGCTCCCACACTCACTAGATCTAAATCCACCAGACTTTTATCTATGGGGAGCAGTGAAATCTGCAGTGTATCAAGATCATCCACACATGCTGGATGACTTGAAAACAGCAATAACAGCATTCATTCAGTCTTTCAAGCAAGCAACTGATAGCAGTGTTTAGAAACAAAATAAGGATCCAAGTCTGTATTGATGCTAAGAGGGGTCACTTTCAACACTGTTTATAATTGTCATTCATATTTACTTCATGTATTCTATATTGAAACACACTGGCTTTACAAACATCCTGTATTTGTACTTTGCTAAAATGAATATTTTCAAGAACTCAAGAAATAATTTTATTCTGTATGAATAGATCTTTCAAAATATCAAAAATGAATATGTAGGTCATCAAAGTCCAACCAACTGACAATTTTACAGAAAATTCTGAAATAATATGCTACCAGTGTCCTGACAATACACAATTACAAATAGAAATCTACAGAGTATTTTTTATGACGAGATATTGAATAAAATTAATATCCTGTAAGAAACTGCTTATTTTAAGCAATTTATATAATGAAATTCACATTAAAAAAATCTCATAAGATAAATGTTTCCAGTCAAAAAACCATTTCAAGTAAAACAATAGATAATTAAATTCTCTTTAATAAAAGTCTTGACTACTAATGGCATATTGTTTTTGTTTCATTTGACATGTTGACAATGCCAACTATCAAACAAAAATCAATGATAAAAGTAAAAAGTGTACATTAGAATTTTGTACATAAATATTCTTTTAAGATAATCAGAATATATTTTAAAGAATTATATACATATATACATTTTTTAGACATAATAGAATAAGATTTATTTCAAATTGCATAAAATATTTCTAAAAAATTTAAAGGCCAAGTAATACAATAATTAACTATGATATTTCCTCAATTAAATTCCAAGAGGTTATTTTTAAATAACATGTATTCTTCTAATGTTTATTTGAAGATCTGGGATTTTTTTCATAGCCAAGATTTATTACATTGAACAAGAGATGAATGAATAAAAATTAAATATCTTTGTTACTCATACATTTCCAGAGCTATCAAAATCATTTATTGACTGTATTTATAAGTCACAGCTACAGCATTCAAAATAATCACTGTTTTTATAAGTAATCTGATTCAGTGTCTTCAAATTTGGCTGTTACATTGTCATTCATGTCTGTTTCAATGTTGTTGAAATCAGGATTTTGTCTACATCTTCTGATTCAAACTCATCATCTCTTTCCAATTCAAGTTTTCCTAATTATCCTTCAGCTGATTTAGACTTATGAACTTAATTGTGACTTTTCCATAGTCAATATTCAACAATATTTATAACTTTATTTCCAAAAATGTTCCAGTGAACCTTAAAATAGAAGTGTTGTCCAACTGTAGACAATTTGTAGTAGTATAATTTTGGTTAAATTCTGTACCTCTCATTCTAAACTACATTATCCTATACAATGCAGTAATCAACACATTTCCCAAGCTTTTCAACTCAGGGTTTATTTTTAACAGAACCTTTATTCACTGAAGTTTATTCAAAGACCAGGGTTTAATTGAGAAAATACGATATATGAGAATTCTATAATATATATGCTATCTAAATGAATATATATAATATACTTAACTGACTATTATGTACATTATCAAGTCATAATCATGTTAAAAAGAACTCCTATTCATTGTGTACATTGTATATAATTATGAAATATAATAGAAGTAAATAAAATATTTATTTTTTGAACACTACCTTTTAACTGTCCAATGAAAATCATCTGGATCATCTACATAAGAATCAGAGAAAATCATTCTTTCGTAATGTATTAAAAATAAGTTAAAAAAAAAAAATTAAATTCAAACCTTCTTCTCTAACATCTATTCGTTGCACCTCAACATAAAATGCATCATAATATTTACAATTATGATCCATCAAAGTTTCGACACGAGGTATAGAAACTCTCCAAGCACTTAAAGTTTTCAATCTAGGATCATCAGAAAATTTGAAACCTTCTTCAGTAAGTTCTGTTGATAACGAAGCTTCTGACTAGAATTTATTAAATATGTTAAAAATAAAATACAACAATAATCAAATGTTCAATATATTTTATATAACTTACAAGCATAGCCATAGCTAAATCTGTTCCAGCTTCCTCTTCAAAAAACCTACCATCATCTTAAAAAAAGTAAATGATGATAATTTAATATCTTAAGTTACTTTAATTAATCTAAATTGTTTTGTGTATTTTGAAGGAGTTATATATTTTTAAACTTTTATTACTTCTACAATTCAATTTCTATAAAACATTTAAAACATAACATGAAGTAAAATGGTAAGGATTTGGGTATCCGCACGCTGATTATTAATCCAGCAGTCGACGACAACACTAAAAGATTCCTGGAACTTATCCAAATCGACTTCGGGCAAATTAACAAGAAACATTTTTTGGAACAGTTGTCAACATGACTTGTTTTAGTTACTGTCAAGGTGAGATTGAAATAATAATATAGATATCAGTTGAACAAATGGGCTGGAACATCCGGATGTAATTTACTGTACTTGAAAAAATATACAACTTATATTTAAGAGGAATTTTGAAGATAAAATACAGATTAAAGTATTAATATAGCTCATTACATGCTTATCTATTTTTATTTATTTTAAAATTATCGATTAGAATTAATTTAAGTAAAGAATTGTTACCTTACTGACTGTTATAGCCTATATAACAGAGGGATAGTTTGGCGATCAGTCAAAAAATGACCCTGGAGGATTTTTACATTTTTGGACTCGGGACCTTGAAANGAATTCTGACTCTCTCCAAAATTTTCTGAAAAATTTTAGCATCTTATATTTTCAATCACTTTTTTAAATTTTAATATGTGTTCTATTTCTCTACAAATATATTTCAAGGAAGGTATTTAAAATGATCACTTTCTATTAAGAAAGTGATCTTTTTAATCATTTTAATAGACAATAATTAAAAAAAATTGAATATTTGTTTCTATTAATTTCTAAAAAAATCAGTAGGCTATCACAAAATCTTAAAAATAGTTTTGTTTTAAAAAACTGAAAGGATTCAAACTTCTTTATTTGAAATAGCATATTTTCAGATTCACAAGAATCCGTTTTAAGAAACTTACACAAAATTTGAATACTTAATGTCAAAGTGTTGTACATGTGTGTATAATTTTTCTTTTTTCAGTTTTTTGAAAAAATGTATTAACTATTATTATAAAATTAAACTTAATTAAAAACTAATCTTTATAATTAATTAGTTCTAAAATAGAATTATTAAGTTAACTATAATACCATTTATAAATTTATTAACTAGCAGTTTTCATAATTTCTATTTTAAATAAATTTGTTTTAATATTTTAACTTCAAATTTACTCATAATGTGTTTAAAACTCTTTAGTTTTATAACTTTTGACATTAACATCATAATCAATTCTGTTTTTATAACATGATCAAATTTTCATTACTGTGAATCAAGAATAAACTTAAACAAAACACAACTGATTCAATTTGATATTAACAATTAAATTCCTACAATCTTAACTTAATAACTCTCTTAATTTTTAACTTAATTATTAAAACCAATTAATTTTAATTTGTTTCTTAAAATGAAAATTTATAAACTGTAATTAAAATTGGCATAAATGAATTTAAAACATTCTATTTAATCTACAGATATATTAGATTAATATTTGTGTTAAAAAATTGGGCGAACAATAATTAAAATATTATATAGTTAGATATTTGTGACTGGATAATCAATGAAAAGTACGAATAAAATGTTTTTAAGTAATAATAAAAGAAATAATTTGTGATAATCGCATAATTGAATTTGCATATAACAGTATCAACTTAAAAATATACAGAAAAAACTTACCAATATTGGGTACAAAAACTCCTTTTATTTTGTGACTTAGTTTGGCTATTGTTGATGGTTCATTTCCTTTCTTAGTGCTTCTGTTAAAGCATGAAATTTCAAAATATAATCAAATCCAAATTTTAAATGTATTAACAATTAACTAAACAAAAAGTTATATATATTTTAAATTCTTTTATACCTATTTGGATGTGTTCCATAAAAACTCAGCATAGTAACAGACAAATAAATAGTTAAAATACAGAAATTTATAGTTTATAAATATATGAAAATATATTTGACATTAATTAAACAAAATAGTGTATGAAATATATTATGACATCAATTAAATAAATGTGCTTGGAATCATATTAACATACATTACATTTAAATAACCAACATCTAAAATATGAAATACATTAACTAATTCTGTAATAAAAAATTTTATAAAAATAAATTATTTAAAAAAATGCTAACATTTTTGTTATTTTAAAACAAAAATTGAAATTATTGTATTCCTATAAATTCTAATAAAGATTTTTAATTGATTTTCTAATCAAATACTGTTTATAACTACAATAATGATATAATTCAGTGAAAAAAAAATAAACCTGGAAACTAAATGTACATTGTCTTCAGTACCATACTTCACTGAGTTTGATGAAATCATGTTATTTTAAGGTTATGTCATCAACTTCAATCTCATTGTTATGAGTAAATCCCACCCTTAATGGAAATCAGTTAACTTAGATTTACATGAGATTTAAAAAAGAGAGAGAAACCAAACCAAATTTGAACTTGTCTTGATATTTTTTTTTTCATGTCAAACTTTCTAATGATAGCTGAAGAAATAGCATGCTAATGAATTACTTTAAACTTATTTTAATCAGAAAAAGTAAAACTTCTTTATGACATTAAANAAAATAGTATATTTTAATGTAAAGAAAAACTAACATATTAACTTATTTTTTATTGAATTTTTATATAAATCTCAAACTTGGAATTTTACCATTTCTTATTTGTTCAACAATATCATCTGAAAATTTAATTTTATCCACAGCATTTGGTGCAAAATACGTATTATAGATTTTTAATTGATTTTCTAATCAAATACTGTTTATAACTACAATAATGATATAATTCAGTGAAAAAAAAATAAACCTGGAAACTAAATGTACATTGTCTTCAGTACCATACTTCACTGAGTTTGATGAAATCATGTTATTTTAAGGTTATGTCATCAACTTCAATCTCATTGTTATGAGTAAATCCCACCCTTAATGGAAATCAGTTAACTTAGATTTACATGAGATTTAAAAAAGAGAGAGAAACCAAACCAAATTTGAACTTGTCTTGATATTTTTTTTTTCATGTCAAACTTTCTAATGATAGCTGAAGAAATAGCATGCTAATGAATTACTTTAAACTTATTTTAATCAGAAAAAGTAAAACTTCTTTATGACATTAAAAGAATAGCATAAAATATTGTAAAATTGTTCTCTTGTTTAATAAAAGAATAGAAATAAAATAGTACTTGAAAATTTTTTTCTATGTAATAAAAATTTGCTTTTTCTTCAAAAATTGTCACAAGATTAATAAATATTTCAATAGACAATTAAATAAACTTAAATGTAAATATTTATTTCAACAGATACTAAAAATTGAATAAATAATAATTTTTATTGGATTAAAATATTAAAGTAATTTACCTTCATAAAATACAAAAAAGCATTTTATTATTATTATTATTATTATTAAGTAATCTATTTTACATAAAATGCTATGATTTTATAAATTATTTTTTATAAAATCAAAATGTTTTTATTAACATATATATTTCTAATCATTCTTAACTTCATATATAAACATATTAAAGCCTGATATTATATAAAGAAACCAAACGACTACCAGATTTTAAATCGGGCTGTTTTACCATTACCATTATTTTAGAGCAACTCCCACTCTGCATGGTAAGTCAGAGTTGCGGGTTCAAGTCTTACTCAGGGTTGATTCTTTTCTTCCAGAATATTCTAAATTATTTAATAAATATTAATTTAATTATGTTTATTAAATTTAATAAGAAATGGCACCTAATGCCTACCTCTAGTACCAAATTACTTGGTATTTAATTATTAGTAGCAGCAGTAAAATAGCCCAACTTAAAATCTGGCAGTCGTTTGGTTTCATCGTTCTTAACTTCATTTTCTATCAAAAAATTATCACTTATTTCCAATGTTAATAAAATTCTATGAATGTATAGTTTTTTTCAAAATTTATTTTGAAATAATGCTTCAATCTCTTAAAACATTTTTATATATGTAAATTCCTTATTCATATAATATTTTATCTTAAATAAAAATTCTATTAAAAAATTTAATACCTATTTAGATTTTTGGTTACAGTGCTACTCCATCTTTCACCACATAATAAATTATAATACTGTTCAAATAAAAAAAAATGTTTATATATACAAATGTAAGTAATTTTAATTTATATTATGTAAAAATGAAATAATTGAACATTTTACCCTATCACTCTGATGAAACAATGGACAAAATGTATTTTCCAAAAGGTTATATGCATGATCATAAGCTCTGAATAAAGGCGATGTGGTACGTAATTTTACAATATCTTCCACTGGACCATAAATAACTAAAAATTAAAATTTATATTTTAAATTTACATACTACAAATTTACAAAATTTTAAAATATTAACTTATTTTAAATACTTATATTTTTTCAAATTATTATAACAAATGTTAAATGTATAGTCTTACTGAAAATCAAAAAGAACTAAAAAAACTATATAAAAATCTTTACAAATAGTAAAAAATTTTCTTGAAAAAGTTAAAATTATTATGCAAAATAAAAAGAATGACTGCAACATTCTGATTATTTAAATTATTTTCTTTTCAAAATTTGTATACATATATTGTTTTAATGTTTTAATTGTGTAAATACTTGTTTATTATTACATATTAATGTCAGTTTATTTGATAAAATTATTCTGTATTATAGTTATTTGAAATTATAAATACAGATATACAGATATAATCTGCAAAATAAATGAATAAAAAGATTTATTAAGCATTAAGTTTTTATTAATACACACTATGAGCAATTGTTTATTGTGACATCATCACAATGCCAGACTGCAATTTTTAATCATATTTTTAATTTATTTAAATTAAAATATATGCTCTCCACCTCAAATTAGTAGTGGTTGCCCCTGTACATCATACTTTTCCTTTAACAATGAAGTTGTGCCAGTCATCTACCTAACATCTTTCAGGGGAATACTTTTGAATTGAAATAACGTGACTTCCAGTTTGCATTGGAAGTTCATATAATCAGGGCTTCCTGCCTCTAAGGTTTCCATATCTGGTCTCATTTTTCATCTAACTCTCTTCTCAAGATTAAGGAAAGACAGATAGACAGATGACAATGGGAATATAAGTCTACAGTTTTTTCAAATTGCAGCCAAAAAATTAAATTTTAATTACAATAAAAATGTAGACAAATTAAAAATGTCATCTGCTAAGAAAACATAAATCATTTGGTGTTACTAGTAGTGATTATAAATAATATCTGATTATTTTAATTTTTTTCAAATATGTAGTGATCATGAACTTACTTTTATATCTAGTTATATATAGTGTAGCCAAAAAGTCAGTTGCCAAATGGGGTAATCACTGTTCTTACTGTTTCAGATGAAATACCAACCAGAAATTAACATACAAATTTTGAACAATAAGTGAAGCTCATTGTTTTAGGATCAACATGATTATATATAATAAAATTTAAAAATAGTATATTTTAATGTAAAGAAAAACTAACATATTAACTTATTTTTTATTGAATTTTTATATAAATCTCAAACTTGGAATTTTACCATTTCTTATTTGTTCAACAATATCATCTGAAAATTTAATTTTATCCACAGCATTTGGTGCAAAATACGTATTATACATATTTTGAGCTTCTTTTTGAAGTTCTTTCATTTCTTCGAGACTTAAATCAGGATTTAAAATACGAGCATTAAAATCATCTGTAAAAAGATGAGTATTCTGAGAAATGAAAATTACATAAAATATTTCTTATAAATGATAAATTTTTATTTAATTAAACATATATTTACCAACACTTAAACAAAACTGAAGAACATTTACAGATGCTTCCTCTTTTAAAAATTGCATAAAGGAAAAAAGTAAATTCTGAGTTGACAAGATTGTCTGAAGATCTGTTTGTAAAATCTAAAAAAGAAAAAATTGTAATTTTATATTACAGATTTATGAATCTGTAAATCAATTACTACATTATTTACATTTTATGTTAAGAGAATACACAACATACTTAAATATATATATAAACAACTCCATAAAACAACTTACTCACACTGTGGAAATGGCTCCCTAGTATGCTTTGAACCATTTCTAGTAAATTTATATCCTATTGATCCTTATTCCAACTTCTAATTTTTGTTAATTTTATATATTATTCAAGTTTTTATATCATGCATTTCATTATTTGGGTATACATAACAACCCTTTTTATTTGTTTGGTTATTTTACATAGCAACGGCATTCAATTGTGTATATATATATATATATATATACATATATATATATTTATATGCATTTCTGAAGATGTATTTCAATGCAAAGAGCAAAAGCAAAGAGTATTTGAATATCTATTCTTTACTGTAGTTATTAATGTCCTTCTCTTTCATTAGCACATTGTTTCTATTATTTTATTTGTGAAATTGTATGTTAATTAATCTCCTAGAGTAAAATGTCATATTGCAAAAGAATTCAATAAAACATGCAACTTTATTTTAAAACATTACATGAAAGAAAATAATACAACTCCATGCCAATATTAAATTTTAAATAAAGTCTTTGTCAATCAATACATGACTTGCACTGTTTCAATTTTTTTTAACAATCAGTTCAATCAGATTTTTGAAAAATTATTATTATGTATTATTTATAAAATTAGTGGATTTTTCTAGTTGTAAAATCAAACATTTCTTTTTATATTTATTAACTGACTTTAAAGGCTGGGTCCATACTTTTCTTATTATTTTAAACACTATTGTAGAAAATAATGTACACATTCCAATTTATAGCAAAGCTATTAAAATAACATAACATATCAAATAGTAAATTCTAATAAAGCTCTATTTTTCCTTCTTAAGAGTTATATTTATATCTTTACTTAGGATGAATAGACAAAATCTAGATAAGGAAACTTTTACTACTAGTGTTTTTTTATTTCATATAGTAATTTTGTAAATAATTTTTAAGTTATATAAAAAATTAGTATTGTATCAAAATAAATAATTACAAATTTATAGCAAATTACACACAGCTGTTCAGATTTATTACAATATTGGACAAAAAGCAAATAATTATAATATACAAATTTTATAAATTATATAAAAAAGCACATATGACAAAATGGAGGGCTATCTGGAAAGTAACTTCCATTTTCATGTAGTGATTGAAGTAGGAGGCATAACAGTATTGTTTTTATATGGGAATTTAGCATAATTCTGCAAACATCTAGCATTCATAAAATCAAATTTGTATTACTATTACTTGCTCAACAATTACTGTTCAAAATGTGTGCTGTAATTGAGAATCCTGCCAACCGCAAATTACATTTGGTTATAAGATTTCTCTTAGCAAAAACTGTAAAGTGGTTAAAATCCATTGTCAAACCTTTGCAAAGTTTATGAAAAACGTAAAGAGTGAAAGTGGTATGAGATAATTGTATCATATGTTCAAAAGTAGCCAGATGGATGAGGGAAGTGGTCAGCCAAATGTGGCAACAATTCAATTGGGAATTGTTTGATCACCCTCTGTACAGTTCCAATTTGGTGCCTGGAAATTTCAAACTTTTCATGCACATGAAAAATGGCTTGCATTGTAATGCTTTGGCAATGAGGAAGAGTTGCAGTCCAGCATTAGGACATGGCTTTAATTACAGGCAATGGAATGCTATGAAGATGTAATATAAAAAACTTGTTAAAACACTAAAACACTACAAGTGTCTCATTTTAGTTGGCAGTTATGTTGAAAAATAATTGAAGATTGTAGTTTTCAGTTGTTTATAATAAAATTTTTCTTGCTGTGTTGATTATGTTTCAATAACCAAATGGTTACTTTCTAAAGTTACTTTCTAAATAATCCTTGTATTTTAGAAATTTTAGCAAATATGATAATATTAATTTATTACTTAATATAAAAACTATCTTACTGGTTTTTTATGAGGTGCTTTGATAATAGCAAAATTACTGAGTATCTCTACAGGTTTATCTGACGAATCAGGATATTCCTTCATCTAAAAAAAAAATATATATATATATATTAGATATTAATGAATGAATAAATTCTTATAAAATAACAAGCAAGAAATAATTATTTTATTTTTAGTTAATTTTAAAATTGATATTCACAATTTGATATTTTAATGAAAGCTTTAACTAAAATTACATTTTAAATCATTAAACATCTTATCATGGTTCCTATTTTTTACTCAACTTTTAAATTTCCTGACTTTCTCAACATATTTTACAGTAAAATTCTAATATTTTAGTACAGTAGCACCTCATTATATCACACCTTGTTAAATTGTGGATTTGGATATATCACACTTTTTTTGGGTCCCCAAATTTTAAAAGCACTTGCATCAATAAATTTTAAATTACCAATTGCCATTGAATTTATTTTTGCAACAAAATATGGTATTTTATTCCTACCATTGTTCTTGAAACTACCATTGTGGGTGAAACAATAAATTTGTAACGATCTAAATAAGCAAAACAGATAAACAAATCAATTATCATTTGTTTCCTTTTGATATTAAAGGTTGTTTATTTATTGGTTTTAAATACTGTTTCCTCATTTACAAGTTTCTGTGAATTCAAAATTTCATACCTTTATTTGAATTGACAAACCATCAATTCACATAAAGGTATGAAATTTCAAATTCACATGTAATATGTAAGGAAAAAATTTCTTTATTTCTAAATGGAAAGCTCTAAAATTTTTATACAGTAGTAAGTTTATTTTGCTTTTTAGAGAATTTTTACTCTTTGTAATTTTATAAGATTTGATGTTCAATATTTATTTTTTTTTAAATTTTCAATTACTATATTTATAATTTTTATTGAAAAATATAAATTACACAAATTTTTAATAAGAGATTTATTATGAAATATAATATAATATAATAACATAGCAACTGATATTTTGTTTTTATATCAACACTATTTGTCTTTAAGTGTCATTGTTAAAGAAACAATAATGTTAAATGGGCATTTGTGGTATCAATGTATACATAAACATCAATTAATACAATATAATCAGGAATAAAATTCAGTATTGAAAAACTAAGCTTATTTTATATCAGAAACACTTGCTGATGAAAGAATAGAGAATAGAGATTCCATAGCATGTATAATCTGTTTAGTATAAGCCCCAACTTTTTAGTACTTGATTGTATTGTGCCACCAGATATATTGCATCTTTTCTTTGTCTCCCGACAAGAATGATATAACAATGGGCTACTGTATTATAAAATATTAAGTAACAGAGCTTTATCTAAGTGAAAAACAGATCATTTCATAAAATCAAACTCTTAAAAAGATATGTTTGATACTTGAAATGCTATTTAAAATTATAATAAAAATATCTTAAGTCTAAAAATTAAGAGCATTTCTATTTTTAATTACATTTATTATAAAATTTGTCTACATTCATTTATTTCAAATTCTTTATTTTCTAAATNAACATTATATAAACAATTCAACCATTCTACTAAGAATTATTATGTCATACATAGTGCAAAACAAACATTTTGCATTCTTAAAAAAAAAAAAAAAAAACATTTAAACACATTTCAATAATAACTTAATTATATATTTTTTTCCTTAGTATATCTATTAATATTTTTAGTTTCATATTTGCTGTTTCTCTTAATTTAGTTTTTTTTCCCATCATTGAATGACAAAATATATTATCAATTTATATGAGACATTTTCAAAAATGATCTGTAGTTGTCAATGCTTTTATCAGCAATTATTAATATAATAGTCTTAATCTTTGTGTGTGTGTGTTAACTCCTGCTGTCTTTGTCCAATCCAAATGATATTTTGCTTAGGTGTTCTTTCTGTTTTAATGGAAAATATAGGCAACTTATACTTTTTTATAACTTATACAGGGTGTTTATAATTAAAGTTCCACTTTGAAATGGCCATAAAATGAAAACTACTGGACAGAATGTTATCAAACTTGGTAATAGTGTACAGGACGTCATGGAATTTTATTTCCTGCAAAAAAAAAAAAAAAAAGTTCAAAAACTCACCACCAACAAGAAATGGTGCTGTCTGCAATATTGTTAAACGAAATAAGACATTGCTGAAAATGTTTTTAATCAGTTTTAAAATGCATTACAGAGCATGTTCAATGTGGTGTCCATCATTTTTGATAAGCAAGTTACATCGCATTACTGTGTTCTCAACAGTAGCTCTTAGCATATCAGGAGTAACCCCATAAACAGTTTCATTTTAAAACCAAGTAAAAGCATTTTAAATGATGTCTTCATGTCTTATTTCGTTTAACAATATTGCAGACAGTGCCATTTCCCATTGGTGGTGAGTTTTTTAATTTTTTTTTTTGCGAGAAATAAAGTTCCATGATGTCCTGTACACTATTACCAACTTTGATAACATTCTGTCCAGTAGTTTTCATTTTATGGTCATTTCAAAGTGGAACTTTAATTATAAACACCCTGTATTTTATATACATACATACATACATACGTACATACATAATGATACACCAACAATTGCCTTAAATGTGAAATGATCATCTTATAATACTTGTTACTGTTACTACAACAAATATTATAAGATGATCACTTCAAATTTATTTTTAGAAAGAATACTGTAATGTTGTATGTTTATAAATTAGGTAAAAAATTACTATAAAAAACTAGAGAAATTTTTTCCTCAAGCATGACAGACTATTTTGTAATAATTCTTTTTATCTTACTAATTAAGCCTAATTTTAATTATTTTGCATAAGTGTACTATTATTTGCATCATAAAAATCACATTATTTCAAAGTTGTGTAAAATAAGGCTATCTAAATTGAGTCTGTTTCTTATTCTAATGAATTCTGCAGCAGTAAGCAGTAATGGCAGCATTGTACTATCATTTTGAGACAGACTCATTCATGAGAGAACAAAACTGAAGTTTTACCTCAGTGATAACTGACAGATGGCAATAATAAAATTTAACTAATAGGAAGATAATTTACATCATCTCATATCCCAAGAATAAAAATGAAATTCAAATACAAGAACATAGCAGCTATAGCAATGAATTTTAATAAATCATGTACTAGTTTTGATTCAATGTGAAATTAAATCTTAGTGGAGTAATTTGAGAAATTTTAGTCATAAATATTATTCTTTCATAATAATAATATATTTTTACTAACAGTTCATTAACAACTTATGTAACAAAATCTCAAAGCACTCTCAGAACAGCCAAGTTAGATGATGATGTCACAAATTTCGTCATATGTTAAATCTTTACCCAATGTATGTTTTTGTGATAATTTGTTATTGTCATAAGAATCTGTGATTTATAGCCTTCATTTATACTGATACATTTATACTGATTATATGGTAACTTCAACTTGATGGTGATTAGTATTTTTAATAAAATAAATGTATCAGCCTATATATGTATAGGTGATCTCTGAGAACCATAATTGGGAACATTCTCAACAGATCTGTGTATTCTGTCCAATAAAGTGCAACATAAGATTTTTCTTCAAATGATATTTATTTTTTAATATATTTTACATTGAATTTTGGAAATGACATCAGGCAGTTGATTTTCACCCCAATACATAACAAGCCCAAAAGTACATAAAAAAAGCATATATAGCATAAAAATATATAAAGAAATAAAAGTACAATTAATATATGTTCATTAAAAACTGTCTTTTTATTTCTTTTTAAAACTGTATTTGTGCATCATGTATGGGGGATACCAGGAAAAATTATATGTAAAGTTTAATGCAAGTCTAAATTGTGACAGAAAGCAAAAAGTGGAAAACTTATTGTTGTTTTGTAATCATAATTTAGTAATACAATTAAATAAAATGTGTAGTCCATTAGACTACTGTTTAGTCCCATCATCATACATACATCACTAACCTAGAATTAGGATATTTAAATAAAAAATAACTTACAGGAGTTTTATCAAAGAATATTAGAAGCAAATGATTGATTATATCCTGAAAAAAAAAATAATTATATAAAATATATATAATTTTAATAAAAAAATAATCAAATAATCATTGTAAAATAAAATCTTTTCATTTTTCTACTGTTTTTGAGTTGTTTTTGATAAATATGCTATTTCAAATATATATTAATAATTAAACAATAAATGACATTTCTGCAAACTGACATTCCATCTATATAGGAATCTAATGTACTGTGATATGAACTACAGTACCAATAATTAATAATATTGACTAACAGTAATGCAAAATGATCTTTGGATGATCCAGAAGAGACTTTTTACAATGTAATTAATGTATTTTATAAAAAGAAACTTCATGGAATATTTTCATAAAATAAATAATAAAATGTAAATATTGAATATATACATTCTAATAAACATTTAACAAATAAATAGATATTTATTCTAAAAAATATTTAGCAAATATTGAGATATCAAAGTAATGAGAGACAGAAATATTAGATCTTTTATAAATATTAGATCTTTTTTTAAAGATCTAATATTTAAATATTTTCTTTCTTATTATTTAAACATTTCTATGAAAGTATAATTATTTTTATACACTGCTTAAAAGTTTAACAAGTCAAATTTCTTACATAGCAGACTATAAGGAATAACTCAATATGAAAAAAACTGAGAAAATTTTTTGAGTTAATAAAATTTTGAGCTATGGAAACTGCTATTATTTTAATGAGATTAAAAATATCACAATACAAAATCAAAACAATATAATTAGACAAATATATTACATTTTATTATTTTTTTACATATGTATATGTACAAAATAACAAAACATTGACACTATTAGTGAGAAAGTAATTTTTCACTAATAGAGTGTCAACAGCAGTAATTTATTGGGTTGTTCGGAAAGTAAGTTCATTTTTTTACGACTAGACGGATTAGTCGTATTTTTCCCGCCATTTTCATTCTAAACCGTATTATCTATATATATTTTGACAGCATTTTAAGGCTTATTTGTAAAAAAATTTTGTTCAATTTTGTGCAATTGTTTATTTTTTGTGTCCCATCAAACATGGAAGATTGAAAGCAAATTTGACATATTTTGCTTTTTTATTACCAAAAAGCAAAATGCTGTTCAAGCAAGGAAAAAATTGTGGTACATGTGTGGAGATGATGTGTTGACAGAACAACAGTGCAAAAAGTGTTTTACAAAATTTTGTTCTGGCAATTTCAATATTGAAGATGCACCACGTTCTGGACGGCCAGTTGAAGCCAATGAAAACAAAATAAAGGCACTGATTGAAGCAAACTGCCGAATAACAACATGTGAAATCACTAAGAGATTAAATTTGTCAAATTAAACTGTTTATGATTACTTGAAACAAATTGGTTTTGTTTCAAAGCTTGATATATGGGTTCCACATGTTCTTAAAGAGAAATGCTCTCTTTGATGGGATTTTAAGGAAATTTTTTTGGAGCTTTTACCAGACAATTTAACAATTGATTCAAAAGTGTACTGCCAACAAGTAAACAAATTGAGTAATATCATAAAACAGAAAAGGTGGCCAGAACTGATCAACAAAACAGGTGTAGTGTTTTACCATGATAATGTCAAATTTCACACAAGTTTGGTAACTCGTCAGAAACTGTTATAACATAGATGGGGCGTGCTATCACACCAACCATATTTGTCAGATCAAGCACACTCGGATTATTACTTGTTCCGGTCTATACAATTTTTTTTTAACTGTAAGACATTTATTTGAAATGACAATGTCAAAAATCACTTGGATCAATTTTTTGTAAGCAATGATAAAAACTTTTATGAATGTGAAATCATGCTACTACCAGAAACGATGACAACAGGTATTTGACCAAAATGGTTGATATATAATTCAATAAAATATTTATTTATTATAAAAATATTGTGTTTTTTTCAACGGAAAAAAAAGAAATTACTTTCCGAACAACCCAATATATATATGCGCTACTGTTACTGTCTCAAT